CCCCCCCCCCCCGCCACAATCATCTGATCTAGCCCTTCATTTTCTCCATATATTCAGCCAAAAGAAAACCTTTACACTTGTCCTAGTTTCTGGAATAAACCCATAGTGCTGATTCTAAATAATTCCTTTAGAAGATTGCAGTATCCACTCATGACTTTAAAATGGCTTTGATGAGGGTGTGCCCTGAATTATTTTTGAATTTGGATCCTTTTTTAATGTTTTAAGCCAAAATCCTGTCACTTAGGATAGACAATTGCACTAGAGTGGGCCCATTAAATCACTGGGGGGTTTGGTGAGTCAATTCCTCTGTAAATTATGTTGATTCATATTGGCTACTTGTGATTCGGTTTGTTTGGCGGCAGTTCCTCCCTTTGGGCGGGAAATAATCAAGAGGAGTCATTTGAACGATCAACAAATGTACAGTAGTGCCTCGCTTAACGATTTTAATTTGTTCAAAAAAAATCGCTATGTGAAAACATTGTTCAGCGAAACACCATTTCCCATAGAGATGCATTGAAAACCGGATAAAAACGTTAAGCGAAACGCAGTTCCCCAATTGAAATGCATTGAAGCCTTTTCAATGCATTTCAATGGGGGAGAAAAAAATTCACAAAAAATTCAAAAAGACTCAGAACAAAGCCAAATTAATTTAACGAAGGTTTTATTAGGTGCACTAACGATTCCAAGCATTTTAAACATTTTAGAATATTTTAAAAACAACGAAAACGGGGCTGTCAAAAAAATCGTTAAGCGAAACAAGGGGACCAAAAACCTAATCGTTATGCGAAGCATGGTCCCGAAATCGTTAAGTGAAAATTGCCCATAGGGAAAATCGTTAAACGGAGCGCAAGATCGCTCCGAAAAAGCCATCGTTAAGCCAATTTTTCGTTATACGAAGCAATCGTTAAGCGAGGCACCACTGTATTTAACTTTACATTAGGAGATTCAGCTATTACAGTGGTGCCTCGATTTACAAACATCCCTACTTACGACCATTTTGAGTTATGACCAGCTCTGGCCGCAAAGTTTTGCTTCTACTTGCGACCAAAGCTCTGAGTTATAAACAGAAAAAGGCAGGGGGAAAAGGCGGGAAATTCAAATTCTTACTGTAGGTGGCAAAAGAGGCTGCTTCTTTGTAGCTCTTCCGCCCCAGCAGTTAGAGTGTGTGCAATCAGAGGAGACTGCCTGGTAAGGTAAGGTGCTGTTTTCGGCTTTTTAAAAACTGTTCTGGGTGCTTTTGCTACGTGGTTTTGGGCTGGGGGGGGTTATGTTTCTGTTCTGTGATGGGTTTAGGTGGGTTGTGGGGTTTTTTTTGTTTCCCCTCTCCATTTCCGATGGGTCTTGGGGGATTGGTTGCTCTTTCAATTTTTTCCTCATTTCCGATGGGTCTTGGGGGGTTTCCTTGCTTCTTGGATTTCTCCCCTCCCATTTCTGATGGATCTTGGGGGGTTTCCTTGCTTTTTGGATTCCCTCCCATTTCCGATAAATCTTAGGGAGTTTGTTTGCTTTTTAGTCCCCCCCCCACATTTCCGGTCTTGCACGATCTGCTTGATTGCTTTTTGCTTTGTCTTGTTTGTATTTGCAATGGGTCATGCACGGTTAATTGGTTTTTGGTTTGTTTTCTTTGCATTAGGTCTTGCACACTTGATTGCTTTTTTGCTTTGTCTTGTTTGCATTTGCAATGGGTCTTGCACGGTTAATTGGTTTTTGGTTTGTTTTCTTTGCATTAGGTCTTGCACACTTGATTGCTTTTTTGCTTTGTCTTGTTTGCATTTGCAATGGGTCTTGCATGGTTGATTGCTTCCCCCCCCCTTCGGCTGGAAAGGATTATTTGCGTTTCTGACCGGACTTGCAGTAATTTTTTTAGGGTGTGTGTGATTTTTTTCTTCAGCCAGAATGGATTAATTGTATTTCAGTGCATTCCAAAGGGCAATGGTGCTTTGACTTACGACCATTTCCAGTTACGACCATCTTCCTGAACCAATTAAGTCCATAAGTCGAGGCAGCACTGTACTTCAATAGGCTCAAAAGAACTCAGATTTGGCAAGTATCCATACGAAGATGGTAATAATTCAAATGGAGAATTTATAGAGTATTGTGGGGCCGGTCCAAATCGCTCTCTGTCCATGGGCTTCCTCAGTGGAGCGCTCCTCACGGCACAGATCATGCCACAGCAGGGATGCCGAGCCCAATCCCCCTTGCACAGCAGTTGATTGAATATTGCATCGGGCCAGATCAACCTCCTCCAATGACCTTGCTCTCTACTGTCCATTCTTGTGTTTCATTAATGGTCACCCTTTTCCCCTTAGGGTCTGGGCCAGGTAATAGTCCTCCCACCTTTGAGTTGGGAAAATCTTCCAACAATTCCCGCACTCTTTTATATTAAACCTCTCCTTTCTTCATTTCTTCCCGCGGCGCTTTGAACTCTCTTACGTTTTCCTCCTCCCTTTTATCCTCCTCCCACATGGGTAAGGTTAACTCCTCCCCTTCCTCTCCTTTTCCTTCTACCACCAAACAAACCTTTACTTTTTTCTCCTCTCGTTCTTTTATATTCAACCCTTCTATTTCCCTGTTTATTTCCTCTTTTAGTGGTTCTTTTATTTGGGTGGATGGCACACTCTCATCTCTCTCTTTTTCTCCTTCACACTACTCTACTGCAATCTACTGCCCTAAGCAACAGGTTTTTGGACATAAATTTTCGTTGCAACAGGTTTCATATTGTTTAAGTACATTTTTAGAAAAATGCCTTGGGAAAGGCAATATATAAATATTTTATGAGTAAATTCATGTCATTGTATTATACTTTTCTGAAGCTAGATTTCTCAAGACTATTGCTGAACAATAATGGACATATGAAAACTGGAGAGTAGAAAAAATTTACAGTAAACCGATAGTGTGTTCTAAGATGCTGAAGAAATTTTTATTGTTTCATTTGAAGTTAAATTCAGTGCGTTTCATCCCAGTTTTGTTTAGAGTCCTTCTGTAGAAGCAAACAACACATTAAATTGAAGTTTATGTATTAAATACTGATAAAAAGACATACCAAATAAAGGTATATAAGTTGTGTTTTAGTAACATTAAAATGCCCTAGAGGGATTTCTGAAAGATGCATTTCCAAGGCACAATAATTGGTGATTGAAATGTTACTGGTGGGTAACAAACTAAATGTATGTTATCAGTAGGGAAAGGATTTCTATGACATTTCACATATTCTCTGCCACCTACATTTGAACCCATAGGCAAGTTCAAACATGTTTATGAGTAATCTGGCCTTTTTCACCAGATTACTCATAAACATGTTCAAGCCCACCCATACACTCTAACATAGATTGCAGGGGGGGAAATGACATGTCATAGCCCCCCCCCCCCCCGCAGGTATCAGTTTCCTGTTCATGATGGACATTCTTCCTAAGCTTGAAGCCTTACTCTTTTTGTTTCTTTGGACACTGCAACAGGAAAAAATAAGCTCTTTTCATTGTGGCTGTCTTCCTCACTTGCACTCACTGGAACAATGGCAAGACAGCTGTAGAATACTTGTGCAAACAGACAGACAGCCATTGGTGGGCTTTGGTGACCAGCTGTCATTCATTCATTACAACTTGCCCAATGGTCTGCTGCAGAAATAGAGGGAATCCACTGCAGATTTGGAATAAAAGCAAAGTAATCCTCTTGGAATAAATACATAGAAGTGTATCTGTTGACCTCATAAGGGAAGGGAGATTAGTTTATGAGGTGGTTCTAGATGTGTGCAGCAACTAGAATTGTGGCTGAAGGCATTTGCTACCTACCTGATGATTTCATATGTGTCATAGTAGAAAGTTCAGTATAGTATAGTGTGGACCACAATAAATAAGACTTTTGAATACACTGTGTGCGTTGAATAATAGGAATGTATTGCAGAGATATATGTATCAATAGTTTTGTTCTGATGATTCTATACTTTTAATTTAAACTAATGTGAAAGGTTGTATATATTTGTGTTTTATAAGGCTACCGAGGGTCCATGTAATACTAAAAAACCTAGTATGCTAGACTTTGTAAAGAAGGCCAAATGGGATGCATGGAATTCGCTTGGTGTTCTGCCCCAGGTGAGTATGCTATTATATGCATTTTTTTAAAAAAGATTGCATTTGTTTAAAGGATACCATGTTAATTACAGTGGTGCCTCGCTTTACGATTGCCCCGGCATTATGACAAATCTGCTTTATGACGATCTTTTTGCGATCGCAAAACGATGATCTAAATGGGGGAATTTTGCTTTGCGATGATCGGTTCCCTGCTTCGGGAACTGATTCTTCGCAAAATGATGCTTTTTCAACAGCTGATCGGCGGTTTCAAAATGGCCGCCAGGTAAATAAAGTCATGTATTTTTTTTCTGGAAAAATTGAAAAAAATATGGAGTGTAGAATATGTTATTTTACAATGATAAATAATACATCTGTGACATGGTTTTCAAACTATATAACAAGAAGACCTCAATGAAAGACTTCTGAGACTTTATGTTTTTAAGTTATCTGAGAGACCTGGCTTCAAATCCTTACCGTTAAGTCGAGAGCAACTTGACAGCACATAACATTTAAGGGTGCTGGAAGTATATATCAAGTTGAACTTTTGGCTTTCTTAAAACTGGAAAATGACAATAACAGTACTGGCAGGAGATCCTTTCTGTTTACCACTGTGACGGCCTCCTCTCACGTCACAAAGGAAGTGTCACGTCACTCTTACATACACACACTTTATTCACGCTGCCACCAACCATTCCTTCATAAATCTCTTCAGACAAAAATATGATTTTTAAAATAAAAACTTGTGTTTATTTATAACAACAGAAGAAATGGTAAATCACTGTATCAACGAATTAATAAGGCAATCAATATAAAGTATCACACACACACTCTCTTTCAGACCTTCTCTCAAAATATAGCACAGTACTACATGACAGGTATAAGCCCTAACTCCCTAAGTCCCTAACCAGACCCTAACCAAGTCCGTATCTAAACCCTATCTGACTCACACCTCATTCACTCCCCCCTTAAATACCATGGCTCCACCCTCTGATGTCCCACCTCCCATCCTGCTATAGGCGGATAAACTCTAGCTACAGCAGTGACGGGCAGATGACATCACTGCTACCATCACAACCACCATCTATTTACATGCAAATGCCTTGAGTTCACATGGATGATTCTTCTAAACCTATGTCATCCAAAGATGCCTGAGGTAGAATTAGAGTTTGATTTACAAAGGGGCCATGATAGGGAAGTTGCCAAGAGTGAATGAAAAAAAGGGAACTTGCTGTGCTACTGTAGTATTTCTTTCAAAAAATTGCACTTGAAAAGTTTTCAAAAATACCTGAGATTCCCTGCTAATAGAGAATAAAATTAATGTCTGTAGATTCTTTTTGAAAGAGACCAATTTAGTTGCTTCATATACTGCATATTTGCCTTTTGTCAGCTTAAAGCAAAATGTTTGTAACAGGCTATTAAACTATTGAAAACCAGATGCTACTCCTTATTGATTGCAGTCACCCCCTTCATAATTATTCTTAATACAGATAACTGATAACATTGGATTAGGCATCCAGAATGTTTTTTGATGCATAAGCACTAGCTAATACTGTGGAGGCATAAAGACAAATCTTTTATTGGCGAAGGAGTCTCTGGTTCTTTTAACAGCAGTGTCTCTGCTTTTTGGTGGGGAGGGGAGAGACGCTTAGGAGATACATTTTCTCCTGTCAAATGCTAAATTGCCATGGTCCTTCACATAGACTAGAATAGACCCAAGCTGTGTAGGGTTTTAATACATCATAATCAGCACTTTGATTTGGGTCTGGAAACAGACTGGTAGATACAGTAGATATTGAAAAGTTACAATTTTATTCAAAAGTCTCACAACCAGCAAATGTTTATAATACTGGTGCGATTATTCTTCATTCTCCCTACAAAAACCAGTAGGACTTTATAGCCTGTAGCCTGCTCAGCTTCTGCTGGGTGGAAAGTGCTACCAAGTGCAGGAACACAGGACTGCGCTCCTTGCAGAAGCATTGCCATGGGTAAGCAGAAGGCAGATTATCTTCACAGAGATAGTAGCTTGTGGATCAGCAGCATTTGCACAGTCAGAACAATCCAGTATTACAACGCCAGCAGGATGTTTTGCTGAGCAGAAGCTCAACAGGATATGGGCCAAAATGTTTGATTTTGGGTTGGGCCATGCCCTGTTTTTGTAATCATATTCTGTAGCTTCTGTAAACCATTGCATGCTTTTCCATGGGAAATTGTTAAAATAGATGCCTGTGTTAACAATAGTTACTAGATCTCCAACTCGGCCTTAAGAGTAGGAGCATTCACCTTAAACCATTCATTTCAGATAAATTGATATTTCTCAAATATATGACAGGCAGATGTATATTTTTGCTGTCTGAAATATTTAGATAAAACTATGGAAACATCTCTGATTAATATTAATCATTATTTATGGATTATTTATATTGTATTCACAATTTTTATGCCAGTGATATAATCTGTCATCTGTTTTCTATTAATTGGATTGGGTTTCTTATTACAGGACAGCGCAAGACAGAAATACATTGAGCTTGTGTCAAGTTTGGTCTCTGCAGAATCTTCTGTGGTTAAAGAGACCCCCTCTGGAAGCAAACCTGGCTATGAAACATTACAGATTACAACTAAAGACAACATCACAAAGATCACATTAAATCGCCCTAAGAAGAAAAATGCTATTAGTACAAAGGTAAGACTGATAAATTTCACAGCTCAAAAGCAACTACTGTATGTGGAAAAAGAGAGGGAGAACTAATTTTCAGAAAAACATCTGGGGGGATGTTTTAGAGGTAGGAAGGCTGTGGAGAAGATCAGTCCTGCCCTCCCTTACTCACTCTACTATACAAGCAGCATTTCCTTGTTCTTGTCTTTTTCATTTTTTTTCTCTTTCTGTTGCTTTTCTTTCTCTTCAAAAATTCCTTCCTTACAGTGAGTGTGTGTGTGTGTGTGTACATGGTTTCATGTGTAAAGTTATTTCCTATTTTCTTGTTCATATAACATCATCAGAATGTATGATATTTTACAGACTGGAAGAATACAGGTTCCTGCTCAAGGGTGTTTACTATTTAAAATTCAGCAAAAGGGGTGTAATAGAAGATGGGAAGGGACACGGAGGCAGCAGTTAAATAGGGAAACAAAATGTGATCATTCTGAGTTGGATGTACTCAGGCTTATTTAGTTACACACTGAGTTATACTAAGGTATTACAGTATAACTCAAAAGAGATGGCACTTAAATACTTTTGAGAGACTGGGAATATGGATGGGTGAAAAGAAGAGTAGCACACAAAAGTGTTGTTGCATGTATTTAATAACCAAATATAGTTGAGAGGGGTGAAAAGATTCTCCTTTTGTATAAATACTGATTTTTTTTCATTAAGGAATAACCAATAAAAAATATAAGCAGTTCCATTTAGTGCAGAACTTGAAAGTAACTAATTATAAATAACAGATTACTTGTAACAATGTATTTTTACAATAATGAGAGCATAACTAAGTTGCATTATGATTGTGACATTGTGAAGAATAAAATCACTTTTTAAAAATCGCTTTTTTGGTGATTTAATTGTGACTTTGTTTTAGTTACTTTTATATTTGCAGAGATACATTAGCTATGGAGGCGTCAGTGATTCTGCTAGAGTCCCAGAAAATATATTTATTCATAGAACTGAAGCCCAAAATCCACAGATGTGTAATATCCAGAGCTTGGAATGTTTTATTTAAATTCTAATTTGTTAAATATTAGGAATTGGAATATCAATTTGACATTACTCCAAAAACAGCAATTAAATCAACAGTAGTATTTATGGAGAATGTCATGTGGATTATTACTTTTTATTCCTAGTGGTACATTTGTTAGCGCCTTCCAATGACCTATTTTTGTTGTTTTAAAACACCTTGTCCAGTTTGACACTCTTGCCTAGGGGGACTGCAACTCACCTAATATACTTGTTGCCTGGGAATGGTAGTGTCCAACTTATGTAGAAAGTGCTGGTTTGGGAAAGGCTGGCTGTGCTAAACCATGAAATTTCATCTTACAGCCTGTTATGTTTTGCCTTTCTTTCTCTTTTTTCACACCCACTCACCATCACCAGGTAGCTATCTTTTTTTTGCTCCATAAAAGGAGCACAATTTCACTGGCCAGACTCATGTTGGTTATTTATGCTAGAAAGAGTATAATGGTGTCAGTCACAGTGGCAAATTGCTGCTAGTTAATGAATCACTGTTTGTATTTTTTTAATCTTACACCATCTGCATGATTTGGCACATCATGAAGAATAAAAATGATGACTTCTTTACTAGCCACTAATAGAAGCAGCAACTCATTAACTAGCATCATTTTGTCACTGCAATTGACTCTATAGCACTTACTCTGACATAAATAACCAGTAGGATCTTGCCACTCTCTGCTAATAAGCAGGTGGGAAGCATTTAATGCCTGAAACCTTAATGTGCAGGAACACTAATGGTGTAAATTTTGAAAGTGAATTGCTGTAAATTACAAAATCTGCATAGACGTTTGCACATTGAGTCACATTACTTGTTATACAACACATAAGTTCTTAACCTATGGCAATTTGTCTTTAAAAGTTTTCAGCCACTCTTCCAGATTGTTTAGGCATCTAATAAGAAAGACAGCACTGGAATAAACACTTTTTCTCTTTTATACTCAAACTTACATGAATTAATCATGAACCAAAATCAGCAAGATTTCTGTTATTTATTTACACTGAAGGAACCATCTGAGAGCAGAATCAATGGTTAATCATGTCCTAAAATGCATCTGCACTCTACATATGCACTGAGGCCATATTTTCCTTGTAATCACACCCTTTGATATTACTGTGGTGTACTTTGCAGAGGTTTTCTTAAAAACATGAAAGGAGTAGGTGTGTGCTATATATTTTTTCCTAGCATTTTACTTTTAGTAAAGAGATGGGCTTTTATGTATTACACTAGTTTTTCAATCCCACCTGCTGATTATTTGTTTTCATAGATTTCAGAGCTCATGAACAACATAGATTAGAGTGAGCCAACTCCCACTGCACAACAATTAGATGTCAGAAGAATTAATATGTCAAATTAATAATGGAAGGGAAATTGCCCAGCTTGTGGCTCTTCAATAGATTCTGTTTCCCCCCCCTTTATATACTGCCCCATTAGCCGCCCCGAGTAGACATGGTCTAGAGGGGCGGGGTAAAAATCAAATAAATAAATAAATAAATAAATTAGTGCAGTGCACTATTCTGGGCAGTGTATAACAATGTGAAATGAAAACAACCATAAGCCAATGACAATATAACAAAATAAAACGAATACAAAAAAAATTAATCTAAATCGTACCTTCAAGAAGGGGTGTCGTTTCCATGTAAAATGAAGAGTTCAGGGGGGGGAAGTCAAGTAGGGTTGCATTGAAAGGCCTGTCTGAAGAACAGTGTCTTCAGCTGCCTCCTAAAAGTTGGGAGGGAGGCAGCCAGGTGCAGCTCAACTGGTTCTAAGGTTGTGGTGCCACTGCCAAGAAGGCCCAACTTCTCATAATAAGCCTCACCTGATTAAAGGCTGCTCTGGACATAACTGCAATCTGGGGATCCCAAAACAGCCAGATGCATGCCCAAGTTCTGGACTGACAGTGACGATTAACAATGACTAACATGACAAAAATGTGTTTAGAGCTTTAAAGTAGGTTAATTGCTGGCATTATGTCTGCTTTAAGTTAAAATACTGTAAATGAATTCAATTTTGGATAAATTATAAAGATGATATGGTGGTCAAGCAAAAGTGTTACCATCTGAAAGTCCTCTTTCTCCAACTTTCTGCAACATAAACCAAAACTTGTTTCTTCTTTTTCATTCACTTGTGCAGATGTACACTGAAATTATGCAAGCACTTGACGAAGCAGCGAAGGATGATTCAGTTATAACGGTTCTGACAGGTATTTCCATTCATTGTCTTCTCTGACGCTTTTTTTAAAAGTGCATGTTCAAAATCTCAGTATGTGTACATCTGTTTCCTTGTGAGACCAAGAGAAGGGAGATGTACAAATGTCCCTTAATAGAGATGTATACCTGCTGATACAGTGTATCTGTCAGATCAGGTTTTGATGTTGAGCTAAACTTGAGAGAGTTTACAAATCTGAAGCCTTGGATGTTGGTATTTGTCCATAATAAATTGATATTTCCCAGTTATCCAAAGCCCAAGGGAGTGTTGTCCCAACTTCAGCATAAACATCATTTGATTCATAATATAGAGTCGGTCTTTGTGGGAGGGGGCACTTTTTATCCCTGAGTGGAATATGCATATGTGGAATATTTATCTTTCAACCATCACCATGCTTACGCTATAGTGTTCTTTCAGGATTGGCAACTGGCCACGGAAGTACTGTATTTTTCTGTTTATAAGACACCCTAGTGTATAAGATGCCCCCCCACCTCTTTTCTAAGCCAAAATGTCTTTCTTTACAAGCAAGTGGAAGGGGAAAGCAGGAATCATCAAAGCACTTTGATGATTCCTGCCCACAAAAGCTTTTTGATGTGTCCTGCCTCCCCCCTCCACTTCTTGCAAAGAAAGTGGAGGGGGAAAGCAGCTTCTTTGCAAGAAATTGGAGGGGGAAAGCAGGAATCTTCAAAGCGCTTTGATGATTCTTGCTTTCACCCTCCACTTTTTGCAAAGAAGGTGGAGGGGGAAAGCAGCTTCCTCGGAAAAAAATGGAGGGGGGAAGCAGGAATCATCAAAGTATTTTTATTCCTGCTTTCCCCATCCACCTTTTGTGAAGAAAGTGGAGGGGGAAAGCACTTTCCTCGCAAGAAAGTGGAGGGGGAAAGCAGGAATCAAAGTGCTTTGATCCCCCCTCCTTACTTCTGTGTATAAGACGACCCTCAATTTTAATCTAAATATTTTAGACAAAAGGATGGTCTTATACACGGAAAAATATGGTATACTGCAGGAAATCAGAACTCCTAAATACAGCACTTATAGTTTCCAGATTTTTTGAGCACAAAAAAATAGTGATTCCATATTTTTGAGCACTGTTCCCTCTGCTTTTATAACCAACAAAAATTTGAAGTTTAATCACTCTAATGATTTATGCTCTGATAACAAAGGTAGTAGTACTAAAGATTTTATGAGTTGTTAGAAGGGGCAGAATATACAATATTAGAAGAGTATTAGTTTGAAATATTGATATATAATGCTCTTACCCCAGAGGACAAGTTGTTGCATACATTTGGTGCATCCTCTGCTCAAATGCAGAGTGAAAAAACAGACAAATTTAAGAATTTGCTAAAAATGTTATATTCTCCAAGATATGACCAGAGTGACTGGAGAACAAGCAGGTTATCCCAGACAAAATGTGGAGGGTAAAGTACTCATCAGAATGGATACTATTCAAAGGGGAATAGGAATGAGGAATAAACAACAGAGTGAGGATGATGGGATTTGAATTAGAACAATACATGTCAGCCCAGAGAAGAGGTACTGTTGTTGCAAGAGTATAATTTTACTTTTACTATGAAACCTACGTCAGAGCAAGAGTGGTTACAAAGACTCTTTCAGAACCATCACAGCGGAGTGAATCTACACCCTTAGGTAAATGTTATCAGAAGGAGGAAAAGGTAAAGATAACAAGTACCTTAAAATTAAAATGGGGTTTTCTGTAGGGACAAGGAAGGTAAACTGAATAAAATTAATAATTGACAAACTTCCATCCAAAAAAATCATTTTCTGAAACTGATGAGTTAGAATAGTGCAGAGTAGGATAATATAGCTTATGATGAAGAATTTTGCAGCTATGCCAAATAGTATGATATTTTACAGTTTCAGGAGACAAAGAGAAAATAGAATTAAATGGGTTTGAGAGCTATTCCATCGAGGCTATATCCAAATTATAAGAAAAGCAAACAAAAGACTGGATTAGTATGCTTCATAGCACCCACATTGGGATATAATTGGAAAATTATGTCTTAGAATGAAGGAGTTTATATCCATGTAGTCAAGTAATAGCAAGAATAGGTGAAGGTGATTACTCAGTGATTTATATCTAAATGTTGGTTGTGGGGACAAAAGTAGATGAGGAGGTTATGGTATGAGTGAAAGAACTTAGGATAAAATGGTGTTGCAATCGTTAAGCTAATCCATTTGAAGCAAAAGGATGGTGTTTGATTATTGTGAATGGTTTAAGCACTGGTTCTTAACCTTGGGTTACTCAGAAGTTTTGGACTGCAACTCCCAGAAGCCTTTACCACCAACTGTGGGAGTTGCAGTTCAAAAGCATCTGAGTAACAAAGGTTAAGAAACACTGGAAGGAGGGGGATGGATCAGGAGAATACACTTAAAATTACAGGTGAGATAGTGTGATAGATTATGTAATGATATCTGGTATCCTGAAGCAAAATGTTACAAATTTTAGTATTAAGCTAAATTATTTCATCTTCTATCAGCTGTCGATTACTGAGCTAGACCTCTTCCTCTATCCCAGTGCTTCGCAAACTTGGGTCTTCATATGTTCTTGGGCTGCAACACCTAGAAATCCTAGCCAGCACAAGAGTGGTGGCGCTGCGGGCTAAACCGCAGAAGCCTGTGCTGCAGGGTCAGAAGACCAAGCAGTCGTAAGAGCGAATCCACGCGACGGAGTGAGCTCCCGTCGCTTGTCCCAGCTCCCGTCAACCTATCGGTTCGAAAGCATGCAAATGCAAGTAGATAAATAGGGACCACCTCGGTGGGAAGGTAACGGTGTTCCGTGTTTCAGTCGCACTGGCCATGTGACCACGGAAGATTGTCTTCGGACAAATGCTGGCTCTATGGCTTGGAAATGGGGATGAGCACCGCCCCCTAAAGTCGAACATGACTGGACAAAAAAAATTGTCAAGGGGAACCTTTACCTTTTACAAGAGTGGTGATGGCATCTGGGAGTTTTTGTTCAAGACCATCTGAGGACACAAGGTTGGGAACCACTGCCTTATACTATTTGAACAACAGAAAATACACATTTCCTGGGACAGTTGATTGTTTAAATAGGGGGCATTTAGTGTGGAATGTGAAGCTGAGCAAATCTGGAAGGAGAGATGCTGAGTACCGCTGAGTTTAAGGAGCTGAAGAATCTTGTAGAAGCCAGTGTAGTGAATGATTCATGTGATGCTGCTGCCTATAATAAATTTGTTCTGGTACTGCAGGGCTTTCTATCTGTGGGAGTAAGGCAGCTTAGTATTAAAATGGGCACCGTGCAGAACTACTGGTATGACAAGGAATAGGCTTCTGAAAAGATGGTGGTAAACGGGTGCTTAGTGTAAGAAATACAACAAAAGAGTGCTGCCAGATCTTTGTTTCCAGTTAAAAAAAAAAAGAATACAGTGCATTGATATTTAAAATGAAGAGATGGAGGAGGAGATCTGGTCCTAGCGGATATAGGTTCCATGCAGTAATGATAATAGGAGCTTTTGGAGAATAATGTCATGGACTTTATAGGATGCAACTGGAATTAATTATTGTTGCATGTCAGCAACAGCATGGGAGAGACCTTTTTACTCTTGAGTTTAATGTTATAATAAGAAAGAAAGAACAAAGGTAGCAGAATTTAAAGCTAGAAATTTGCCAACCTGCAAACCTCAACTAACCTAGAAATAAATCATATTAAAGATTTTGAAATTATAAATCTCCAGAGTCCAATTTTATACTAGTTGAACGGGTAAAGGAAAATAGTGTGTGTGTGGGGGGGGTCACCACAAGTATCCCTGGGTTTGCATATGAAAATAAAAAAGGCTAACACTGCAGTGAGTGGACTGAAGTAAGTCCGTGCTAGATATGAAAAGAGTGTCAAAACAGAACCAGCAGATTGGCTCCTCAAAAACCTTTTTATCTATAATAGGAAAGCTGTATGCAGTGTATTTGAAACTTAAATTAATAGGTTGGGTTCAAAAGAGGGAGCATCACTGGTGCAGAGCAGATAGGTTTTTAAAAGGTCTGTTCAACATTGGATCATGTAATAGTTCTGTGTTATTTAACAGAATAATAGTGTAAGCCCCTTATAGGGAAGTTAGATACAGTATTGTGTTTGTGGACCTTCAATCATCATTTGATTCTGCTAGGTTGTTAATGAAAATCTGTTGTGTACATAGAGAAAATCAAATGCAAACATTGCTTTCCTTATTGAAACAAGTGTTTCGAAAAAGTACCACAGCAAAATGTTTTCAAGATTAATTTTCAGCTTTGTTACAAGCTGTCCTTGCTTAACATTTATTAATTTCTAACTAGCCTTCTGATCCCTCCTATGGCTGAAGATAAACATTTGGGTAGTTTTCAACACATTTACAGGGTGTATTGACATTTCCTTGGGCATTGGTGTTACTGGTATTAAAGTGGTATGAGACCCAGAAGGAAGAAAATGAGGCAGTGGAAAACCTAGAGGAGGAAGGCATTCAAATGTGGACACATCTTGAATGAGGGAAAGTGTTTGGTTGATGAAGAACAGAGGAGAAGTAGGAGATGTAGGGAAGGAATAAACACTGTTACTTGATTGTAGCTTTTTTCTTCTCAGTCACCCGTATCTCGTCCTGAGACAAGTGCTTACTTCCTGCTCACATATCTATTCACCTGAGATGAAAGGGATATGGAATAAAAGTCATGTTGTATCCCAGTTTACTAATTGCAAAATAAAAGCGAGCTAGAATAAATGGGCAGTCTTTTCTTCTTAAAGATGCTCTCAGCTTCTCGGTGTAGAATTGGTGTCTCCTCTTATTGAGAGGGTAGGATGTCACTGTCTGATTAGTTTGACCCACACAAATCAGGGTAACAAAGTGATAGCATTTCAAATGTGAGGTATTGTTCTATGGCACACTGTGTGTTTTAATAAAAGATTGAAATAATTTTGTTAGTTTGAGAATTAAATGTTTATCTTCCTAAAATGTAATGACCTTTGCTTCCTGTGCAGCTGTACAGCAGCCCACCTGTTCTGCACATTTTTTTTAAACTACAGAGAAATTCTTTAAAACAAAATTTGTTTTTTTTTTATCTAGGAGGAAGAAATTGTAATCCTGAGCATTACAATTGGAATAGTCTCCTTTCTTTAAATAATTTTCTGAATTAATTTTAAGTAACTGAAGGCAAAACTCAAAGAGAGGTTTCATAAATCCAACTGTTGTTTAATCGTGCCCGTAATAAGCTGAATGTTTCAAGACTGTCTCTTTATGAATATGATATTGTTATTTTCAAATTGTATTGTTCATCTATTCCTTAGTTTTGATTTGTCCATGTGTGCAGGTAATGGAGATTACTATTGCAGTGGAAATGACCTGAACAATGCTGCTGATGTTCCAGAAGGTGGCATGGATGAGATGGTACAGAAGAGAGTCCAGATGATCAAGTAGGATTTGTTATGCATTGTGAAGAGTGCGCAAGATATGTGTAAAATATATGGGGGAGAAAATGACACATATGAACACTGTTCAGAGGGGATGCTGTTTATTAGATCTGTTAGTCTAGCCAACGTAGCGACCGTCTTTACATTTACCAATGCCCAATTGACATGGGAGAGAATTCTCATAAAGTGATGGGAATAAGCCTCCACCATTACTCGGGGACCTGGAAAGCTGCCTTATACCGAGTCAGATCATTGTTCTATGTAGTCTGGTACTGTTGACTTTGACAAGCGGGAAATCTCCAGGGTGTCAGGCAGGATTTTTTTTTTTAGCCTTTCCTGGTGACCTCTGGTGGCTTCCCATCCAGACTCAGCCCTGCTTAGCTTCTGAAATCAAAAGAGATCAATATGTGTAGGTAGTAAAGTGACATTTTGGATTTCTTTTGGATTCCAAGCTAAAACTAAGCAGAAGCTCTCACACTAAAAATGATCTCTTTTTTTTTGAGGTACCTTCCATTTTTTTTCCTATCATCACTGACTTGTCCTGTGTCTGGAAATGCCCCGAGAGGGAGGATGGGAGTGTGGAACAATGAAACCACATAGCATTTATTAAGGAAGCACACAGAGAAATGAAAAGCCACTTTGAAGTAATGGGCTGCCTGGCCACAACCAATCAGTTTGCGCAGAAAGTTGTTCACACTCCACTGGTGGAGAGGGAAAGAATTAGCGTTCCCCTGTTTCCTAAATCACCAGTCACACCTTTATATTGCCATGAAATCCAAGCTGAAGAGACCTGGAACTATATATACATATTTACCTCCTTCCTATAGACTGCCTTTCCACAATTTATTTTACAAGATAAAGTGCCATTTTTTTCTGTGAAATAGTGATGTTGAACAAAGAAAAAATACCTGAAGAAATTAAACCTGCTTTAGTAGCCTCTTAGAGAGGTTCAGGAGAAGCAGGAGCATCATTAGTGAGTTTCACTGCGAGGCATTACAGCATGATAGAAGTCAGTAATGGAAAAATGGTAGTGATGCCTTTAGGCAGTACATAAAGCACAAAATAGCTGACGATGAGAGGAGTGTTGTGTAGCAGTAACACAAGGAACACTCAAAACTTAATGGAAGAAGGTAGCATTTTCATAGGTATTATATTTACTGTTAAGAAGAGATATTAAAGAAAATTTATTGATGCAAGTCATAAAGGAACAGGCAGTGTAAAATATATTTTTACTGGGTATTTTGGAATCATTTGATGCCATTTCCTCAGAGAAAGAATGATGTCCCACATTTCATTGTATGGCATCATTCCAGTATGATTAGGGTGTTTGATATAATATAGGAAAGTCGCTGACAATAATAAAGATTGTCTTGCTATATGTTACCACATTCTGTTCCTTTCTGTTTCCAGAAACTTTGTCAATCATTTTATTGATTTTCCTAAGCCGTTGATTGCTGTGGTGAATGGGCCAGCTATTGGGATCTCTGTAACTATCCTTGGACTATTTGACATTGTGTATGCCACTGACAGAGTAAGCCTTCAGCCTGATTGCCTATTTCCCATATTATACCTTCATAGCAATGAATGTTACATAGAATACTGTAAAATCTGTGCAGTTTATGGAGACTGCCGTTCCTTCCCTGTGCACAATACAAGTCTTAGCATCACAACAACAGTACTGAGGAAATTACAAAATATTTATGAAATATTTTATACCTTGGCCTGAGGTAGGGGTGGGGTTCTTGTGGAAGAGATCTTCCCTATTGTCTGAAATTGCAGAGTAGGATTATGGAGAGACAATGAAACTTATTTTCCTCTCTTTGCCCAGGTTTTCTTCTGGCAGCCAAAGTTCAAATAGAAGTGAGATTTGCACGAGGTGTCCTAAAAAGTTCAGTGTTCCACAAATTCATATTTAGTGAACTTTCAATACATTAGGGTCTATCTACACTGTGAAATTTTGTGTGATCCAGCTGGTGCTTAAAAGTCCTTATCTGCAGTGCAGTCTGTTTTAATTCTTGGTACCTGTCTGCAAAGGCAGAACAAAGAACTATTTTGCATCTCAATGAAATGTCCCAAAAAGATGGCATGCCCTAGCTCTGTGCCAGAAGGATATAGACCAGCTCTTAAAAGGGGAAGGATGGATCATTTTAAGTAGAAACACAGCTGGACAAGGTCTCTTTTTCCACGCCAAACAGTGCTGTCAGGGAACCATATACCATAACAATATGTCACTATGGACGGGCTCTATGTCTCTTTCTTTTATATTTCATCACATTTGAGAATGTAGAGCATATTGAATATGGAGTCTGAATAAGCTAACAAATCTATAAGTGAATATTGTGGGTGATTTTCACTGATTATATATATGCCCTATTATTCAAATAAAGAATTGGGAATTCAGTAATTTGAGTGCATTTGCCAAGGCTATCAGATAGATGATCATTTGTGTCTCAGGGGTTCATGGTGTTATTGTTCCTTTGTAGCATGAAACCCCCTGAAAGAACCACCCATCTATCTATTATTAGAAACCCTTACACAAAACATACCGTTACTATGTTTGTTATTGATATCCAGAATTTATTAGAAGTGCTGGGCAGTGTTTCATGCTACTTGAAAGAGACAAGCTAACATTCTAACTGAAGTTTATTTTCCTTTCACAGGCTACATTTCATACCCCCTTTATCAACTTGGGTCTATGTCCCGAAGGTTGTTCCTCATATACATTTCCCAAAATTATGGGCTTAGCGAAGGTAAGATATTTCTATTTGTTTATCTGATAACTGCATTGGAAAGATTCTTCCTACACTTTGATCACATAGATTTGTTGTACACCAAGAAAGAGGTCAAATAAAAAGGAGTTAAATCTAACATTAGTTCTACTTAGAGTAGAACTAATATGGGCCTTTTTTCCATTGGGTTTATTCTTGGTAGCCCTGTGCCACTATAAGGTGGAGCAGAAATTATAGATACATACTCTAGTTAGTACAACATGCACTTTAGTAAACATCTAATTTGCCTACCAGATAGCACAGCAAAAAGTTTATTTATTTATTTATTTAACATAGAATATTTAGAATATTTTCCCTGTGTCATGAGGTTTCTGGGTGTGGTACAATGAGAACAATTTAAACAATTGAAAACATAAAATTATTTTAAAGAAAGTCAAATAATTTAAGCCATTGCAAACCATTTTTCTTATAAAGAACTCTATGGTCTACTCAAGCCAAGATCCTTAAATCCCAAAGAGTAAACAACCATATTTTAACTTGGCACTGAAATAAAATGAGTATTCGGGTCAATCAGACTTCCAAGGGGAGAGCAGCACCGGGACTGGGCCACAGGAGCGGGAGCCTTGAGCTGGTGCAGAGAGCAGGAATAGGGATGGAAGCTGGAGCACCAGGGCTCAAGAGCACAGGAGTATCACAGCTTCTGGAAGGGAGAGTCCTTCCTGAAATTAGGACTCCCAGGTAGACCTCATGAGAGCCCTTGTAGCTGCTGCCACCCAGATCCTGACACCATGGCATCTCTGTGCATAGTGACAATGCGTGCACCCAACTGCACCATAGTATCTCCCACTGTGTGTATCAATATGGTGAATTAAAATAGAGAACAAAGTGCTGCAATTTGGAGATATGTTCCAGGGGATGTCGTACCTGTTTGCAGCTAATCCAAAATAACTACACTTTCCCTGATTTCTTGCAATGGTGTAATCCAATTTTGAGCCCTAGAAAGCATTCAACCTCATAGCACTCCCAGCAGCTACAAATGCTGCAGAATACAGCAGGGAACACAGGGAATAATAGAGCCCTTATCAAATATTTATTTCTCACTCTACCTAAGTATTGTTTATGCTGACTCTCCAGGGTCTCAGGCAGAATTTTCTTCCTAACATCTTCTACCTGAACTTTTAAACTGGATATGCCAGGGATTGAACCTGAGGCCTTCTACATACAGTATGTAACATTAAGCTATCCATCCCGCTCACTACACTTAAAAGAGCACCAGAGTTTATAAAACAACTGTGAAAGAATAAATGAGAATGGACAGTTTTATGTATTTTCCTGCTTCAACCAAAATTTATTTCTTTTTCCCCCCTTTGATTCAGGCCTCTGAGATGCTGCTTTTCAATAAGAAGCTGACGGCTGCAGAAGCCTGTTCACAGGGGCTTGTGACTGAGGTTTTTCCTGACCATACTTTCCAGAAAGAAGTGTGGACAAGGCTGAAGGCTTATGCAAACCTTCAGCAGAATGTTAGTGTTTAAAAGAGTTATATCCTATGTTCTAAGCTAGGGGTGGGCAACTTGTGGCCTTTAATAAGATGCTGTCGACTGCAGTCTCCATCATTCCTTACCATTGGTTATGCTGGCTAGGGCTGATAGGAGTTGTAGTCCCGCAACACCAAGTATGCCACAAGTTATCTGTTCCCATTGCAAAGATATGGCTTGATCAGCTTCTTTCCCAAACACTTCACAGGTGTAACAAGACTTCCATTCCCAAACCCAGTTGCTCCAGTCAGGATAGTTCAGGTGTCCAATAAAAATGTCACTGCTTTATTATTTTAGCTGTGAGGATCCTAGCATGCCGGGTTTCTGGGATTTAGTTTGCAGCTCAGGTGGGTAAGACCAGAGGTAATGGATGTAAGTTATAAGAAAGGAGATTTCAACTAAACATTAGGAAGAACTTTTTAACACTCATGGCCCTTTGACAAAGGAATTGACTGCCTTGGAGAGTGGTGGCCTCTCCTTAACTGAAGATTTTAAAGCAGAGGTTAGATGGCCATGTTCCAAGGATTTCCTGCACTGTCAAGGGGCTAGATTCAGTGACCTTTGGGGTCCTACCAGCTCAGCAGTTCTATATTATCTAGTGTTGAGTGTGTGTGCAAACCAGAGTGGGGCAGGTGGGGTTCTGCTTGTGTGCATGTATATGCATGCCCATCCCCTGCTAGCTAGCAGTTGATGTGATCCTCGGGGTCAAAAGGATTGCATACTACTGATTTCTTTTCGACTCAATTATCCAGGTGTCTGCCCCAATATAGGAAGAACATCATTCTCTATGCACAAGAGGGAAATATGAGGAAGCTTGAACTAGGCAGGATTTATAAGAACAGAAGTGAACTTGAAAGAAAAAAATCCCAAAGCATTGAGTGATGGAACCAAAAATAACGCAGTGAGTTCTGAGCATGCTCAGTGGCCACAGAACACACATTGTATTGGGTGGGAGAGTGGAGACAAAAATTTAGATAGGGGGATTGAGATGGAATATCTCGAAAGATGGCAGGGCTGGCTGCTTGATAAGCTGACCAGGGAGCACTCTGGTGTGCTCACAGGCAGAAAACTAATGCACATGCTTCGCTGTTCTGGAAATCTTATGTGGAGAGTAGATTAAATATTAGTCAGGAAAAAAAAAAGGAATGTGGGTGCTTTTCCATTAAAGAAACATTTTTATTAATAACAAAATATTTTCTTTTCACTTAACTCTTAACATTGCAGCAAAAACTAAAACTCTTTTTATAATCAAGTCAGTTGTGACAAGTATCCATGTTGCCCCCCTTTTAAAACTTTCTTCTACCCTGTTTCCCCGAAAATAAGACCCAACCTGAAAATAACCCAACCTAGTATGATTTTTCAGGATGCTCGTAATATAAGCCCTACCCCAAAAATAAGCCCCAGTTAAGTGAAACCCCACCCTTCACCATTGTGCAGTAACCAGAAGATCACATGACTATATTGGAATAAATGTAGATTGTTGTATATGAAATGAAATCCCCTAAAATAAGCCCTGATGTGTTTTTGGAGCAAAAATTAATATAAGATCCAGTAGTAGTAGTAGTAGTAGTAGTAGTAGTAGTAGTAGTAGTAGTAGTAGTAGTAGTAGTAGTAGTAGTAGTTTTCCTCACAGCATTGCTGTTGCAGTTTGTTTCTACAACAAAATGTATAGATATAATAATATTAAACAGATTAATGTCTTACTGAGGAAGGTTTGTCTTACTGTTTCTTCAGCCAGTTTATGGTCAGAACACAATCCTGTCAGGTAATCCTAATTGCTTAGCTTCCCCACTTGCTTCTCTTCCAAAAATCTTCAATACCAATGACATCTCCCCCATGCACACAGCTAAATATATTTACAGTGTAGGGGTCCAACTTAGAGGAAAATGATTGGTCAGTGGAAGAGTACAAATATGAGGAAATTTGGGCACTTCCTTTTTACCTGACAACTCTCCAGAATCTCTCTTTCTGCCTCATTATGTGCCAAACATGGCTTCAGGTTTAGGACTTAGTCTGCATCTTATAATGTAAAGCTCCTTAGAGAAATGCAGTTTCAAACAGTTTTCCCCATGTAACTATGGACTTTAAATTTCAGTCTTTCTCTCTCCCTCTCTCCCATCTCGTCCCTCACCTCTCAGTCCTTATCTGTCTCCAAGCAGTTAGTACGAAACATGGAAAAGGAGAAGTTATATGAAGTCAACTCTCAAGAGTGTGAGTGCCTCAGAGGAAGGTGGCAATCTGATGAATGCATGGATGCTCTAGTGAAGTTCTTTCAGAAGAAGTCAAAGCTCTAATACCTTGCCAACCAAAGCTTCCTTCCATCCCCTTATTACATGAAAAGCTGATATTAAAGTAATACTATGGATATTAATTGTACTTTAATTGTACCTGACAACAATAACCCATTTATTATCTGGTGATGGAAATGCTGAAATCAGAAGGCTACTAATGTTGCAGAGTTTCTAGTCTTTCGGAATTTTGTTGTCTCATATTTAGACATGAATCTGTGGTACCAAAAACACTGCATACTTCTTTCTGGACCATTAGGTGGAAAAGCACTTATCGCTTTGCATGCAGAGCGGAACTCTTTGAATATGACAACAACTGTTTGCCTTCCAAAAGGGGTCACTGATTCAATCTCTCCAAATTTTGTGAACTCTTGAAGAACTGATTTCTTATCATACTGCTTTAACATGGTCTTTGGTGTCCATCTGTTGTGGAAGAGAAAAGAGGACATTGTGTTAGAAAAATTGAATTAAAATATTTTATTTTCAAATTGTTGTTGCAAGGTCACATGGTGTACAACTTTCTAACAGTTTCATTGATTTTGCCATGTCTTACAATTTATTCTGTCATGAGTTAGAAAAAGTCTAAGGCACCGGAGAACCTCTGGCTTAAATCCACTTGTTAAGCTCACCTACAAGATTGAATCTGTTGCTGGACTCCCATTACTGGTGGCATTAAATCCTCCAGTGTAAGTCTCTGGTTAAGAAGTCACCAGTTGTATTCCCTGTTACATAGCACTTGTGTTAGTTTGCATGTGACAAGAAATCCAAATGCTGATTCCCTGACTAGTGGCAGTTTGCAGCATAAACTTACGCTGACAAATTTAATGCTGATGTAATTATATAATTTTTTAATCTAATCTTTTGGCTAAGATGTTTCAGATCAATGTAGTGCACACAGTTAGGAGTGGGTTATTGGTAGTAAGTGAAAGGGAAAGTAAATAGAGAAAATACGGATACTGATAATTAACTCATTAATATCAGTCATTCATAAAATTATGGTTAATAATATAATGGTTCTTGATGGACAATGAACACATGGTGTATTAAGATTTGGTGATAAACTCTAACTTGACATTCTTTCATTATTTCATTTTTTTCCTAACCTCACTTGTAAGAATTTTACCCTCAAGTAGATGAATTATATTTTTACCTCTGTTTCTGGTTAACACTTCATGCAAGACTGTAGTCACTCAGTAATAAATTTGCATGGGATTAACCCAGTGGTAGTCCAAACCAGAAAAGGCGCATTGAAATGAATGGGGCTTGTTAGTCACCACATACAGTAGGTAACAATCATTAATTTCCTTTGGACTGCTAACGCTGGGAGGAACACTGGATTTCTCTCTCAGCCTTAAAGATGCCGCAAGACTCTCTGTTGTGTCTACTGTAGCACACTAATGTGACTATCATCTTGGAGATGGGTTAATACAGCTATTTGAAAACTGTGGGAGGCACTTGTGATGCCTTTGATCTTTAGATAGCTGCCAGCATGAAACATATCTTCCACGGAGGCTGGGAAATTATAAAATCTATAACCGTGAATAGAAGACTGTTGTTTTTAACAGCAAAAGTTGAAAATGTGTGGAAGGGATTTGGTTGAGAAGTGCCATTCTGCTAGAACCAAAGTAGTTTCATGCTGGAGCAGAAAGGCAAGTCTGCATGCATTTTTCTCCCTTTCTCTGAGGGTCATTTTAGCTCCTTGACCCTCCTCCCTGGCTGCTTTTCACCTTGTAGGAGGAAAGGCAAAGGTTCTTTTGTCTTTACCCGTACAATACAAGGCAGAAATTCTCTGTGTGGATGGGATGATTTCAAGAGGAAAACTGACTCCCTGTCCTGAATGTGTTTAAAATCTCTGTACAGTGGGGTCTTGACTTGAAAACTTAATCCGTATTGGAAGGCGGTTCTTAAGTCAAAAAGTTCTCAGGTCAAATCTGCATTTCCCATAGGAATGCATTGAAAACCATTTGATCCGTATCTGCTCTTTTCCATCCATAGAAATTAATGGGAAGTTGCTATTCTGCCTTCGACCACTAGAGGGGGATATTTTGTTTCTTTTTTTCTTAGGTCAAGAAAGGTTCAGGGAAGGCAGGGAAGATACAGTCCAGGCAGTCCAGTACCAGGCAGTCCGAAGACTGTCTCCCAATCCACTCTCTAAACGCTGGGAGGAGGGAGGAAGCAGACAGGCACCCTTTTCACTGGCCAACAGTTAACTGAAAGTTCAAAGTTTGCACTTTCCCTGCCTCCCACGTGGGTTTTTTTCAGTTCGTAACTCAAATCTAAGTATGTAAGTCAAGTCAATATTTTCCTATGAGAGTGGTTTGGAAGTCAAAATGTTCTTAACTCGGGCCGTTCTTAAGTCAAGACCCCACTGTACTCAATTGCTCTTTTCCATAGCCACATGCACACTGATCCCTATAATATGTAATCAAAGAAATTGTTTCACAGGAGTGTTTAATTCGCTTAGTGATCTCTAAGATCAGTCCATGTTTCATCCTTATAGGGTAACAGCCAGAATGTTCAAGGCCAGTGCACTAGAGGGGGTTTCAACACAGTTTTATTGCAGTTTTTTGTCTATCTGTCTATCCGTCTGTCACATTATGGGATGGACTCAGTAAAAATCATGTTAATAACAGGAACATGCAGTTCCCTATATAAATACTCCAGGTGAACAAGATTGTGTACCTCTTTGCTGGCAAGAAAGACATTTTTCAATGTTATGTGCTCAAATGGGAAAACCAAAGGAGGTGAGCTCTGTTATTTTGCATGACTGGGCAGAAGAGGATTGTGCAGTAGAGAAGCAGAGAGAAAAAGGATCATCATATCCAGATATACGTAATCCACATGTTGAAGGATCCACATGATTAAAATGGAAACGTCCTTGAATTTATATTGTTTTCTTTTCCTCCCCCCCCCCAAGAGCAGTTTAGCTTTATTCTTTCTTAATCTGTAAACTCACAATAGTTTTTCATTCCATCTTCCTACAGGACTTTAGTTGCAGAGCTGTTTTGTACTGCACAAAAATACCCTGGAGTGTGATATTTGGGGATTCTGTTTTGTTCCACTGTTTTATATTATTTTGACAAGTATAAACAGATGGTATGTTCTGTTCTAGAAAGAACATTCCATAAAACAATGTGACCTGGTTATTTCCTGGTCTTTTTAATCCGCTTTTCAGGTTTTGGAGCCTCCCACTTTAACAGGTAGATACTTTCCAGAGTTTCAACGCTGGATTTTTCAATTAGCTATCAAGCAAAAGCTGAATGTAAAATTTTAAATAGCTTTTCTGCAACTTAGTTAGATCCTAAATTTATTATGAAGTGGGCTTCCTTAAACAGAATGTGTGCCAAGAAAATAAATAGTAGCTGCTAGAAGACAGCCAGAATATCTGAGTCAGTTATTTCTGGGGATGTCAGGAATCACTTAGGTTAATTATTAAGCAGAAGAAAATATGCTAATTAAACTGACCAATTATTATTCCAAATATATTGTGACAGAAGTTTATGGAATAAAGAATTATTGCGTAGATTGTCATATTCTCAAACCACTGGCCCTGCTCTTGTCCCTTCAAGTGCAGCTTGATATGCAATCAGCCAACCAAATAAATGAATTAATACAGATGAAGCCTGTCTCAGCATGGAAGTCAGATAAAATTTCCCGCCAACATCCCCACATATGGAAAATCATCAGTTGCTAAATATAGAGGAAAATGCAAGATATTAGACAACTAATATAAGATAGTAGATGCAATCCTTAAAAATAAAATGAATTGTATAACACTGTACCTTGCAACTATAGTTGCCATCAGAGCACCCTGTCTGTACACCCCAAAGGCTTTATATTCATTGGCAGCCTTGTTGGAAAGTAATCTTTTTGACAGAGGCATGTGGTCTGGCTGTGGTGAAGAATATGCCTCTTGTGGTAGGTCATCCATTCTAAACATTTCAAAGTAAGAGCTTTTATAACCTGAAGAGGAAGGGGAAATAGAAATGGTTTTCAGTTTTAAAAATACTGTATTGGTGATGGGGGTAGGTAAGTAGGTCTACAATGGCTACTTTTTTTTTTAACCAGTCCTGCTGCTGTGCCTTGGTAACTCAAAATAATGATTTTCCTACTATGTATGCCAAGAAAAGCTGCACTTAGTAAGCTGATAGCCAACAGTTCACTGTCAAAGTGACAACCTTAGCAGCAACTGCAGACATGGTATAGCTGAGGTGCAACATCTACTGTGAGAACTGGTGCCTATATCTTGCACACAGTTCAAAAATCTACTTCTACCGACAGAAAAATGTTCCCATTGTAAAGCAATATGGCTCAGAAATACAGGAACTGGGTTAGATCTTTTACATTCCCCATGAATTCAGACATTGCACTTGCTATCTGTATTTGGTTCCACATACAGATAGCAAACCTAACGTCTGCATTCATGACCAATGTAGAATACCTAACCCAATCTATTTTTTATCATGCTGCTCATCTTTTTCTGACCATTCCATTCTACTCAACTCATGGAATATTCTTGCAGTATTTCTCTTATTCCCAAACTGACTGCACCAATTTGTAGCATGAATGTATACATACTCCTCAATTTAATAATGTGGAAATGCTGTTGCCATTAGATTTTAAATTGTAATGTATAATTCCAGAGTTTCGCAGTCATAAATCCTGAAGACTGTTTTTTATAATGAATATGATGATGTACAGTGCTACCTACTTTGTTTACACAGTGGTACTTCCCCTGATTTCAATGAACTGTAGCAAAAGCAAAACACAAAACCTTCCTGTCTACTCTCCCTGGAAGAGGATCAGGCAGAGTAACTTTGATGCCTCTAAAACCTAGCTGATAATTATTTTTGTCTCAAGATAACACACTGTAATGGCAAGACATTTTATTTCTGGTGCAAGTTAGCTACATCCCCTTTTGTTTCATCCAGCAAGAGTTTAATGGGTATGAAGTACAATGAATACTGAGAACACGGTGTCTGCATACCCATCCTTTTGGTTTCATTGCTCTCCATAGTCAGAGGTGCCCAAGTAGGAAGGGGGATTTTGAAACCATGAGAAGGTGGGGAGGAGCTTCACTTAATGACTTTATCATAACAGCGCTACCTCTGATAGTGTGAGAGGATTGTTCAAAGGTAGGTGCAGTGTTCACTGAAGAAGAAGAGTGCATATGTTTTAACTAGAAATATAACACACAGAGGGAAATGAATGATAATAACAAAGCCTTTGGCTGGAATCCTGTTGCATGGCTGCACAAGCAAAATGTGAAGCCACAATCATTGTACTGAAAATTGCAGGGTAGCAAAAGTATTTACAAATCATTGCTGCACATATGCCACATACCTGTTGCAATGGGGATCATGCAATTGACTGTGCAATTGAATTGTGCAATCCTATTATCTGAGTGCAAAACTCAGCAAATTTATGCATGCGTAGCTTTACATTATGCAAAAATAAACAGGAATTCAGCCACAAAAATTCTTTAATTTTTACACAGCCTGCATTCCTCTTGCTGTTAATTTTCTCATTCGTGTATCTTTAGCATTTCTTTTTCAATCTCTTCTCAAACAGCATTTGCTTGTTTTACTATTACAATTCTTGTAAAAAATCTTGAGCAAATTAAATGCTCTTTTCCCCAAAAGAGGCAGAATTGGATTTTTCCAGATGGGCAGTGTAGCCTTCTTTATCTAGGGAGGATTATTTTTATTGAAATATAATCCCCTCTTTATCTCACTTCAGACATTTCTTTAATACCCCACATAGAAGCATTAAAGTAGTTTCTGGCTTCATTATCACTGATATAATTTAAGAGGAGAAAAAGAAGTTTTCAGGCTCTCATTGCAAAGATGTTGTGACTCAAGGCATTTGTTTTTTCAAATGCTGACTATAAAAACTTCTAGTATGTTACAACATAGCATAATATTGCCTTATGGCAAGCAGCTCTTTCAGACATACAGGTGTCATTTCCAAGCAGTAAACAGTATAGATTTTATGTTAGTTATAAAAGCTCTTTACTTACAGCTGCACTTGTCCATTTCCAGAACTATTTAAATATTACCAAATATCTAGAAGTCTCCCTCTTTACCTCTGAGTAAATAGTTTCATATTCCCTTCTGACCTATTGCGACCCTAATAGTTTTCAAAGTATATGAGATGTTCAAGGAGTGTTTTATTATTGCCCATCCTCCGATGAGTTTATGTGGCTGAGCAGGGATTTGAACCCAGTTTTATGTCTCTTAGTCTCACATTTTCTCCGCAACGCTGCTCTAGCTCTCATACTTCTCTACATACAGTATATACATATATATTATATCAAACCATGTTTGTAACAGCACCTACATTTTTCTTGATCTTCACTAGCACATTGAAGCAGCAGCTCCTTTAGTGGATCTTGCAAATGGCTGGAAAGAGCAGAGAGCTTTAAAAACATATAGTTTATATCATCGTGTTTATCCCAGCTGTTCAGCTTCTGATAGACGACTAGTGATGGTAAGTTCAGACTAGATCTGTTGGCTGGAACAATACCCTCCTTCTTTATGGTTTGGTGATGTATAGCCAGTTGTGGGAACTTTAGGGGAAATCTCTTCAGGGGCATCATTCTGTTACTTTTCTTTTTCATATTCTGTTGTTTAGAAGACAATTGCCACACAATGGCAAAAACCAAGGATTTGTGCCTTTCTGTGCCACAGGCTGCTTGCCACAAAGGAGAGCAAATATCTTTTTTGCTCCTGTCTTTGTGCAACATAGGTGACAACAGCAACGTGATGTCATAAGGAATGAAGTTGAGGAAGAAATTACACCATAGGAATATATTTTATGTTGGTAACAATTGGTTACATGCACTATTCAGTCAACATTTGCTTTGATTAAAATAAGTTTCACTATTCTGCATAGGCTAGCTTTCCCCAAACTGGTACTCTGAAGAAAAAAAAAACAAGCCCCACTATTCAAGCCTATACACAGACACATTACATACTTGTACCAATATCAAATCTACTTATTAGTGCTAACATTGTAGGGAGGAAGAATCAAACTCCTTGTAAATCCTTTTCTTGACGAAACTACCCAAAGTGTCACAGGGAATTGATAATAGTACTACAGTGGGGTCTCGACTTACGAACGGCTCGACATACGAACGTTTCGACTTACGAACCGCTCTCATAGGAATATATGGACTCGACTTACGAACTTAGATTCGAGTTACAAACTCTTTTTTTTTCCCTTTTTTAAAAAGCTAAGTCATCTTAGGTTAAAAGGAAAAAAGAAAAAATATCCCCCTCTAGTGGCAGAAGGTGGAATAGCAGCTTCCCATTAGTTTCTATGGACGAAAAGAGCAGATACGGATTAAATGGTTTTCAAAGCATTCCTATGGGAAATGCAGATTTGACTTAAGAACTTTTCGACCTGAGAACTGCCTTCCAATACGGATTAAGTTCGTAAGTCGAGACCCCACTGTATACTCTTTTCACCCAGTGTGTGTAGTGAACAGAGCATTGGACTAGGACTCAGTAGACCTGTATTTGAATCTCCACTGAGTCATAGAAACTTACTGGGGTAGTGGAAGTGGCAAAAACGCTCCTTAAGTATCTCATTTTGGAAATCCTGTTAAGGTTGCTATACAGTAAGCTGGTTCCGAGTTGATGGCACATAACCACACACTCTTTACTGGACAGAAGAAACAAAATATTAAGCTATGGGTAGTATTGCAAATTGAGAAGATGGAGGAATGCCCAGTCACAAGACTCCTGAAGAAAATATCATTTGAAATGGCAGATTACCTGATGCCCATTGTGGCCTAGTTATATATTTTCAAGCTTAAGATATGTGTTACAATTGATGTCTTCATGTCATAATATGGAGTTTGAGGGCTTCAACTTTTGTCTAAAAAGAACGAGAATCTGTTTGAATTCATTTTTAAAAATGGTAGTTCAGTTAATTATGTTCTAAGATAGTAATCTATGATATTGATAATAGTGCAGTTATCGTATTTTTCCGTGTATAATACTACACTTTTGTCTAAAATCTTTAGACTACAAATTGAGGTTTGTCTTATATACAGAAGTAAACTGAGGAGAGAACAAACGCAAGTGGAGGGGAAATCAGGGATCAAAGTGATCCTGCAGCGCTTTGATCCCTTTCCCCCTACACTTGCTAAGCCCCACTTATTTTTCTTAATTTTAGATTAGAAAAGTGGGGGTGTCTTATACATAGGGGTGTCTTATACATGGAAAAATACGGTAAATGTTATGTCCAAAAGACAAACTGCTAAGATTGTTAGCATAAAATATGCTATTTATGTTCTCACTATGATCTATTATTGAAAGTATTGAGAAGTGATTGTATTATAAACCTGTAATAATTTACAGGTTTGTTCTTATTTAGATCTATATATGAAGGTAATTAGAATGAATTGTTTGAATCAGTTATTGAGAAATTAATGAATGATTAATACATGATGGTTATATGTAAGTAATAACCACTTAGTAAGGGAACAACACTGAAATATTTTGGAAATGCTGTTTATCTTCATTTATATTTTTCTGAAGGTATGTGTATTTTTAATAAGATGTTCCAGCTTGTTTTTACAACTGTGAATATTGTTTGAGGACCTCTTCTATCACTGTCATTCCTATGTTTGTCCATACCAGTGCAAGCAGAGGGCAGGCACAAGAAGTGGTGGCCATCGTTACATTATACCCCACTGAGTAGCTGATAGAAAATATCAAAAGGAATAGTGTGGAACATGGAACAAACAACAGGACTTATACCTGTCTAGTTGTTCCCAAGAGTTGTTGTCCAAACCAACTGCCAATGAAAAAAATTGCCAATGAAGAGCTTAACAGCAACAGCAAGTTGCTAAGACAAATAGAAAATATTGTTGCAATTTTTAAGAGAAAAAAATTAAGAAAAATATTAAAACATTAAAATAGAAACGGCATTGGTTTCCTTTTATGGAAATAATACTCTGTGGGCTATCACTTCAAAAGGAGAGTTACAGAAGAAAATGTCAAGCACACTTTAAATATTTGTAAATGGGACTCTTATGGAAATTGATCTGTAATTTTTCCTTCACAGACAATTTTAAGACTTAACATTGTCATAATGTTAGAAGGTGGAACATTCTCAGATCAAGTCCATTAGCAGTTCATAACACACAGTAATATTTTAAATCATTCCCTTTATTACTTGGAGCAATCCCAGATTCTGTTATCCATTTTTACACAGAAAGTGCTCCCAAACCAATTGTTTTTCTGCTTTAGAGCTAATGGTAATTTTGAGGTATATATGAATGCTGTTTTTGCACTCAAAGTTGTGATTGCAGTATAGTTGTTTGGAAGTTAGTCTCAGTAAACTAGGTGCTACAAGTGTTAATGGAAAGCAAATACATATGCATAAACCTCCATACTTTATGATATTCAAACTGAAATAAATCAGGCCTGATGCACTAACATCAAAACAATATTTCACATACGTCATTTCACATAATCAGGGCCTTGCAAAGAACTGAGAACTGGGGAAACATTAGATCACAATAAGAGTTTGCTAATGACTATACAATAGTACTATCTGGGACAATTTGCTTTCCTATCCTGAAAAGATTAACAGTACAGTACAGTGCTCAAATGGTACAATGTGTCTAAGCTTGACAGCTTTTTACTTGGTGTCCTTAGTCATTGCCTGATACACAGAAGCTTAAGATATGCCCATTTGCTAGACACAAACATAGAAGTGACAAGAAAAAAATACCTTTTTCTGACAACATTCCATATATCAAGCTGGTATTACAGGTGTGGGAGCTGGTATTAAAGATGACGTTTTTATTATGTTGCTGTGACTGAAAGGAGCACACATGCATGTGAACAAGGTTTTAGTAAGTGGAATTCTGGATAGTGTTGAGCTAAACCTTGTGTAAGCTTTTAGTCCAACTTCTTGTTGGTGATAAAAAGTAGCTCCTTCGGTGACATGTTCTGACAATACAATATCATGCTATTTCAATCCCTTCAGTTGTTTTCTTGTTCAAGAAAATTCTGCCTTATTAAGTGGAGAAACATGATATACATATTTCCCCCATGGGTGGAAAAAAAATAACTTGGAGAACATTATTTTAAGATAGAAAAGCCTACAGAAGGAACAGTTAATCATTCTTTCTGTGTGCCTTTCTTTCATGACAAGCTGCTATGAAAAAAAGAGTAGAACAAATACTCATGGAACGCCAGATAATGTAGTTTGAGTCATAATGATTTAATGACACGTTAAGATTCTGAAACAGTAAACTCTGTTCTAGAATTATCTGTAACAAAGTGAGTTTCACTGAACCACAGCGACACTTGCAATTGTCTATTTAACTGTTTTTCCGCAGTCTTAGCTTTTTTTATTGCTAGTCTATGAAAAAAAAGTAAAATACGCCCATTTTTTAAACCATGACATTAAGGTATCAACCACTTTTTTTACCAAAAGCAACTGTTGTATTCTCTCCACAAAGTGGCAACTCTACATGCAATAGCATTAACCAGACTCCAAATGGAAAAGTATTTACCAACATGCAGAGAAGGAACATAGAATGTGGGCTACCCACGCCAAATGCTTTTGCTCCCATGTTTTATTCCAGAAGAAAATTATTAAGTAAATTTCAAGCTGAAGAAGATCAACCTTGCTCTGGTAACACAATCCTGTAAGTTTTAAATATGTTGAAAAACATAGCTTTAACATGCTATACTTTAAAGTTGACCTATGTAAGGGGGAGAGGTTGTGAAATATTTCAGGCAAAAAACCCCCGGGAATTTAAACAAGTGATGTGAAAGATCTGTATGTCTCAAAGTCCTTCCAGGGCCCAGTGTGTGGTAACAAGAGTAGAAAGCCTAACTGAACTCAATGACACTTAAAGCTGACTAGTCACTGTGCTACTAATTTTACAGGAGAGACTGGCTCTCCAAATCTGATAGTTCCCAGCCTTGAGTCCCCAGGTATGTTCTTAGATTAAAACTCCCAGAGGCCTCCACCACTAACTGTGCTTGGCCAGAACTTCTGGGAGTTGTTGTCCAAAAGTGTCTGGGGACCCCAGGTTGGGAACCATTGGACTAGGGCATGTATTCGGGTCAGTAGTTTGAACGCTTGAAATGTCTAAGGTCTAGTACCACAATGTATTCGCAAAGGCTTTCACGGCTGGGATCCAATGGTTGTTGTGGGTTTTTCGGGCTCTTTGGCCATGTTCTGAAGGTTGTTCTTCCTGACGTTTTGCCAGTCTCTGTGGCTGGCATCTTCAGAGGACAGCACTCACCAGAGCACAGAGTGCTGTCCTCTGAAGATGCCAGCCACAGAGACTGGCGAAACGTCAGGAAGAACAACCTTCAGAACATGGCCAAAGAGCCTGAAAAAACCACAACAACCATCTAGTACCACAGGTTGTCTGTAAGCAGGTGTGGCAGCAGGTCAGCCTGTTGTTCAACACATGGTTTAATAGCATTTATTTCCCCTTCCACTCATGATGTTTTTCCAGGGGATAAGAAAAAAAGGTTAATGCATATCCATCCCATTGGAGCCCAGAGCAGACAAACCATTTTGCTGCCTGAGGCAAGCAGCAAATAGTATCCTCCCACACACTGTTCTACAATATCCAAGGCCAGACAAGACATTCCGGTCCCCTCTCCTGGCAGTGCGAATCAAATACATTTAAAAAGCAACTACTGCCAAGGCTGCAGACTTCAAATCTCCGAGCTGAAGCAACCACATCGCCAACTAATAAGCAGAGCCAGCCCCAGTTTATTAAACAAAATAGCAGGTGAGGGACAGGCAGCTGTCGCTTCTTATTCGACTCTTAAGCTTTTGGGGGCCTTCTAAAGCGCCCCGAGAGCATTTTCCTCCTGCATGAAGTAGCTCCTGCAAAAGGGAATACCTCTCAGCTCTGCTGTTTAAAACCGAAAGGACGCCCTTACTAAGCCTGCCTCAAGGTGCATCTTGTCTTTTATGGCAGATTCCACCGGAGGCTTCGGGAGGCCACTTTCTCACTGAGGCTCCCCCGCAATGTTAAGACACTTTGTTTTGCGCGCTTTTGCCCTTCCCGCGACCAATGCCCGTTCAAACTAAACGCGAGGGGCGACGCCATCGCCACGTTGCCCCCCCCCCCCGGACGGGTTCAGGAGCAGCTAAAAAGGCACCTTAGCAGGCCCGATCGCCCGCTTGCGGGAGCTGCGGGCACCGCCTCTGAAGCAGCCTAGTTCCCTTCCTCGTGGCGGGGCCCCGGCGGGCCGTCGCAGTGGCTAAGCCGTTCCCATAGCGACAAACTCCCCCCCCGCCTCTATTAACGAGCACTGGAGGCCGAGGTGAAGGCCCCAGGCCCCGAATCCAGCCTATTTTCCCGCGCCTCATCATGTATCCGGCGGGGGGACGGCCTGCGCCCGCTTCTCCTCCTCCTCCTCCTCCTCCTGTCAGAGAAATGCGCGGAAGTCTCGGAGGCTTCCCAGGGTAGGGGAGAGGAGTAGGCTTTTGGCCCAAAGGGGACGGAGTGGGGAAATTCCCTAGTCAAAACAACCGCCATGTCGGCCATCCATTTCTTTTACCCCCCTCCCGTCCTGAAGGAGAGGATTTTGCTTTTCCCACTCTAGGGTGGGGTCGTGACTCGTAACGCTCCCAGGCCCGTTTCTATTCCTGCCACGGCTCATCCCTTCGCACTTCTTCCCAGACAGTGGCGTCTTGAGAGAAAGAAGGGACTCTATTGGGAGTGGGATTCAGCCACGATCTTGGAATATTTTTTACACATCAATCAGTGCTCCATGATTTCCATGCGACCATTGCTGTCGAATGTAATGTGCACATTATATCCAACTGCAAATTATATTTAGACCGTAGACATGATGGGAAGCTATGGCTAATGTTAGACCGCCATGTGTATGTAACGCATATTAACTTACTTGTATTTGCTGAAAACAAAGATTTCACCAGTAAAAACGTTACATGCAAACAAACGCTCAGTAAAACATCCAGTACAAAGTCACTGGATGAAAATGAAATGCTAAAAGTACTTTGGTTAGAAGGTACTGTACAGTATATACAATATACTGTAATTGGAAATGGCCTTGCATGGCAAGTTGATGTTTCTCAAGCTGCTTCTTTTTCCATGATAGAAGGACTTTGCAGAGTGTATTTGTACTGATGTCAAGAGATCAAAACATGGTTCTGTATCAGTATGCTTGCACACTGAGATGTCTTTTAACTAAGACACCCGTAATTACTGGATGTGGTGTTAGTTTCTTTAGGGAGCAGGTGTTGATCCACTCATTGGCTGTGTAGCTGTTTCCTTGTTTAAAAGTGACAACTGCTACTAGTAATCATTCACCTCCCCAGAGTACTGTAATATTCAGCTGTTTTGTTAATCTTTACAGAACAGTATCTTATGGTTGAAGTTGGCAGAAATCTCCGAAAGTTATGTAAAACACAATTTTATAGTCTCTAAAATACCACATTCTTCATTGTTTTGCTACAACAGAGTAACACAGTCATGATTATTCCTTGCAGTCAGCTTAACCCCCATCTCACGCCCATTGCTGCAAATTCAGCACACATTTTTGGATACCTTGCAATGGGCTGTGAGTTAGGATATGTTTTATTTGAAAAAAAAGGTCTTCCAGATCGTTTTGTGTTACTCTGTGCCTACTTTTTCGTTTGCTCTTACTTCTTCATGATTGTTAGTGCCAGTTCTCTTATTTTAAGCCCATGAGCAAATCCTACTGAACCTTCCATATTTTTCTGATTGACATCTGACAAACATGCTTCAGCTCTGGGAGTGATTATCTTCTTTCCATAATACTACTTCTGCACTGTGGCTATCATATTTTGCCACTCTAGCCCTGGTGCGATAGGACCTAAGTCTGCCCTTTGTCACTACAATTAGTCACACTGCTTCAGTTTATTGCCTTGCCTGTCTTGAATTATTTTTATGTCATTCCTGATCCCCATGCCCATACAGGCTTACCAAGGAAAACAAGACCACCAAGTCAGCCAATTTAGTGGAGGGAAAAGACAGTGTACCTGGCGTTTGTGGGACTGGTCTCCCACTGAACAGCTTTTTTCACCAGGTATGTGAACCATGATTTAGAGGACAGCTGTTAAGCACACGTTCCTTCTGCATATCCACTAGTGTCATGAAATGGCTAAGCATTTGCCATATTGAAAATTTTTTAAAAGTTGCTTTAAAGACAGCTGTGTTGTGTTTATCGTTGAAGATTGCTTAGTGAAAGGCTCTCCAGTGAAGTTTGTCCATGCAATTCTAACTGAAGACACAGGATTTTGTTTGCTTACTTGCTTTATCAACTTGTTTGCTTACTTGCTTTATCAGTGTAAGAAAGGTAAAGGACTGTGATTTGAATGTACTGCCTAATTTGGCTTATATTGCTTTCCTGATTATAAATGCTCACTTGAACTCCTATTACACAAATTGACAATACATATTATTACAGACATCCCATGCCTGTGGTCTGGAATTTAATTGTTCTGTCAAAAAGACATTTCATTCACCAGAAGATAGGACTACTTCAGGAGGTAAGAGTTATGTGCAGATATTCTGTAAGATGAGAAACTAATTTCTCTAATAAATCAAAACTCTTGTTCTTTTTACAGGTGTCTTTGCAAATGCTTTTTACAAGGTAAGAGCAGACTAATCACCATCCATTTAATGATAATTTGTTTACCTGCCTATCCTGTGTTGGCATGGCTCTTATTTCAAAGGAAGTATTATATATATTATTATGGTGTGAACCCATCACCATGTGAATGCTTGAAGAGTTCCTGTCTATTTTTTTTCTGATTCCTTCAAGAAAAGTACTAGACTTTCATTTACCTGTTATGAAGAGAAGTTCCGTATACTAACAGGAGAGCTATATTAGTCTTGTTGCAGCATGACCATTAAAGAGTGCTGTGGAATCTGTTACAACATAAGCTTTCATGGACTCGGCCCACTTCTTCCTGTCCCTGAAAGCTTATACTGTTATACTATTAGTATGTTTTATTTGTGCAATTGTTATTTCATCCAGTATTTCATTTTTGTTCCATATATCGGATAAAGTGGACTTGTACATGAAAGCTCACTTTAAAGTACAATAGTCTTTAAGGTGCCACATGTTTTTGTCTTTTTTTGTTTTGTTTCTTTGGATTTTCCAAAGAAAATATGGAAAATGTTTCCCGTATCAAGTGTGTTTATCCAACACTCTCATCAATCTCAGCCGTGTAGGACTGTGTGGATCCCTTGTAGTCCAGTTGGTAGATGACAAATGAAGCCAATTAGTACAAATGATAAAACTGAACCACATTTTTCTGGAAAAATATGTTGTCCCTAACTCTTCTCAATTTCAGGTACTTTAGTTCTCAGCTATTAATATAGTACCATCATCAGTACATAAGGATGATGTCTGGATGCAGCACACTTATCCAATTCACAGCTTCTTAGATCACATTCTCTTGTCTTGAGTAAACTACTTGAATTAATGCCTGGTACTCATAGTACGTACTCATAATACATAGGGATGTGGTGGTGCTGCAGGTTAAACCACAGAAGCCTCTATGCTGCAAGGTCAGAAGACCAGCAGTTGTAATATCAAATCCGCGTGGCAGAGTAAGCTCCCATCACTTGTCCCAGCTCTTGCAACCTAGCAGTTTGAAAGCATGCAAATATGAGTAGATAAATAGGTACCACCACGGTGGGAAGATAACAGTGTTCTGCATCTAGTTACACTGGCCACGTGACTATGGAAACTCTTTGGACAAACACTGGCTCTACGGCTTGGAAACAGGGATGAGCACCGCCCCCTAGAGTCGGAAACTACTGGACTAAATGTCAAGGGGAACCTTTACCTTACTCATAGTCTGATCCTTAAAAAAATGATATTCCCATGATTCAATAAGGATCAGAAATGTACAACTGTGCTCACAATGCCTAGAAGGTATCATCAATAATTCAATAAAGTAAATGCTGTGCCTGTGTTCACAAAATAAACTGAAAGACAGTTCTGTGCCATTGTGACTGCGAATTAGTTTTATTTCTTCATCACATCTTGGGGTAACTGGTTGTCTCATTTCTGCATTCCCCATTATGTTTTCATCTTCATTTTAGAAGTCATCTTTTGGTTCAAGTTATAGCCAAAATGCTATAGATGGTTGAAAACATTAGATGACTCTGAATGGCTGAACTTCAAGACTAGAAGACTGTCGTAAAGTGGAATAACAGCATAACCTGACATCTGTGCTTCAAATCCTCTTATGTCCAGTTTTAAAAGACTGAATTCTAGAGTCACATATTATCCTTTGGTATCAGTCACTTTCAACTGATGGACTGACACTTCTTTAGATTCTGCAGCCTAACCAGTGGATCAGAGTTGTTCTCTAGGATCAAGCATGGCACAAAATGTAGTGATTAAATGTTACAAGTTTTGCAAAATAAATATTGCAAGGACTTTGCTTTTTTACAGGACCATTATAAAGCTGCAATGGAACAACTGGCAGCTCTTAACTTGTCGAACAATACAAGGACACCAGAGGTAGCATTAGTTTATCAAAATTTCTCATCGTACAATTTACTTATTTTTGAATTCTTGCTCTCATCTATGTAAAGTTTTTTATTGAAATAGTTTTTTTAAAATTTTTCAGCTCAATTCAAATAGCAAACAAAGGCCATTTTATTCCTGGAGTTATAGAAATCATCAAGGCAGTAATTCAGTGAGCAGGTAAAAACACATATTCTTTGTATTTGAAGTGGCACTCAACAGAGTAAGTGAGCAAACAGGCCAAAATAAGCACTTGTCTGCTTTTATCATTAAGGAATCCCAAGTGCCATCCTTACGATCCATCGGCACTGCCACTCCTCCTCTTTAAACGTTGTTTCAGTCTTCTTTGGTGTCATCATGTTGCTCTCAATTTCTGTCCTCGTACATAGTAGTAAGTCACAACTAGAATAGGCTCATTGAATCAATGGAATTTACAATGTTGATTCACCAAACTCCTACCAATTCAGTGAGCACAGTCTAGTTGTGACTTATTGCTAGGTTTCAGCCTTAAGAGTACTGGATTTGTATTTTTAAAACCAGTATTGGCCAATACAGACATTGGCAAATTATACCTGCATATGTGAAGGGTCTGGAAGGCTCCCTTGGACCCTTGTCATGCTTCCTCCACCCCCCCCCACGGGTCCAGGGGGGGCAGGATGATGTCACTGACATGGGGAATTTTTTGATAATTAAAAGTTTTCACTTCCATCCTTGTCTGAGTTCCATGCAATTAGTCTCACTGTATATGGAAATAGGGAACTCTTTAATAACCGAAAATCTGTCAGTGAAATCTTCATCCGTATGTAGCATAATTTAAAAAACAAGACTTTCACCACTAAATATTTACAGTATACACTTCCATCAACCTGGTAGCCATATTTTAATAGTTCTTTTACAAATTCTAATGGTGGAAGAGTTATCGAGGCACTTGTTAGGGTGGAAGGATGTTGTGAAATGTCATGCTTCTATCTAGCAGAGATCTGAAGAAAGATTTTGATGTATCTCCCTGATGTGTTGATTTATTGTATGTGGAGAATTGGATTGTTTTGTTTCTACTATAAAGGAACATACAGCTTTATGATTCCCCCATACCTGATGTGGAATAGTATAGTTCATAACTGAGCTCAGAAGGTTCACAGATAATGAGTGCAGTCCTATGGTCCATGAAAAGGAATCGCAGGAACCATAAGCTATTGCAAACCTGCCCCTCTGTGAGCAGCACTTGTGGGGAGGATATTCCTTTGACCAGACACAGAAATCTTCATTCTCTCTTCATATAATAAAGGAAAAAGATGACATTCTGTAGCATGTCGGGGTCAAACTGGGAAGGCGTTGTAGCCACTAGATTATAAGCCCCCTCATTCTCCAGATATGATCTTAGGTTAGAGTAAAAGTTACATTAGCCTGGAACCAAGGCAGTTACTTTCTATCACTGGAAATAGTGAAGGGGAATAAAACAAGAGGGATAAATAAATCATGTAATTACTTCCCTCTCTTCTCTGGCTGGCACTGGACTAGCAGAACTTAGCAGGTGGCAGATATTTTGCCAGTAATTCACCTGTACTGATGTAAGCAGGTGCAACTGGCCTGTTGAAAGTCAGACTTTCCTGCCCTTCCACGTAACAACCCCTTCAGCCCTTGAATGTGCTGCAGCACAGGAGATCAAGGGATCCTTATTAATAGGGCAAGCTATGGTGAGCATGGAATCTCTAATGTATGAAGCCTTTTAACCAGTGGCAAGCAGATTCTGCATATAAGCCATATTTATTTTGTGTTAAAATAAATTACTGCTATATTAGTCTAACTTTTCTTTTTGGTTTCCCAGAGACTTCAAAAAGCCTTTAATAGAAGTAGCATCAGGCTCCAATGATGCCCCTATACACATCAACACTAACCCACTTGTACATTCTTTCATGAAGACACATCACTCATTTTCTAATCCTGAAGCTCAGAAGACCATGTTAGAGAATTACTGCAGAAATGGAGATGTTGACTTTTCCAAAAAGGCCAATGAAGTCTGTGCAGCTGATTCTTATCCTACTACAGATAGTAGTAGTGATGACATGTCTTCTGTCCTCAAATGGAATTTGAAGAAAGGAAATAGCAATGTAGAGCAAAAGTTTTCAACAGAAGAAAAGGATATGTGTGAAAGTGAGAAGAAAAAGAAAGCTTTGCTGAACTATTTAAAAAATGTAAATATTAACCTAAAACCTGAACCTATAGAACATAAGGAAGGAACTTCATCTTCAGTTGACAGTAATACTTTTTCATACCCTGATTTTCTTCCTCCACCTTACAATACTTTGGATTTACAAAAAATATCAAAGTGTGATGACTGGAGAGCATGCTTAAATGCACCAGTTGATGCACCCATTGAAAAACTCATTTCTCGTCTAGTAGAAATGGAAAGGTTACAGCACTTGACAGTATTAAGAGAAGGAACAAAGGAAACAGTTTCTCCCACTATGGCTTTTAACAACCGTACTGGTTCTTCAAAGGATGTATACCCACTGAAACTACTAAAGCCATCTAATCTTTCTTGCCCTCAGACAACTTTTGATGGAGATCCCCATAGTTTTGGCTGTTGTATGCATGAACCAAGTGTATCAAAATACGTTTGTCAACACTGTCACAGTAAGTGGAATTCTGGAGCATCATCCTCTGTGCGTTCACCCACAAAGAACATCCGAGCATTCAGCAATACCTGCAAGTGCCCCAAAGCTTCAGTTACATTAGACTCAAGCAATGTAGTTACACAGAGGTCTCTATCCTGCCCTGGAAGTTCATCTAAAATTCAACCAGGTATCAAAACAACTTATCCAAAATCACTCTCACCCAGCACAACTGTAGCTTCTTCATTACCAGACAATGAAAGTACAAAATCCAAACAGCAAAGAACAAAAAGAAAATCTTGTAGAAAAAATGGAGCTTTAATGAGCAAACCCTTCCATGCTCAGAGATTAAAATCTCTCTCATTTACTTCAAAGCAAAACTGCTCCCATATAGACCATCAATGGGCTGTTGAATGAAGTCACTAACCATTAATTATTAATACTTGAGCAAACAGAATGAGCAATAACACTTTGGAAAGCTACATTCAGTTTTTAATTTGTATTATACAAAAGTATCAGATTTTATGGAGTTTTTCATATAAGATTTAAAAAGTGATCACAAATTACTTGTACCTTTCTATCAGATAATAGTAATTACAATTACTGTATTTTTTAAACATAATGTATATATATATATTTTAAAAAACAAAGCAGCAGTAAGCAAGTCTATTCAAAGCTACTTTGAATTAAAAAATAGTGATGTGGAACCACATTTTGCATTCATTCTCTGTTCACTGGTCTTATTCTTGATTCCTTATGAGCAAGAAAGCTAAAAAGAGATTCTCTTTCTAAAGACTACCATCTTTGGAAGATATATGCCGGGGGAAATCAGCATGTGTTTGCTCTTGCCATCATGCTCTATTTGAAAGGCCACCTGGCTTACTAGCTGGAAACACAGTGCTAGACCATAAAACCATTTGAAATAGACTGGTCTGAGTTCAGTTCTGTATTTAATTTGTATAATAAACTGCTTCTGAAATCCATCTGCATTTCAAAGAAAAATGTAATGCAGTACAGAAGTATTGCCAAGACAGTACATTAAGTATAGTATTAACTGTATGTATGACTTATTTAACCTGAGCTACTAGAATAGCATGAAGAAAAAAATTCTTCACCTATGCATATTGATAGGCAGGTAATCAGTGCTAATAAAAGCTTTCCTTCTTATTGGAGATGGGAATCACATATGCCAACAATCCCACCACTATGCAGTCTACCAACACATTGCTTTTATCAATACTGTCTGGTTCTGAAAATCCTATCATACACTTCACCTACCACATAAAAAAGATTTCTATGTTGGATCCAGAATGGTTCTGTGAATTGCGGGGCTCTTCCTTTTCTACAGAAAGTACAGGGTTCAACTGAAGCTCTTGCTGAAGAGGAATAGAAGGACACAGTCTTCCTCCCTCCTACACTCCTTTTTATGCTGTGCTGGAAAATCCTCCCGGCCTGTCACAAGAGAATGACGAGAGTTCATTTTTCTTAACCATTTTCTCTAGCATATTAGTCACCTGCCATGAAAAAGATAGTTCAGTGAAGCATGAACTGTGCATACTTGGTGCCCAGAGAATGCCCTAGTGGCAAGAGGGAAGTCGTGGTGGTGTCTGAACCCTTAATAGCAACCTTGCACCCTTGAATAATACTGCAGGACCCTAGATATGTAAGATTAAACATCTAAGTATTAGGATATATTGCTTAAAGAAACTGCACAGGGTGATAGGAAAAGAAACCAAATTACTTTATTATTTTTTGCTGTTTTATCTATGTTCCTACAGAGGAAATAACAGACTTAAGCCATTAGGAGATTGTTTTTCTTTCTTCAATAATTATTTCTGGGACAGGAGAATATTAAAACATGCAGTTCCACTCAGCTTGAGGTTACAGTTGAGGAAAAAGGTTACCATCTGTGCTGACTGCTCAAACCACTACACTAAACTTTTATACAGCTGTCACGTACGTTTGATGTCAAAGCCAACATATTTTAATTCATAAATTATATACACTGTGAAAGGAAAGCAATACTAAATTTTATTACTACACTACTGTAGTTAGATATAGAGTATTCAGCATGCAGTGCAGGCTTGGATTCTCTTCACAAAGAGATGATCAACGTTAGCAAAATAATTAACACTTTGATCTTAAGCATGATGAGTTTACTTTCAGTGCTACTTAATTCCACAGGACTCTGGGTATATTTAAATATGCCTTCAAACACAGTGAAGTTCCAAATTTTATGTAGGAGAAGACTATGGGCTTTGTTTATTAAAAAGATTTAACGTGTACTGATTTTCGAATAAATAAACTGAGAATAGATCATAACTAAAGGCTGCCACTGACATTCTGGGACACTTTATTAAGTAAAGGGTAAGAAAAATAATTTAATGCTAAGTAGCTCAAAGCAAAACACAACACAAAGTAGGCTTTAAATAATCATGAGCATTTATTTAGAAAATAATCTCACTCAAGACAAAAACACTCTTTGAAAAATGAAGAACAGTGTTCACACAGAGTCAATCTATTACATGTGTTTTGGGTGAGATGTTTACAGCTACTTTCTAAGCTTGTTCTCTCCAGCGCCAAGGGAAGTTTGTGGAGTGATTTTTTTAGGAAGGTGAAACACAGGCAAATTGAATAATAATTATCATTACTGGCTCTAAAGCTACAAGTCCAATAAGATTTTGGACATCCCCACCCTCTCTTCACATGCACTTTATCCTGCTATATTTCTAGCATAGAATACAAGATAGCAGAACAGTGAAGATTTCATATTCTACCCATGATTTTCTTCTGTCAAAAACAAAGATGCGACAATTACTCAAACAGAACAAAGAAACTAATGACAGCTTAAAGCAGCATTCTCAAAACCTGGTCCACTGAGCTGCTGACCCTCAACCTTATACATTCTGAATATGTTAAAGGCTGTGGTAGAAAGCCAACATGAAGAACAAAGCAAAAAATGAAGGATAACATTCAGGAAATCACTGATGGTAATTATGATAGCATGCATTATTCTTAAAATAGCTTATTCAGTCTATCCTAAAATGTAATAGGCTATCATGCCAACTGCTTGGGGTTGAGTCTAAAATCTTGACCAAAACCAGACAGCAAGGCATGTCTTTAGAACAGTGGTTGGTACTCAACCTGGATAACACATATGTTCTTGGACTGTAATTCCCAGAAACCTTTACCATCAGCTACGCTGGCCGGGGTTTCCTGGGATTTTGCTCAGGAAAATGGGTGGGAAACTGCTCTTGGTGATAGTGCTCTCCCAATCCAGCTAAGGAGAGTGGAGCTCAGAACAATTTCTTCTATTATCTTTAATTACAGATTTTTAAAAAAAGTAGGAATTCCTCTTGGGGTGGTGCTGTCTCTCTCCACCCTCTTCTTCAAAAAAGAGAGATGATTACAGTGGGGTCTTGACTTAAGAACGGCTTGAGTTAAGAACATTTTGACTTAAGAACCGCTCTCATAGGAAAATATTGACTTGACTTAAGTACTTAGATTTGAGTTAAGAACTGAAAAAAACCACGTGGGAGGCAGGGAAAGTGCAAAATGTTAACTTTCAGTTAACTGTTGGCCAGTGAAAAGGGTGCCTGCTTCCGCACTCCTCCCAGTGTTTAGAGAGTGGATTGGGAGACAGTCTTCAGACTGCCTGGGACTGTACTGCCTGGACTGCATTTTCCCTGCCTTCCCTGAACCTTTCTTGACCTAAGGGGGAAAAAAAAAAAGAAACAAAATAGCCCCCTCTAGTGGTTGAAGGCGGAATAGCAGCTTCCTATTAGTTTCTATGGACGGAAAAGAGCAGTTACGGATCAAATGGTTTTCAATGCATTCCTATGGGAAATACAGATTTGACTTGAGAACTTTTTGACTTGAGAACCGCCTTCCAATACGGATTAAGTTCTCAAGTCAAGACCTCACTGTACTAAGATTGCCGACTAACCTAATTTTGGGACCGGAGACAACATAACAACTTGCTTGCAACTAACATCCCTCCAGGACAAATGTGTATGCTCTCTCATAGGAGAAAAACACAGTCTAGTGAAATGATTAAAAAAAAAAAACTATTCTCTCTTTTGGCCATGCTACTAAATGAAACTGTGTGTGTTAACTGAACAGTATAATGCTGGAAACATATCGGAGGAACAATTTACTGCAGTTACCTAGTTTACATTAGAATTCAGCATTAAACAGCATTAAAACGTACAACAAAAACTGAAGAACAAGTTTTATCAAGCAAAAGTGAACGTTAAAAATAAAAGGTGAAAGTTAGTATTTTATTATCTAAAGCGAACAAGCACTTCATTACTGAAAATGCGCAAACATTACAATTTGTCAATCTCATACAGTCAAAGGTTATCAGCCTTCTGTATTTTCATAGACTGATCTGCCTCCCGAGTACGGGCCAAGCCATGCAAATGTTCACTGTGGTTTTCCGTCACTTACCCTATATGGGAAGGGAAACATGTCATTAGCAAAGATGGGTATCACTTTCAGAGTCATCAAAAATTACTTTATTTGCCATGTATGTCTATACTGCAGCACAAAAACAATGTATTAGAAAAGCATAGTTAATATGCATTTCTTTTAAAGAACGGAAGGATAATTTTGAATTCTCACTTCACTGATCTGGACTTCAGCATACTCCCACTCTGGGGGAATTTTGCTGCACTTAATTTGGTCTGTGTTTTGTGTCTAAACAAGATTGTCAGGAAAGGCAGAGCATGAGACAATAATCTCTAATTACACTATGAATTTCAACTGGCCTACACAGCACTACTTCAGAAAAGCCTCCATCTTCAGTGCAAAAATTCTGAATGATTTCTGCCCAGTCTTCATAATATATTTTTCAGAAAAAGCATACAGAAAACATGCTCCAAGGTAAATACATATTGCTCTGTGCTATCAAAATTTCAAGCACTAGCTTAGTGACTCTGTCAGCATATTTTACCACATTTCATCGCTACCTCTCTATATAATAGAATGTTTCAAAACATACTAAACCATGCCTATCTCAATGACAACAAGATCACATCACCCAAAAATGAAACAGACACATTTTACACCACCACTACTATACTAAGAACTGCCAGCAAGGCAAATGTGTAAACGAAGCCTAAATCTGTGAGCTGTGAACAGAAAACTAGAAATAACTAAATGAACATGTTTTTCATATCTTTTATAGAACAGAAACCTTTGTTCATGTCTTCTGGTTGCCATCATCTTCCTTTGAGCAGCACCTATAACACAAAGAATAAGTAAACAAGCAACTTTGTTTTTCTCGAGAAGTTTAAAAATTCCGTAGCCATAAGGTTGGTGGTAGCTGTTACTGGAGTTGACATGACCAACTCCTTCGATATTTGTAAATAGGGACATGAAACTATGGTGGAGGCAACAGAGTAACAGACTCTTATGACATCTGTATTAGACTGCCACCAACTGTACAAGATAGGTTAGAGGGGTTGCCAAAGCAGTGCGCCATATTACTTTGTGTGCAAATAACTATCAAGTAATCTAAGTCTTCATTTCAGTGAAAGTGAAAGCTGCATTCTGTTTCCTGCACAAACAAGAAATATTTTAAATAAGTTGACAGAGAAACATATTTACTACTTTTAAATAATATTAAATTGGAGGACAGAGATTGAAAATGGGCAGTTAATATCACTTGCCATGTTTATACTTAATTATTTTGCCATGTGGAAGCACCCCACTATTAGGCAGAATAACTGACTGCACTTGCACATTGGATGAAATTATGTGCATTGAAGGATTTTAAAAATATATCATTTACAAATTTAAAAAGCTGGCAGAACATCTTAATTTGGGGTATTTTCACAAATCTGCTGAGCATATATGAAATATATAAAAGTAAGATGTTATATGAATTGCCTTTTAATGCAAGAACTGGATTGGCAAACATTAATTGGCTCGGTTGAATATCCTCATGATGAACAAGGAATTATTGTTTAATTGGTTGCTAAATGTTTATCTACACATGCTGTCAGAAATAACCTTGTTAGGAAGGTGAAGTTGGTGTCTCAGCAAACCAGACCCCCTGGAGTAGGCGTTGAGTGGCCTGTGACTTGCCTTCCTTTGTCTCTCTCAGCACCATCAAAAAGGAAAAGTAAGAAAAACAGCACAAACATTAGTTAAAGCCTGCATCCACTCCGATAACCTACAGGAATAATGATATTACATTGAAAGTAGACAATCTCTGGAGGTTGGTTGGGGTTGGGGACAGAATTTATACTAAAATGCTGATAATTAAGGATCTTAATTTTTTCCCAAAGGACCACATTCTTTTTTGTTACAGTTACTAGACTATCAAAAATGAAATGACTTCTTCTTACGGATTACCTTGAGCTGGCAACACTGGAGACAAAAATATTTTAAAAAGGGCTACCAATGCCTTGTTCACAAAAGACTTTATTATCTAACGATGCATACTGAAAACATACAGAAATCTGCATGGTCCACTTTACATGCAGCAGAACAATCTTCACTTTACAATAAGTGAATGTCAACTGTTTTATGCAAGAGACAACACTTTAAAGTCACATTTCTTAAAGAAAGCTTCATTTACAAAAGAAATAAAAGGTAAAGAAGCAATTACCGCTTTTAAAAAGCAGCTGCTTTGTTCAAGAGTGGAAGGTTTATGCCTGTATTGAAAGACAACATGATCACAAAGAATGAAAACAATGAACAAATGAAAACACCTTTAGCATATAGCAGTACACTTTCATATGACATACAAATAGCTAAAAACTGAATTGTGGTTTTTTTTTGTTTTAATCTGGCCACAAGGAGATAAAGACTTTTAGAATCAGAGCTCAACATTTGTTATTAGTAAATGAAAGCTTCTTTCAAGTACTGGTTCTATGCCATAGTGAACTGTATTTAACAAAAGGTATAAAGTCTATATAGCAAGTTGATTTTTTTTAAAAAAATGAAAGTAATACACAGTACACTGAAGGCGCTCTCTCCATCAAGTGCACACTTCCCCAGATTTTTTTCTCTGAATGGGATGATCAAACAGAAGCTGGAATTATGCCACAGTTGTAATGCCAGAAAACAAAAACAAGATCATTTATAAAACATGCAGGGGAATTCTGCTACAAAACTAGTGAACCTCATTTGTCAGTTGCTCCAGTACAAGTAACATCTTAAACTCCAGTGATGTTGATGGTTTAGCTTACCTTCAGTGTACTGAAAGTTGTACGCAACCTGCTTTAAAAGAGGAGACCATCCCTGCGGGCAGGCTCAAGAAGGAAAAGACCCCCTTCGACACTGACTACACCAAGGGCATGCTGCTGTGGCCTGCACGCACACACCTAGGAAAATGTAATATAAATAGCATTTATGCTGGCCATTTTTCAGAGCAAAAATGAAGCCAATCTGCTAAAAACCATAATCAACCACCTGGTTTTACTAATAGTTTGTAAGAGTTTGTGTTGTTTATATATTTAGAGAACAAGTGTGTAAATGTGTGTATGTGTATTTATGTATTTATATATATATTTATATATTATATTATAAGAACTGCAACCATATACATTAGCATTGTATTTCTGTGCAGTCATGGCAATTAAAACAGTTCTATGGTGAAAGAATCTTCACATAAGAAACAAACAGATTTACGCTAACATTTCTAAAAGAAATATCCACCTTTGTGTTAATTCAAATATATCATTCTTCCTCAACTTTGCAGGGAAATTATTTATAAGTTTTATGTACACTTAGAAATTTATGAGATATTTCATCAGTCTTTGTATATTAACTATTCAAACCCTTTGAACATCTTCACTTGATTTAAATTTTCTCCTGGATGAAAGCATGCTGCAGAGCCTGGTTGATACTAATCCGCTTAGCTGGGTCTAACATGAGGATCTGGTCCAACAAGTCCTTCAGCTGATGAACCTTTTTGCGCTGATCTTCAGGGAGGCGTTGGCACCCAATCAAATCTGCTAGTAGGTCTTTTGTTGGATTAATGGTGCTCATGACGGTTACTTTCTCCTACAAAGACAACAGCGCCCAACACTTACTTTTTTAAGAAAGAAAGTCACCAAGAACATTAAACAGGCAACCCTGTTAATAGCAAAGCTGTGAAACACAGCACTGGTGTCATTTGGCTCTTGAAACATTAAACTGAAAATAATGAAGTTGTTCAAAGAATTGTGAATTTTTATGATTGTTCATAAAAGATACAAAAATGTAGCTGAGGAAACTAAACAAACACAAACAAAATACTGAACAATTTCAATTTAATACTATATTAAAAGGTATGGGTAAAATAAATAAATAAATAAATAAATTTAATACTATATTAAAAGGTATGGGTTTTTCCAAATGAAATGTCACAGTGAACTTAGTATGTAATTCAGACTTACCCTTTCCGTCACTTTATCTACCTCTATGTACATGAAGTTGAGATTTTGATCGAAGTGTTGATCTTTAAACACGCCCTTTCTGATCATCTGAAAATAAAGACAATGAATTAAACGTTACTTGAAATGCAATACTCCCCAGTCAGAATTTATCTCTTCAGCTTATTATTGTTGAAGCCCCATCACATCCCAAGGCTGGAACTGACAGTAGATATTCAGCCCCTTCTCGTTTTGACTTTTTTTAAAAAATATGGTCGCATTTCCAGAGACAGTGTAGCTCTCTGTGGCTGCTGGGCCCTCCCACTGGTCTAGCATCAATGGAACTCTGCTGAACTCAAGCCCTAATCTAGCCCAGAGGTTGGTTATAAGAAAGTCCCTCTGGAATCTACAGGTTAAGACTGAATGATATTCTGGCTGCCTTTGTAACATTCCGCTATACAGTGGTGCCTCGCATTACGACGTTAATTCGTTCCAGCGAAATCGCTGTAGAAAGAAAATGTCATAATATGATTTTTAAAAGCCCATAGAAACATATTAAAATCAGATTAATGTGTTCCTAGGGGCTTGAAACTCACCGTCTAGCGAAGATCCTCCATAGCGCGGCCATTTTCGCTGCCTGTGCAGCGAGGAATCTTGCGAAAACACAGAAGGCGGCCATTTTGTTTACCTGGCGGCCATTTTGAAACCGCCGATCAGCTGTTAAAAATCATCACTTTGTGATGATCGGTTCCCGAAGCAGGGAACCTATTATCGCAAAGCGAAATTCCCGCATAGGGAACATTGTTTTGCGATCGCTTTTGCAATCGCAAAAACATCAATGTCAAGCAATTCATCGCCAAATGGAGCACCCGTCTTGCGGGGCACTACTGTACTCAAAACGGGAAAATGTGGTTTCATATTAATTTACTAACCAGGATATTAAACCACATTCAAGCCATGATTAAAGATACAGTGGAACCTCTACTTACGAACTTAATCCATCCCAGAAGATGTTCGTTAGTTGACACATTTGTAAGTAGAAGCAAAATTTCCCATAGGAATGCATTGAAAACTGATTAAGTCGTTCTGGCCGACGAAAAAAATAGCAGAAAAAAATTGAAAATAAACAGAGCAAGACCCATGCTGGGACTGCATAAAAACAAAAAAAAATCCAAAAATAAATGTAGGAGCAAGTCCCACGCTGGGACTGCAAAAAACAAAAAAACAACTCAACAACATAGAAACATAACACCCCAGCCCAAGCCTACCCTCCAAAACCCACCCAGAACATTTTTTTAAAAGGAAAAAGCAGCACCTTACCGGTCCGAAGCCTCCCAGGGGTCCCCTGCTGCCACGATCGCTGCCTTCGGAAGCCTCCCAGGGCTTCCCCGCCGCGGTGGGTTTCCACGCCGCCGATACAGACTTTCCCAGGGTAGACTGGGCCAACCAGGAGAGGTCCCCTGGTAGGACCGGTCTACCCCGGGAAAGCCTGCTTCGGGGTGGGGAAGCCCTTGGAGGCCGCCGAAGGTACCGATCGTGGTGGCGGGGGCCCCCCGGGAGGTCTCAGATGGTGGTGGGGAAGCCCTGGGAGGCCTCCGATTGCAACAAGGAAACCCTGGGAGGCCTATGAAGGCGGAAATCATGGCGGCGCTGGAAGCCCAGAAGGCTGAGCCTCCCTTTTCCTAACCGTTGGGGTGAAAGAGCTACAAAGAAGCAGCCTCTTCACCACAAATGGTTAACAAATTTAAATTTCTTGCCCCTTTCCCCTTCCTTTTCCCGTTTGTACATTGAAGCGCTGTTCGCAAGTAGAAGCAAAATTTTGCAAACGGAGCTGTTTGTAAGTTGAAATGTTTGTTGGTCGGGAGGTTCGTAAGTAGAGGTTCCACTGTACTAATTCGTAAATACTGGGGAGGTCAGGGAGTGTGCTAGTCTGCTGCGGTGGCACCTTAAAGACTAACAATCTGTATGTGGCATATACTTTCAAGAACTGCAGCCTATTTCATCACATGTACTGAGCATATCTGACTAGCAAACTGATGTTCAACCACAATTTCCAGTTCTAAATATTTTGGGGAACCATGTTAAACTTGACACAGAAAGAGAAGAAGGAATTAATAGGCATGAATAAGTTATGTTAAAATTTGAACTAGCCTACAAATTCTTACACAATCAATTAAAATCAAAATAGAACTAAAATAAAATAAAAATTCAGAAAATTGTCCTTGAAAATAAGAACTGCATTTTTACCTTGTTTGGCATCTTTCCTTTGAGGTCCATAGCAAGTTTCAACATATGATTATTGGTTTTTCCCGGAAACAGTATTTTTCCTGTGTAAAGTTCATATAATGTACAGCCTACAGACCACATATCTATACCGTAGTCATAGATTTTGCCTATAACTGAAGGAGAACAGTTTTAGAGTTAATCATACAAAGCACCAAAATAATACCAAGAGTGTTTACTTTTCTGGGATCAGGCAGCCAGAAAATACGGAAAATAATAATATAGATTATTTTGTGCCCGTCAACTCAGAAGAAGAGGATATACCACCACAATAGAGTTTTTCCTCAAATATCTTTAACTTCAAAATATATTAGTAAGTTAGGTATTTGGTGAAGGCCCATAGCAGTCTAGCTTTCGGTCAAACAGCGAGTAAATACGGAATGGATCAAAAGGTACATTATAAAAGATTTTATGTCACACATACATCAGGGTCATATTGCTCTGAATTCTAAATGTAGTTAAACTAAATGTTTCCTTTACAGCCATCTGTAAATTTCTATTAAGGAGGGCAGAATCAGGGCATAATTACACTCTGTATGACTACACATACAGAAATGGCTTATATAGCCTTAGCCAGAGGAATAAGCAAATAAAGAGCGGTTTTAATGATAAGGAATGTGAACAGAAGAGAGGATGAACCAGTGAGGAGACTTTGAAAAAGCAGTAGTTAAGTAAAAGGAAGGTGATAAAGAAACCAGAAAGAGAGCAGAAGGAAGGAGAAGCAGCAGCAAAGTCATCCCACCAACCCGCAAAGTGCATTCATGCCCAGTTCCTGGACATATTTGCATACCAGCTGGCAGTTATAAAACTCTTAATTACTCAGCACAAAATATCATCAAGTATAAAACTCATTGCTTATACTCTTTTTCCCCTTATACGTATGCAGCCTAATATTCTGCACAATTTGGAGACTTCAGAGTAGATGAACTTACTAATTTCAGGAGCACGATAAAATCGACTGACAAGATACGGTGTGATGTCATTATCAGCAACATGTGAAGCTGATCCAAAGTCACATAGTTTTAAAATGGTTTTAGATTCATTCACCTAAAAAGGAATAAAACAATTAAACTAATGGACAAAGATAACCAATAACAGTGGAATAATGTGCACAAGCATTGTCAATCCTTAAGGAATTCAGTGTATGAAATATATTAAGCCCAAACTCATGTTGACTAAGTTCATAAAGAAAAGCAGTGTTGAGAAGGTATGTCTGCACTGAAGCTCAGAAGCTACATTTTTATTAGAACTTCCAGAATCCTAGCTAGCATGGCCACTGCAGCTAGAGAATTCAAGGAGCTCTATGGCCAAAAAAGCAACTGGCTCAAATTTCTGATCCATTTGTGGGATGCTGAAGAACCAGTATTTTGTCTTAACGCCCCGTTGCAGCTTCCCTAGAGTACTTGAAGAACCTGATGACCTGACCCAGGAGATCTTCTTATGTTCTAAGACGCTGCTGAAAACATAAATATCAAAACCTGGTCTGCAAATACAGAGAACCTTTCTAAAGTTATTTATCACATTAGTAAAATGTACTAATATCCTTCTCTCTTTTTTAGAACAGCTGCTATTACTCTGCAGTGACACTGACATCTGCTGTATTTGTTCACCTGATTATTCTCATAGAGGAAACATGAATTAATCCCAAATGAAAGAGAAGTGTACTTTCATCATCACCACTTTCATGCACAATGGCCAAGTAGGCATTTGTAATCAGAGCAGCATAATTCATTTACTCTTTCACCCACAATGTGATCTGTAGCTGTCAACAATAATCCCTCTGTATTTGAAAGAAAATCTGGTGCTTACTTTCTAGTAGCATATTTTTAAACTAGTTATACAAAATTGGCCCCCATTTTACATTGATGACCAGCGTATATAAGCAGCTGAACATATGGTTAACATTGGTTATGGACTGTACTATGTTCAACTGAAAAATAAGGCAATTTAATCAAAGTGCTGTTTTCTAATCTAAGCTTTAACATTGATCTTGGCATAATATTCAACAGCAGAGATGGGCAACATGTGGCTCTCAATAGATATTTTGATTCCAACTCTCATCATTGAAGATGCAACTAACTATTTAAAAATTACTTCTTACACACAAAGATGGCTAGTAGAGATGGGAGATATGCATGCCTTGAGGCAAAAGAGTTTGTGAAATTTCTGCGAAGTGTTATGTGGAGTGCAACATCAAATAATCCATTAGGCAAAACTCAGGTTTGTGTTGGTACAGAACACAAAGGACACGTGCTCGGGCACATACTTGGGAGAAAACTATTCCTACAGAACTGCAATTATACTGATAGAAAAATAGGATTCAAACAATACCGGAAGACTAATGAAATTATATTCTGTAGGGAAGGTCTATGTGTTAAGTATATACTTCCAGAAACTGAGAGTGTTGCACAAGGAACTCTGCATCGTATAACAGATTTTGTAAGAGGAATTGAATTTCATATAGTGACCATAACAGACAGACCAAACACCAACTACAGCAAAATTTTTACTTTAGAATGTAAGTTTAACTGGATTTGTTTCCATTTTTATATTTCTATTATAACTTTTCATGGTGAAGTAAAACTGTCCTGGATAAAATTTACATTCTCATAGAAATTGGAACTTAAAACAAACACAGGGTGCTATATGTTTGACTTTAATAACTCTTTGCATGATTGTCAACAAAATATTAATTACCAAAATATTGTCTGGTTTGATGTCAGCATGCAATATGTTGCATCTTTTAAGAAGTTTCAATGCCAGAAACAGCTGCTGACTGTAGGATCGTACAGCCTTTATGTGGAGACCAACATCTTTCCCATATTTCTTCAGTACTTCTCGTAAATTCATACTAAATCGAAAACAAAAACACAATGGAAAGAGAAAGGAAAACGTAGAAAAAAGGGGGAGGGGAAAGACAATAGCTTTGATTAAAAATGTCTTGGACTAATCGAAAAGACCTTCTGATTGTGCATGGCAGCCCTGTCAATTTCTTCTTTTTCCTTGTTGTACTGTTTCCTATCACACCCCATTCCCAGGCTATTCCTACTGGAGCCACTGGCCCCCAAAGGTAGCTTCCAGAGGGGCACGGAAGGTCACAGGAAAGCCTAGCTTCATGAACAGAATTCCACTTCATCAAACACAGTACAGTATATAACATTTCAAACAAGAATAAATAGGACATCATTTTTGTGGAAGTCAAAAGTCAACCTGAAAACATTTACACTTCACTTTTCAAATATTAAATGACTTTTTTGACTGAAAGGAGGTATGCTGTTTATTGACAGGATTCAGAGAAAATGAAGCAGCTGAACAAGGGAAATCTTTTTTTTATGCTGATAACTATCCACGTTTTCTTTTAACTATAGAATCTTATTCTGTAACATATACTTCAAATAAAGGAGAACAGAACCTTGATTTCAAAACTTTACACTATCCATTCCAACAGAGAGAACTGCTCCTAAATGACAAGTAATCAAAAAGGATGCATACAAGCATTTCGATTTTAAATCAAAAAACAAGGTTTCTTCTATAACCTGATTTTATGCTCTACTTCTTATGCATCAGAGTTTAGTAATCTAATATCTCATCATCTGCTCATATATTTACATGCCTGAACAAGACACTTACTCTCAAATGTGCCTGCCAAATATTGGGATGTAATTACTTCTGAAACGTTCAAATAATTTAAGCCAAAACAAAAGGGCAGTAAGGTCAATGAGATACTGGGTCAAAGAGTGCATTTAAAGAAGTGACTGGCCTCACCTAAGTGGTTCAAATACCAGACAGAGGTGCTGCTTATGATAAAAATGCCGAAACAATCGTAGACAATGAAACTTGTCATCAGGATCTGCATCATTGAGCTTTTTCAAGAATTCCAGTTCTTTTAAACCAGTTTTTTGCCTGAAAAGAGTTTCATATTTTACAAGAATTAGTACATAAAAGCCCAAATTTAAAATGCAGGATATAAAATTGCAATTAGAACAAAATTTAATTAGGGTAATTGTTTTGATTAGGGTAGTCTTCGCTTACTTCTTCCACTACCAGAGTACAAAATTCTATTGCATGGACTGGAGCAGGAGGCAACAAACCAGAGGTTATAAATAAAGACAGGGGCATAATAATCTGTTTATCTCTACAAGTGACCAACATGAGCAACTACTGGTTTGCAACTATGAATGAGTGCCTGCAAGACCAAAGCTTGCAGTGCTGCTAGATGCAAGAGACTGTGGATATTTTGGACACTGATGGAAGAAAAGTTGTAAAATGCCAGAACTATGGCCTGTGCCTTAGGAAGTACAACTAAAATACAATGCAGCTTTAATATACATCAATCAACTTATTTATGTATATACATTTTGGGCACATTCTTTTTTTGGAATAGAATTCTTCAATCTGGGCAGTCCAACCTGACAGAAAGTCACCTACAAACACCTAAATGTGGCTAACTGGGGAGAAAGTCCTAATCAGGAAAGCTTATTGCCATCAAATAGACCTAGATTTAGCTAACTTCCTGTTCAAAAAGGAAGCTGCCAGCAAGTACCAAAGCAGCTTCCTTTTTATAGAACTGGGCCATGAAGTCTTCCAGATTAGGCTTTTCTTCAAGGTGAGGCATATTTAGATGCCAGTAGCTGTCCCTGTGGCAGTTTAGACTCACAGAATCGAGATTTCTGGGATATGTAGTCCAAAACCCCCCAAAAGGTACATCTCAAACCCCCCCCCCCAAATACATCCCTATTTGGCACTATTCTAATCTTTCTGAAGATCATGGCCTTACTCTGTGACTTTTTCAGGAACAAACAAAAAAAAAAACCTCCAACAGACTCCATTTAGGTATACAAATGTAAGAGAGAAAAAAACAAGGAAGGAAACATACAATATTTCCAATTTTGCAGAAAGCAAGTATATTACGGCTAAGTCAATGGGACAGCTCAAACTCTAAAGGCTAGAAGTACTCCTGCTTTCAGAAAAAGCTAAGGCAGTAATACCGTCCAAAAACCTAGCTGTAAATACTAGGAAAAAAGAGCATTGGTGATGTTATAAAAACAACAGCAACATGAAATTTAAAAATTCAGTACATGAAACTTTTTGCAGCAAGATGCTTTAACTAGCAAACCATGAGCTACCAGCTATTTATCATAATTACATTTTCTATAACCAAGTGAAAATGCATTTTTGATTATATTCTTCAACTATACTGTCAACAATACTACAGAACAGACTCCACAACTATATAATTCTCAAGTTGCTGCTCATGTAGTTTTTGCAGTGCTTGTGAAGACTCTACAACTATCCTAGCATAGTTAAGCTCATTACAGTTTAGGACTTTAAAAGAATTCTGACTCTTTACTTACATAAGTTCATTGTTTCGAATGATTTTGACAGCTACTTCTTGGTTTGCTCTTGCCATATCTCTGGCTCTCACCACATTACTGAAAACGCCTTGGCCAGTGTAGCCATACACATTATAACGTTTCTCTAGAACTTCACCTATGTTAACACCTAGAAAAAAAAGGGGGGGGGAAGTGCTGGTTACACAAATTTACAGTGGGTGCACTCAGGATGTCTTGTACACATATAACAATAAAATCATCAACAAGGATTCCTTCATACACAAATAATCACATAAGTTGGAACCACTTAACACAAGAGCAGTTCTATTTAATTTTATGGTGGATTTTAGAGAATTCTAGTTCTGTCAAGATTATCTCACAGGTAATACTTAACAAACTATTTCATTATACAGTGATGCCTCGCAAGATGAAAATAATTCATTCCATGAGTCGTTTCATATTGCAAAAATTTTGTCTTGCGAAGCACAGTTTCTCATAGGAATGCACTGAAATATAATTAATGTGTTCCTATTCGTCTTGCGAAGCACGGCCATAGAAAAATTTGTCTTGCGATTGACCCAAAAATGTCAAAGCGCTTGTCTTGCGGGTTTTTCATTGAACGAGGCATTCGTCTTGTGAGGCATCACTGTATTAATAATTCTCAAAACAGAAGGGCTGGTTTATGCAAGGATTATACTGAGAACAAGCACCAGACTCATGTTCCTTCCCTTCTTGCCTTCATCCCAGACAGAAAGTAAATTACTGACTGGAATAAATTTTGCCCAGTACTTTGTGAAGAAATTTGACTTTCAACTAGTTTGTTTCTTAGTTCCCATGAACAGAGGCGTTGAAGGAAGCCACTTAGAATCCAAAGGTTTCCATAAGATGGTACTGAATGAAACTATGTAAACTTTTCCCACTTAGTCTGTGTGTGTCACATTTGGGAAAGAACTCAGGAAAGACATACTGGATCAGGATAAAGGCCTATTTTGAGTCCAGTTCTTGTCATAGTAGCCGCTAGATGTCTCTGGGAATCCCACAAGCAAAAATGAGAATAAAAGCATGCACTCACATTCACTCCTAAGCAACTAATACTGAGAGGAATACTTGTTTATACTAGAAGCAATATATACAGTAGCCACAATGAATATCCAACAATACAATAGATTGCTCTTGTTTTCTCATAGTTTCCCCATAATAAAACGGTTCAAAGCTACTGAAAAGTTACTTTTTAAATTTGTTTAGCGTGTACACCACCCTGAAATCTGATATGAAAATTAGAATTAAACTGTTTCAAGTCAATAAATAAAACGATACTAAAATACACTCAGTCGAGTCCATCCACTTCAGGTTCTGTTTGGCAAATAAAACACTACTTTTTGGTACCTGCACGTTAAGTGTTTTCACAGAAAACTAGAAGAGTACAACTCATAGCTTAACATCAGTGATACATGCAACTACTGTTCAGCAAATCTTTTATTACCTCATCTCATCTGTAATTATCTGTACTTTCATAGTTGCATTCAACAGACATTATACCAGAAATGTAGTGATCATACTTACGATAATACCCCTCTGCATCTGTCCAGTTGTCCCTGAGGTTGGGGTTTTCTTTGAAGTCCTTTCCAATGCCAGCAGCTCTAAGGCGTGCACTCTGAAGGAAAACAAACCTTCTTTAGACTTTTTCCTTCATGTTCTACATACTTGGGTAAATAAACATTTTAATAGTTATCTCTTTAAAATTAGAGCTCAACTTATCAACTGATAAATTTAATATATTCTAAACACAAACTCCAACTATATTACCAAAAAACTCTGTTAAGGAAATACACATCTAAAACAATCTATACATCAAATCAGTGGTGTTATATAACATATAACATAAAGGCATAGTATGGGGGCAAAGTATCTCTGAACCTCAAACAACATGCCAAATCTTATGCATATGTCACTGAGGTTGACAAGTTTAATGTTCAGAACATTTGTATTCTATTCAATTGTCATGAAAAAACATAAAACTCTACTAGAATTATAAAAGAAGAATCACTTATGGTGAAGGAATCACTTTCCAAAATTAATGTTTTTAAAAATAATTTAAAGACTGTTACAAAAATTGTACTTTACCATTTCAATTAAAAAAGAAAAGAAAAGCACTTCAAGGATCAACAATGTCTAAAAATTACCTACATCAAAGTATGCAGCGAACATATCATCTGATTCTGTAAACATGTCAGGAGCAGTGACCTTCTTTTGAGATGAACCTTAAAAGATCATATTAATACAAAGAATTTATATCAATTGTTTTGCAACACATGTATTTTTTAAATGTGCTATCCTCCTTTAAGTATGTTGTAGCCTGCAACACAATTAAAAAACACAAATAAAACAAACCGTACATAGCATGTGGCATAGTTCAGTGCAAATCAAATCTAAAAAGCCTGGAAAAGTAAGACCCAACACTTAAAAATATCAAACTTGTAAGGCAAACCTGCTTATTATACTGCTTGTAAATTTATGTAAATTGATATGCTTCAACTTCCTGTTTTCCAAGCCATCTAGAACTTTAAAGATTAAAACTAGTGAAGTTATTTTTAAAACGTGATAAAATGTTTTATTTGCCTTTTCCCAAACAGTATTCCAGTCACAGTTCTCCAACCGCCATTGTACATATTAATAATCTTATGATTAACTGACTGCAGTCCTCTTCACTTAAGTTGACACTGTGAAAGTAGAATGGTGTCATCAGACTATGATGACAATATTTAATTTAAAATAATTAAACTTCCTATTTCTCCTCTTGAGGTTGAAAGGCTCCCTAGGGTTCCCTTTACAGCTTGGGAAACCTTTGGGAATCTTGGGATGGGGGGTGTTAATATCAAAAACTCACAGGCAGAAAGGCTATAGACCATAATCATAAAAGCCCATGCTCCAACTACAGATGTAGAAGAGGAACAGACTGTTAGCAATTATCCAAGTGTCCAGGAGGAAATTGATCACACACCAAAACAAAATATGATCATTATAATGGGTGTCTGGAATACCAAAGTAGGAAATAAATCAGAAGAAACAGTGCTAAAGTATTTGGTCCAGAAATCAGAAAGGAGATCAACTCATAACATTTTGTGAAGTCAACAATCTGTCTATTGTATATATAAACTTCAAGCACATAAAAAGAGAATAGCACCAAAGGACAATACCAAACGGTAATGCAGAAATCAAATATAATGTATAACTAGAAACAAAACAGGGAGAAGCTGTGGAATAGTGTGATACAGATGTCAAAAATTACAGTAAAGCTGAAGCAGAGTAAAACAATCATAGTACCAAAGTATAATTTAAATAATGTTCCAGAAGAATTTGAAGATCATGTACTGTAAAGAACATATTTGCATTATTAAGCTCAATAGACTGCAAACCAGTGGACAGATCAAAAATAAAGTCAGAGAGAAATAATGGACAACTGATGAAATGCTTAAAATTGTAACATATGGAAATCAAAAGGAAAAGAAGAATCTTTAATGATTAAGTGCAGTTTTAGAAAGTGCATCTTTCATGAATAACAAAGTTTTAGAAAGTAAAAGCACTTGGAATAAATAAATAGGAATAGCTGGAATACCAACAGAGGTATTTCAGATATAGAGGGTGAATCTATAAAATCCTAGCAAGAATGTGCCAATAGAGAAAACAAAATAGTGGTCCACATTGCGTTCAATATACATTTCAATCCCCAAGAAAGGAAATGCTAAGGTGTGCCATAACCAGAGCACCACTGCATTTATTTCCCATGCAAGTAAAAAAAGCTAAGCTCAAGATTTTATCCAGAAATAAGGACACAAAAATTATCAGGTGTCTCAGTTTTGACACTTTCTGGGATATTTATTATTTCAGATCATATTAATTACAACTGCTGGTTCTTACCATTATTCTGCTCAACTGTCATGAGGTTGTGCTTAGCTTTCACTGAAGCCTCAAAGGTGTCCACATTTTCCCGTTCATATTCTTTAACATCAGCAGCTACCCTTTCGAGAATGTCATCAGGAGAGTTTGACCGACTGCGAGTGCTGCTCTGAGGACTACTTGGTTCAGATGGCACAGACATATTACTATCTTCAGTTAAGTACTTGTATTTCTGCAACAAAATACCACCATAATTTAACAATGCTGATGAATTATAATCTAATTTATTGATATATGATACTGATATAAATCAAAATGAAATTCTGGATAGTTCTTGCACTGTGCTGGCAGAAGTTCCTTTTTCCATCTCCTCTCAACTACAGTTTCTAATAACATCCCACACATTTCCTGAGGTCTCTCAACCGTGAAATGAAGTTTTGATGGAGAAGGAAGGTAGGACAAGTGTAGATTTCAATTCAAACTACTCTGGATTCAGTGCTTTATTTCTAGTAGCCTTTACTTGCAGAGGGCTATTGCTGTATCACCACATTCTCTACTTAGAACAAGCCAATCAAAATGTAACAGCCTGTGACAGCCTGGCATTTGTTGTGTTATGTCTCTATCTTTCCAAACACTGCACATGCAGGGAATATGTTGTGATCAATTATGCCACTAAGTTTCACTGCTACTGTATGAAACATTATTGTCACTTAAAGTCTATGTGAGCTGCTCCCACTATAAACTTTAACACTTTATATTCCAATACTTTGGTTGTAGCATTTTATGATGGCCAATTGCCTTGACGTAGTTGTAAATATGGACATAGCAGTATTTAGCATTCTCAGTTCATTTGCAGTAAATGTCCTCTCCACCAACAACAGATGGCACGTGACCTTGCAAAGAGCAGCTATCTTGCTCATCTATGTCTCAGCTAAAGACTTTAGTGATCTGAACAATATGACTGACTTTAAAACTTGATGAAATGGTAACCTCGTGGAATAGCTTTAAAAAAAACTTTGAAGATGCATAAGGTAAAAATGCATCGGGTGAAGTATATTTAAAAAGCCAGTTTGTTTTGGACAGGTACCGTATTTTTCCATGTATAAAACAATACTTTTTCCTAAAATCATCAGAGGAAAAACTGATCATCTTATACACGGAAGGAGACTGAGGCAATTTTTCCATGGCTCTCAGCTGCCTCTCGCGGCTGCCTCTCGCCTGTCGTTGCCGGATCGCCTCCTCCAGGGCCACTCGCAGGCTCCATTCGGGCAGGGGACAAGGCGGCAGCATGAGCTGGAGGTGAGCACCGCGACTGACACTGGAGGTGATTGGGCGGGGGCAGCAACAGTCAATGGGTAGCTGCGAGAAGCAGCCGAGCACAGCTGTTCCTCCGCCTCCTGCCACCACCCAATTGCCTCCTCCAGCGCCACTCGCGGGCTCACCTCCAGCTCACGCTGCCGCCTTGCCCCCTGGAGGAGGCGATCCGGCAGTGGTGCCAGAAGCAGCAGGAGGCAGAGGTGAAGGAGCAACCGTGTTCGGCTGTCCCTCGCAGCTGCCCATTGACCGCCGTTGCCTGATCACCTCCTCCAGCGCCACTCGCAGGATTCACCTCCAGCTCATGCCGCCACCTTGTCCCCTGCCCAAAGGGAGCCCACAAGTGGCACTGGAGGAGGTGATCGTGAGGCGGAAGCAGGAGCAGTCAATGGGCAGCTACATTGGGCAGCTAAGTGCAGCTGCTCCTTCACCTCCACCTCCGGAAAAGGGTCAAAATCAAGGGTTGTCTTATATATTGGGGGTGTTATACACGGAAAATACGGTAAGCACCAACACATACCTGCACAATTGCTTGCCTCTGTAATCTCCTCTGTTCTATCAGAGCCTCTTCATCTTCTTCTTCAACATCAAAGTCTTCAAGGCTATTGAAAGGAGAAATTTCTGAAATTGCACTGTGTGTGGAACATATACAGAACTTTGTACTCCATTATTCAGAGAACAGTACTCCATTATTCAGAGAACAGCTCTTAGATCTTTAGGTAACTCAAAAGAAGTCCATAAAACTTTTCCACTTCTTCCTATTTCAATAATGCAACACCTCCAGCCTTTAAACTATAGGTGGGTGGGTGAGTTGTGTTCTGGAACTATATACAGCCTGTCCATTAGACTTCCCACTACCACTCCAAAAAAGTGGTTTTCATTGGGGGGAAATGTGATGTGCCACTTCTTAGAAACTCCTAGAGCAATGATTTATCTTTTAAATTTGCAAAGGGCCCCTCTGAAGCGGGCAATCCCCACAAATGCCATTTTTTTCAAAACAAGAAGTAGACTTCCATATTTTCCAATCACTTCCATGTCTTTCTCATTTTTACACACATTTGGCATTCTGTACTGCTCCCCAGGGAAGAAATATCAGCCACTGGAACAGTTCAAGATGCCTATCTTTGATTTAGATAAAAACAAACCAACACATGTAAACCTTTAAAAAAACCTTGTGTAATCTGCAGAAATACACTGCCCTGTTTACAAAAGAGCATTTTTGTACTTAGATATGGATATAAAACCATGAAATTTAACTGCTGGGTTTTCAGGAATCAAAAAGTAAATGAAAGCCCATTCAATATAAGCCTTTAAATTAAATATATTAATGTTCACATCAATGATAGGATTATGTAAATTATGCAAAACAGAAGTCCATGCCTCCATAAGAGCCAATCCAAAACATCACATAGCAAAAATCATATGTCATGCATTTTTAAAAGTCTAGATTTTTTTCTGAAAAGGAAAAAGTAAAGAGGGAAATGGTGATACATATATTAATGAAGAGAAAGTATAGTAAAGAACTAGTCCTAAGCACACTTATCTGGACACAATCAAACATCAGTGGAATTAACTTCCAAGTTTGTTTGTTTAGGATTATGGCCAAAGTCTCTTTGTCCAAAGAAGTCAACAGTGTCAAGATCTCAAAAACTGTGAACACAAGTGTTTGTAAACCCTTGGAAGTTGTGGATTATTTTTCTAAAACAGCTGTCAAATATGCTAGATAATAAAAGTATTTTGAAAACTGACACCATTTGAAATAAGGCAGTGGAGTATACTGGCCATACACACACCTGCAACTGGACTAGTGCTTTCCCATAAATTGGAAAAGTCCTTTGTATCCTACACCATATCTGTTGGATTACTCCTACAAAAGGTATTGCATGATATGCCTGATAAGCATCTAGTCATACAAGTAATGCAACTTTTAAAACTTTCCAAAGATTAAGAACATTGATTATAATAAGATTGAAGTGACAAACTGTATGTTTAAAGAGTAACTGATCTTAAAGAAAATTGTGTGTCCATCTTCATCTGTATTATGCTAATGGTCTTCTGGCAAAAAATGTATATAAATATTTAAACATGCATAAATACTTTTTATTTGCTTATAAAGCAAATTATTGGGGAACCTTAATGAATACTGCACACCAGAATTTACCATATATGTCTTATATTAGGTATAGGTCAACTACAGTATATCACAGAAGTGAGTACATCCCCTCACATTTCATAAATATTTTAGTATATCTTTTCAAAGCCAACCTCTTAGACATTAATGGCAGGTGTTGCATTATTTTGAGGGGACAGCACATTTACAATGTTATACAAGCTGTATACTCACTGCTTTACATTGTAGCCAAGTGTCATTTCTTCAGTGTTGTCGCATGAAAATATATACTAAAATATTTATGAAATGTGAAGGGGTGTACTCACTTCTGTACTTAAACTTTAGTAACATTTCTTCCACAGGGAAAACATTTCCTATTACAAATTTAAGAAACAGGAATTACAAGACTATGGTTGTGCAGGACACCAAAACAGAATACATTAGAATTCCATGTCTTACTTTTCATCAGACGAGGATTCTTGCTCAACTTTCATCCCTTCAGAAAGACTTCCTTTGAATTTATCCTCTATTTTGCTTCGACTCCTCCGTCTATGGCCACCCCGTGACCTGGATCTTCTTCTAAGACGTGATCTACTTCTTCGACCTCTATCCCTGAAAGTGGAGGAAAAGCTTATTTAACTGTGATAAAAACACCAGGTATATATTTTAAATTAACTTATTTTTAAACTCTTTCATTTAGTTTTAATTGAAACACTTATTTCAAAATTTATATCTGTTTCATGAAAGAGTAATGAACAAACAGACAATTATATTTAGGATCTGGCATAATCAACAATGACTGAAAATATTGGTGAAGTTACTCTTTTAAGGATCAGATATTGTATTTTTATGATTAATGCTTCATTTGAAAACAGGTGCACTACCATCTGAAATGAAGGAAACTATAGTTACGATATTGGTTTAGCACATAATGGTGACAGGGACAATAGCTTACAAATAACTTGTTAGTAAATGTTATTTACTGCGACTTACAAATGCACAGTGTTGTAATGTACACACCTTCTTCGAGGAGATCTACTCCTCCTTCTTGGAGATCGGCTACGACGAAGAGGTGAACGAGATCTTCGTCGAATAGGAGATCTGGATCGTCTTCTGGATGGGGACCACCTAGGTGGGCTGGCATCCTTTGATCGCTCACGTCTAGAGAGAATATCATCTCTAGTTCGTGTTCTTGAAGGTGAGAAAAAAAACAGCGTAAAGCTGGAAGCTTACAAAAACCAGTGCTAACTATTTTTTGTAAGAACAGTCTGAAACTCAAATGTAAAGTAAAATGCATCAGCAGAAAAATGTTATGGAACTAGCTCCGTGTTCCCCAAATTAGTGGGAATATTCTACAGTGCCAATATTCTACACAGTACAGCTCACATCATTTATGACATTAATGGAGCAAGTGAGCTTGTAACAAACAGACAAGTAAATGATATAGAACCATTTTTCAGTACACAACTTCTTGGTTCACAATCAGAAGCTATTTGTTTAAATATCTCCAGTAACGGAAGTGAGATCTGCCCACAGAACTCAATGCAAAACTCAAAAGTCTCAATGTTGTGGGGATTGGACAATGCAACTGTGTTTCCCCAAAAATAAGACAGGGTCTTATATTAATTTTTGCTCCAAAAAACACATTAGGGTTTATTTTCGGGGGATGTTTTTTTCCCCATGTAGAACAATTTACATTTATTCCAATATAGTCATGTCATCTTCTGGTTGCTGCACAAAGGTGGAGGGTGGGGTTTCACTTAACTGGGGCTTATTTTGAGGATAGGGCTTATATTACGAGCATCCTGGAAAATCATACTAGGGCTTATTTTCAGGTTAGGTCTTATTTTCGGGGAAACAGGGTATGTCCACCGAACCTCAGTCACCCATCCTGCAATAGACAGCAAGTAAGAAAAGAATTCCTGTTTTTTCTGAACAGGAATTTCTAAACTAGTGCAATTTTTTATCATAGCATTAATAACAATTTGGAAGGAAATGCATTATACTACCTCAGAATGAAGACTGGGAGAGGCTGTTGCTAGAATAGAATGATTTATGTTTGTTGCACTTTGTAGCTTACCTTGCAGGTGAAGCTCCGGGTACAACAACCATGTTGTATTAGTTATACTTTTATCCCCATATTATAAGTTGGAGTGAGAGACAAGTATACAGTTACCCTGAAGTACAGTTCACTAATATAAACCTACTGCATCTAAAATGTTCACAGAGCAAGTGCAAAACTGCTCAATAGTAATTCAATGCTACAGAATGGTAACAGATTTATCTTCTGGTTTACACTCAGAAGCTATTTTAATATAATACCAGGAATGTAAATGAAAAATGCCCAGAGACTTCAGAAGAGGACTATCTATCCCACACCTCAAGAAATTGCTAACTAGGAAAAATAATGTGGAAAGAACCCTGAACAGCCACTCTCTACTCTCCAACCTTCTGTGTAAGAGTCCCATTCTATTTCTTAACTCATGCACAAATTAAAATAATTCAAGCATTTCAATTTACTATAAAAGTAGAGTCAGGCGGGGCTAATCAAGCTCTGTAAATGCTAAGCTTATTTTGCCCCATAAGAAAACAAATCCCAGAGCACACATCTCAACAGCTGTAATGCCCTTCCCATAACAAATTTCAAAAAAGAGCCTACTGAGAATGGGCAAAAATATAGAGGTTCTGTCTCTCCTCTATAGCTAACCGGGGGGTGGGGGTAACACAACTGTGTCTTCATAACAGTAAAACATTATCCAAGCCTATGTACACTCACACTCCATTAAATTACTGAAGTGAATGTATATGTCAGTAAAACATACATGTATACATATAAAGAAAAAAACTTGAACTCTGTTCCAAAGTAAAACATGCACTGCAACATTGCTTACTAGATAATTTATAATTGGATTACATTCTAAAGATGCCTATTTTAGTTCATATTTCTTTGCTGGACTGAAATCATTTGCAAGCATGATATAAAACTTCCACCAGCATAACAACCTACTACTCTGTGTGAAATTAATACATTCTTTACAGTATATAGATGAAAACTATTGCACAGGATAGCAAAGAATTCAATATCCATATTTAATGCTCACTTTTTAAATAGCTTATAGCAATCTTGCAAATACCCCAAATTCATCACCCTTCCGCTATATCTAAGAAGATTGCACAAAGTTTGAAAAATAAACCATTTCCCAAGTTATAGAAGCCTTTTTTTTATTTTTAAGAGGTTCTCATATTTCCTAGCAGCATCACCAGTAACTATTGCAAGCCCAGGAAAAGCACATTTTAACTTGTAGCACTAAGCCACTTTAAATTTCCCAGTCGAACTTTGTTGCAGAAATCAGTGTTGTGGGGCAGAAAAATTTTCTCAGTGGAAAAACCCCCAACGGAATCACATCAGCAAATATAACTAGCAGGATTCTGATCACTGTTTTGCAATATACATAATCAACAATGAATTGATGCTAATGACTAGGTCTGGATCCAATCCAGTATATCAGGCTTTCAGAATCTTATGGCACAGTGGTTAAACTGCTGTACTGCAGACAAAACTGTGCTCACAACCCAGGGTCCAATCCCAGGTAGCTGGCTCAAGGCTGACTCAGGCTTCTATGCCTCTGAGGTCGGTAAAATTAGTACTCAGCTGGCGCGGGGGGGCAGCAATGTGTAGCCTCCATAATTAACTTGTAAAGTGCTATGGGACTGTATATAAGCAGCACACTTTGCTTTGTTTTTTCAGTACTGCCTTGTAGATATATATGTCATCATCAACTTCACTGAAAAAAGTCCTAAGTGCACAAATCAATATATCCTGCAACTTTAGGGAACACGTGCTCAAAATATATTTTTCATTTTACAGACTAACAATCTAACCACAGAGATATTATGTAGAAATAAATTGCAAAGAAACTTAGATTCACTTTAAAGCAGCCATTCTCAACCTTTTTCTCGCCATGGCCATAAACATATTATGAAAGAAATATAGGTTAAATAAAACTTTGGATTTGACTAGTATGAGGCACAGAAGCTAGAAGATTGCACTCTAAAATATTTTTATTTATTGTATAGCAAGGCAGACTATGTAGAATTTTCCTCTCCCTACAACCCTCTAACATGTTTCTTAATTGTTAATTCCCAATATTTGGCCACAAGAATACTCTGTTCCTCTAATATACTGTCTCCAATCCAAAATTTGCTATCATGGTCCATCGGAACGAAAATAATATTTGCATGCATTCACTAAATCCTCTAGAAAACTATTATGTCCCTTCAAAGCATTCTGTTCATATAATTTCAAGTGACACTTATCTTAAAAAGGCAAAGAACAAAATTACACAATTTTACTCGCATGGCCAATTTCAATTATTTATAATGGCATCAAGTATATGTTTTTGAAGATCTAAATTTTCCTTCTTTCCTCTGACCCAGAACCCAGATTGGTCTGGGTCAGATTGGTTCTGACCCAGACCAATCTCCATCCCTCAAGAAAAGGCTTCTGACTCATCAAAGGGATTTTGCTGAACAAAGGTGAGATCTTACTGATTTCCCCCTCTTTCTCCAGCACAACATCCCAAACTGTTCTGAAGCTTTCTTCAACCCTTCAGATTTTCAGAGCCTGAAAGGACTGCAGCTAGAAATAGCAAAGTCCTCCTCCTCCTCCTCCTCTCTTTGGCAAAAACAAAATCTAGATGGTAGTGATTCATTTGTTAGTTAAAATTACCTGGGAGAAGAAAAACGTCTCCTTTCAGATTCTCTTCTTTTCCTCTCTGGTGATCTGCTCTTTGCTCTCCTATTAGGAGACCGATTTCGGGATGGTGATTTACTCTGTTTCGATCTGCGTTCATTCAGGAGAGGCGATCTGCTGCGCCTTGGCTTTTCTCGTTTTGGAGATAAACTTTTTCTTTTAGGGCTACGTCCAGGCCTCCTGCTAGGGGATCTGTTTTCTTTCCCAGATGATGCATCCTTAGAAGGAGACTTAGTGGGCTTCTTTTCTTTTTCATTTTCTGTCCTCCTGGATTTCCGATCTTTAGACCTTGATCGTCTATCTTTGGATTTGCTCCTTTGTTCTACTGGAGACTTCGACTTTTTGCCTCGATCTCTGCTTTTATTTTCATTAACAACTGGAGATCTTTTACGATCTCTTGACTTAATCTTATCTTCTGCTTTAGGCTTATCCTCCGGAGGAGATCTGGACTTCCTATTTTTCTCTTGGGAGCGCCTTTTAAGGGTGGGAGATTTTGACTTACCTACTTGATCCTGTGACTTTGTTCTTTTAGAAGGGCTTTTCGATTTTCTCCGCTCTTTTGATTTACTTCTAGTTATTCTCTCTTTTACTCCATCAACTCCTGATTTACTCTTCTTTTTATCAGATCTATGTCGAGTCCGTTCTTTTGATCTGCTCTTACTTCGTTTTTTTGAACTAGTTTTAAGGTCCACACTCTCTAGTTTCCCCTTAATGTTTGATGATTTTGTTGCCGATCTAGTCCCATTTCTCACTTTATCATTGATTTCTCCCTCTTCTTCAGAACCTGACTCATAACCCTGAAGTATTAATCCCATCCCAGACTGAACTTTTCCTTCCATTAGTTCATTTTCAAGTTCAGCTTTAAGTAATGCTCTTTGTTTCTCTAAATCCTCTAGAGGAGCTAAGAAATCAATCTTAGTTCTTTTTGCTGGTCCATCTTCTTTATCAGAGGTATCAGCAACCTCCTTTCGTTTATGTTTCTTACGTTTGTGCCTATGTTTATGCTTTTTGTCCTTATCTTCTTCTGAAGAATGTTTATGTTTCTTGTGTTTGCCTCTATGTTTGTGTTTCTTCTTTTTATGTCGGCTGTGCTGGGTTTGAGGTTGGTCTCCCTCTGAAATGTCCCCATTTTCTTCATTTGCACTCTTCTCAGAAATATCAGCATCTTCAATGCTGCAAATATATAGAAAAGATTAGAGATCAAATAAAATACTTGTAAGTCAGCAAGACAAATGTACTACAATATCCATTCGGAAAACATTACTATATTCTAACACATCTTTGAAACATTATTTTTGATTTGTGGTAACATTAAGAATATGTATAACAAAACTGTAATCCACAGTAATACACAGAAAAATAAAACAGCAAATTCATAAAAAAAGTTTATGCTTGTTTTACTACCACTGGTGAGTTACAACAAAGGAGAAACATCTAGAGGTCAGGCTCAAAATCTAAGATGAGATTAATAGTACAAATTATTTATCTTACAATATCCGAGATAGAAACCAACACTGTAATGGTGTTGAGGAAATCAGACCTGTAAGCAGAACAAGAAGGGGGAGCACACTATTCTTGTAGCCAAGGTGGACAAAAAACATTTTAAAAAATCAATCAATCTTTAAATCAATCATCATCTGAGAACTGCAGGGCTAGAAAGGGACCCTATGGATCATCAAGTCTAGCAGCCCCTTGTCAAGGAAACACAGTGGAGAACTGAACTCCCAACCCCGGCTCTGCAGCCAGACACTAAGCTACTGAGCTATAACCCCTGATTTAAATCAATTCCTCCCTGCTTGCAGCTACCTGTGAACCTTCAAGATCTGGTCCACAGAAGAGGGCCAGGAAATCCTTAAAGGATCTTTGGTTACTGGAGCAAGCTGTGGAAAATATCTTCCCCATGTGATACTGAACGTAGATTACTAAAACCTACAGGCTGAAATCTTGCTGTGTAACTTACATCTGAGGAAGGTGTTGATGTCAGCAGCAATGGAAAATTTTCATTAAAACTTTCTACTTCTACTCTGCAGCTTTTCGTACTGTTGTGTAATTCCCGCTTTTGCTGAACTGGAACTGCGGTATTGGAGGAGGAGGTTTTTATTGATCAAAATTGCCACCATCAGATGACATTACCAGTGACTTTTTGATAAAGACTTCATTCTTCCATTTCAACACTTCCACAACTCACACATTCAAGATTCCGGCTCATAAATTTCCCAGCTAACAGTGGGATGGAAGCACGAAACTTGGGTGGAGCTAGACCTATCTAATCCTCAAAGGCTCGCACTTTAGACGTTTCTCCCAGGTGCCTCACATCCAGGTGTTTGTAAGGTAAATACAGCATCCACAATTGAGAATTAAGTTATTTGTAATCGAGAAAATCCAAAAATCCCATCCCTAAAAGGCTGTGTGTGATTAATTACAGGGATTGAGAGCTACGTTTCTACCAAACCTTGACAATAGAATTCCCAATCAAACTAGCCAATAATAATTGACTATACTGTTTAATACGTAATTGAGTACACTATATCCATTTTTTTAGAAAAGCATCTAATCTAAATAGCTCTTTACCACAAGGTGATGATTTAAATTCCTGAAACCACTACACTGTACAGTGGGGTCTTGACTTGAGAACTTAATCCATATTGGAAGGCGGTTCTCAAGTCAAAAAGTCTGTAAGTCAAGTCTCCATTGACCTACAGTGCATTGAAAACCGATTAATCCCGTAACAGGCCGTTTTTGTTCTATTTTGGTTTTTTTCTGGTCTGTAAGTCAATTCTCAGGCTGCAAGTCAAACCTAAATTTTGCGGCCAGAGAAGTCTGTAACTCAAAAAGTCTGTAAGTCAAGGGTCCACTGTATTGAGCAAAAAAGCTGCCTAGTGATATACTCTAATATTTGGAACAATAAGTCTACTATCATTTAAACATTGTAATGTAGAAGATTTCATCTAGGTTGCTTTATAGTTCCAGATATAACAACTCATGAGTAATTATTTAACACTGCCTGCATTCCTGTTGCTTAGTATAGTAAAGTCGTAGTCGAGCAGACTCAGTGAATCAATAAGGATTTCGGGAGTCAAATCCTCCATGTTCCATTGATTCAAATGAGCCAACTATAGCTGCAACCTACTTTCTCATACTAAATTGCAACTAGAGTAGACCTATTTGAATAAACAGCATTTACAGAGAAGCTCACTCACCAAATCCCCACTGATGTCCTACTCTACACTAAGCAAAAGCTTTTCAGTCATTTTTTGGGACTGAAGAAAAAATGAAATAAAAAATGAAGTATATTTTCATTCCAGTCACAGCAATTTCACTGTGCCAAGAAATACAGTGGGGTCTCGACTTACGAACGGCTCGACATACGAACGTTTCGACTTACGAACTGCTCTCATAGGAATATATGGACTCGACTTACGAACTTAGATTCGAGTTACGAACTCTTTTTTCCCTTTTTTAAAAAGCTAAGTCATCTTAGGTTAAAAGGAAAAAAGAAAAAAATATCCCCCTCTAGTGGCAGAAGGTGGAATAGCAGCTTCCCATTAGTTTCTATGGACAAAAAGAGCAGATACAGATTAAATGGTTTTCAATGCATTCCTATGGGAAATGCAGATTCGACTTAAGAACTTTTCGACCTGAGAACTGCCTTCCAATACGGATTAAGTTCGTAAGTCGAGACCCCACTGTAGGTAGCTCTATAACTCCTTTCTAGCCTTCTAAATTAATTGGGTGTAATTATCTTCAACCAGCCTCTAAACATAATCAGACAGAAATATTCCAAGACATTAAATACTTTTTGTTTTACATTCAGATCCAGTGATGTTTCAATTCTTTTCTTCTGAGAATCTTCTATACTAAGCAATACAATTTCTGAACTTGCATGATTAACTTTATATCCTGAAACATTCCCATATATCTCAAAAATATTTTAGATTATGTTATTGATCTTATTGGGGTTATGTAATTAAAAAACACATCTGCATATTGTACACTTTTAATTTCATGTTAGCTTATTAAAAGACCAGTGATCTGTTTGTCCTGTCTAATCTGGTGAGCTAATGCTTTTATACATAACTTTAAAAAGCATAACTTATTGCTTCTTTAATGAAAACAGAGATAAAATCATTCTATTAACCAGAATCTTAGTTATTGGATCTGAATTAAGTAGTTGTACAAAATTAAGAAAACATGGGCCGATTCCAAATTCACATAAAATATAGGACAAAAAATTCTATTTAATATACTCAAAGGCCTTTTCTGCATCAACAAAACAAAACAATACAGGCCCTTTTGTTCTTAGATGTTGATTAATCAATTGTATCGTTTTTCTGATATTCCAGGTCAGAAAAATGACTTGGAAAAATGAAGATTAGACTAGATCCTTCATAAATCTATTCTAATCTTCAGTAAGTTTTTACAAATTCTGTTTAACCATTATCAAGTATAGCATCGATAATCTTATAATCTGTATTTAACAAAGATTAGTGTCCAGTTTCTCTGAATTCTTGCCTTGGTTTGAAGCATACATTTTAACTATGTATGTTTCAAACCAAGATCTTGGAATCTAATAACTTGCAAAGCTTCATTAAATATTTTTAACAGTCTACAAGGCATTAAAACCACTAAATTCCTGACATAATTCCTCAATAATAACATCAGGGCCTGGCGTTTTTCCTTTCTTAACGAATCTAATCATACTTTCCAATTCTTGGACTAGACAAGGGCCTTCAGTTGCTCCATCTGCTTACTCCCCCTAAGAGTAAGCAAATCCACATCCTTCAAACATTTGTTTATCTCATCCTTAGGAGGGTTGCTAAGTCTATACAAACGTTTATGAAAATCTAAAAAATTGTTAGTTACTTCTTACTGGGTAGTTCTGTCTGGTCTTTGTATATCATTAATTTGTGGAGATATTTCTTTTTTGTTCAGAGATTTGCCAAAGAATTCCCAGGCTTATTTCCTGACTCAAAAATTATCTGCCTCACATATATGAATTAGTAGTTGAATGATCATTCAGTAACTTTATCTTATCACATGCCTTCTCTAGCTTTCATTTACTATCTTCTGAGTCTGTAGCTTATCAGATGCCTCCAGGCTACTTATCTGTTTCAGTGTATTAGTACTTTCTTTCTTTCTTTCAAAAAATATATTCTGGCAGAAAGAAACTTGCCATACATCAAAGCACTAAATACATTAGATATTACTGACATAGTACTGAGATATATTTGCCACTAACTCCCTATTATTCAGCAGGAAAGCATTTAATTCCTATTCTCCTCAACCTTTTTTAAAACACAATACAGTGGTGCCTCGTATAACGAGTGCACCGTTGAACGATGAATCCGCATTGCGATGCGGATTTCCCTATCGCTAATGCGAGGGCACGCTCGCATTACGATGGGGGAACAGCTGTTCTGCGGCTCCAAAATGGCCGCCAGAACACAAAAAATGGGTGCCGGTCCACCCAAGACGGCCGCCGGAACAAAAAAATGGCCACCGGAACTCCCAAGATGGACGCCAGAAAACAAAAATGGGCACCGGTACACCCAAAATGCCCGCCGGGACGCTCAAAATGGCCACCAGTACACCCAAGATGGCCGCCGGCACAAAAAAATGGCCACTGGTACACCCAAGATGGACGCCAGAAAAAAAAATGGCCACCGGAACACCCAAGATGGACGCCAGAACACAAAAATGAGCACCGGTACACCCAAAATGACCGCCGGGACGCTCAAAATGGCCACCAGTACACCCAAGATGGCCACCGGAACAAGGGAAAACATCGGAGAACGGTGAGTTTTGGGCCCAATTGGGGTTTTTGATCCGTTTTACGATGTTTTCCCATAGCGAAGGTTAATCCGGAACGGATTAACCTCGCTATGCGGGGCACCACTGTACATTATACAACACAGAGGTACATGGCCTGCATAGACCTTAGCTTCAATATCAACACTAATTATACTTTTAGTTAAATATAGTGATAACAATAGAATCTAAGTAAAACTTATCTATGGGAACAAAATGCTTAATCTTTCTTTTTCAGATATTATATTTTCATGTATCTACATAGGGTAGATTTTGTAGCCTAGTTTGAAATATATTTTGGACCTTGACTATTAGACATGGTGGACTTATCATAGTCTGGGTCAACTTTTTATTTATTTGTTTGTTTGTTTTGTATCCTGCCCATCTGGTCTATACGACCACTCTAGACGACCACTATGGCATGAAGATCACCACAAAAGATTGTATCTTTACATGGTTGGGCAGAAGATAAGTAATTGATTCCCCACAGAACTGTGTTTGCTCTTTCTTTGAAGGATAAATACATCACAACTGCTTTTAAAATACTGACTATTTTTTAAATGTTTATGTAACTGATTAATGTTGGCTGCTCATCATTATTCTTAGAATTCCCTGCTACTCATTGTGTAATGATTTGTGATTAAACATTTTAACAACAGAAGAATTTTCATTTTTATAATTATTCTTGAAGAAAAAGACCTTAATTCTTATAAAGTGTGAATATGATCAATTACTGTAGCAGTTATAAGCATGATAGTACTTTGTGGCTGAAAGCTTACTGTTAGTGTTGTAGTTCACACCAGAGTAGGCCCACTGGATCAGTGGAGATTAGTGAGGCAATTCCTTCATAAGTTCTATTAAAGCTTCAAATGGACCTATTTTAGTTCCAATTTACTACAATCACCAAATTCCTACTACTTCAATGGACTACCCAAGTGTGACTCAATGCACTAAACAGGATTTCAGTCATTTAGACACAGTCATTTGGGATATTTAGACACTAACCAGAATCCTATGAATGTGCAATTTGTATGAATTCTAATGATTTCTGGCAGTCTCTCATACAACTCTGACTAAACTTTCCTTCTTTTAATTTCTTATCAACTTATTTTACAGCTGTACCAGGATACAATGCACAATTTATAATTTGGGATATAAAACAATACTACTTAGAATATTTAGGAAAAGCAGAGACCAATTCTATGTATTATAAGCCAATTTAAAAATATCTGACACTGAGCACAATAAATGTGATCAAAGGCCATGGTTGGTACATATCACAAACAAGCATGCTGTCAGAGCAGTGTCAATGAACTTCTTCTGTTCTTTCAGTTGAATCAAATCTCTTTAGGAAAAAAAACCAAGGAGACACTGTGGATTGAGCGTTTGAAAGCAGACATTAATAAAGAGGAGTTAAAACAATGTTGTTCAGTAGTTGAAAATTAAAAAGGTGCACCAGATCAAAGTGTCTCAATGCCCAATTGATGTAACTCCTTCAGTATAACTTTTAGTAGCAAGCTGTCAAAGGTTATACCAGCATAAATATGCAACAGGATTCCAGTTAGTATTTCTTTCCATCTGTGTAACTGAAATTGATTTATGACACTGAAACATTTTGTTTCTGCTTTATTAAATTTTAGGCACATTTGGTGTTGTAATTTTTTTTTTGCCTACAACATTCTTACCAGGAGAAAGACAGCACAGAAGCAAAACAAAAAAATGTAGTAAAGTAAGTGAGCAATCAGGCTAAAAGGGCAGCAGAAACAGGATACTTGCGTTCCAAATGAGTCTGAAGATCACCAGAAGGTGGCATGTAGGAATCCATAAGCAAAAAAGCCCAGTACTAGTTCTCATCTAAATAGAAGCGCTAAAGGTGCAAAAATGCATTTCAAACCTGCAGTTTGTCTACAATATACGCAGGATGCATTTTCTAGTTACCATATTTTTTCATGTATAAGACACTACTTTTTCCTAAAATCATTACACTAAAACTGAGGAGCATCTTTTACACAGAAGTAAACTGAGGAGAGAAAATGGCCCGTATCTTGCCTCTGTAAACAGGCTTCCTTCAGTCACGAGGCTTAGCTTTCTACAATCAGATCTAGCTTCCTCCAATCACGAGCCTTATGGAACTAATGTCAGCTGATGCTGAACAAACCAAATGGAACACACCTCGTTGGAGGTGGAGCCTGTAGGCCCAGATGCAACAGGCACTTGTAATGTCCAAGCGTTCCTGAGTCCAGAGGCTGAATACTCAAAGCTAATTTTTTTGGGTTAGAAAAGTGGGGGGAATCTTATAAACAGGGGCGTCTTATAAACGGTAAAATACAGTATTTAAATCAAGGGTAGGAAAATACTGCATGAAGGTCACATGTGTCCCACTTCACTGAACATTCTGTACCCATGTCCTTTTAAGGTTGTGTGTGCGCCATCAAGGGGTCAATAGAACCATGTCCTTGTCCCCTTCTATTCTGGGACAGAAGGGCTTTTTCAACTACAAAGCAACTCCCGGTCACAGTTGTTAAATACAAGATAATGGGAAAAAATTAAAATACACTGCCAGGTGACCATTGTACTTTGGTCTGTACTTACAGGGCCTTAGTTATTCATAGTCACTGCTATCCAACTCCATACACAAGACAAGGGCTGAAACCCTGTTGCTTAGCATAGTAGAGAAGGCCCATTTGCATCAAAGGAACTTACAGAACAGCTGACTCACCAAATTCTCACTGAATGGGCCTATGCCAGTGTGACCTACTACTATGCTAAGCAATAGAATTTCAGCCAAGATCTTACAATTTTATTTTTTTACTTCTCACAGTTACATTTCCATTATGTATAAGATGCAAGATTCCTTTATATGTCATATCTTTAAGAAATTCGCCCCCAAACTTAATTTTTAATTAAAAGCATTCCAATAATAATTAAGAATCTTGTGGCACACTTATGAGTAACCAGTTTTATTTAGCATGCACTTTTGCACATATAAGCTACTTCTTCCTCATCTGCATGGAGCACAATATGCAATCCACAGGTTTATATATTTACAGTGGTTCCTCGCATTACGATGTTAATTTGTTCCAGCAAAATCGCTGTAGAACGAAAACATCGTAAAGCGATTTTTAAAAGCCCATAGAAACACATTAAAACCCGATTACTGCGTTCCTATGGGCTTGAAACTCAGAGTCCAGCGAAAATCCTCCATAGCGCAGCTATTTTTGCTGCCCGTGCAGCGAGGAATCTGTCCCAGAAAACAGCGGGCGGCCATTTTTTTTACCCGGTGGCAATTCTGAAACTGCCAGAAAACAGCGGGCGGCCATTTTTTTTACCCAGTGGCAATTTTGAAACTGCCGATCAACTGTGCAAAAATCTTCGTTTTGCGATAATTGATCATCGCAAAACGATTATCGGTTTCCCCATAGGAAACATCATTTTGCGATCGCAAAAACTTCTTTGTTGTGCAATTTCATCGTTAGTGCAAAAATCTTCGTTTTGCAATAATTGGTAACCGATCATCGCAAAACGATGATCGGTTTCCCCATAGGAAACATTTTGCAATCACAAAAACTTCTTTGTTATGCAATTTCATCGTTAAACGAAGCGTTCGTCTTGCGAGGCACCACTGTACTGGTTCTGGGGTGGGAATGAATGAAACAAGATACAGAAAATGACACATGATTTAGGAAGATTTGTGAAGCACCTCCACATAGCTAATAACCTGTAACTGTTGGAGTGGGAGCACATATGACAGACACAGTTACCTCATGTTACAAACACTGTACTTATCATACATTATACAAAAGTACTGATTTTACCATAAATAGTAAAACTATAAAAGTGCCAAGGGAGAGACTGCAATATACATTGAAAGGAAGAAATCTTTTAAGTGTTATAATATTGACATTGCGACATTACTTTAAAGAGACATGTGTTTTATACCTGAATTTGCATATTTCAACATACACGTGAAACAAATATGAGTTACCAAGCAAACAGAATGATGGGTCATGTATGTGAACAACTGCCCGTTGCCCTGCAAGTCTATACAATTCGTTCATGCTCGCCTGTAACTGTTGGAGTGGGAGCACATATGACAGACACAGTTACCTCATGTTACAAACACTGTACTTATCATACATTATACAAAAGTACTGATTTTACCATAAATAGTAAAACTATAAAAGTGCCAAGGGAGAAACTGTGTCTAACTCCTGAAAACCAATTTCACTCGCAAGTCAATAGAATTGCCGACCATTTCCCTGCACGTTCAACGTATGGAAGAAATAACTAAAAATATTAACAAAGCATAACGTGAAAATATGAGACACACAATCCCTTTAAATGAGGGGGACAAAGAAACAAGAGTAAGGCCAGCCTTTAAACCAAGAGGCTTCCATGGTTGAACTATTCTTTTTCCAGTAACTCTTAACTAGGCCCAACAAAAGAGCCGGCAGACAGTTCGGTCCGAGGGCCTCAAAATGCGGCACCCTTTCTGTGCGAGGGCGGGGATTCACGTTGTCGAGACTCGAGGGCCAAGCGGGAAAAATAACAGCCCAATCAAGCATCGATGCAGGCGGGGTGTATGGAAGGCAATGCCTTGCGAGAGTGAAGGACGGGGGCCAGAGCGCTTCTGAGCTCAAGGAAAAGCGGGTGCTGGAGAGAAACTTGTCGCATTCCAGCATCAGCCACCAGGCCCAAGAAAGGCCCCCCTCGCGACCGTTATAACGGCCCAGCTGTCGTAGGCTCCCGGCTTCTCTTCCTTCTTTCTCTTCATCTCACTCCCTTTCTGTTCCCTCGCAGAAAAACGGCTAACAACAACCAAGCTATTTCAATATAAATATATAGGCATACATATGCTATTCTTACCCGCGTCCCCGCACTGCTAACTCCATTACCGTCGCCGCGGCCATTTTGAACTTCCGAACTCCTTCGCCAACGCCACTGGGTGCTAGTGAGGAGATTAGGACGCCGCGCACGCGCACTTAGAACACAACCCAAGGGAACAGAAGGTGGAGCGCTGGAACTTGCTAGCTAGTCGATTCAGGAGCCGGAAATGAAGTAAAGGAAGTGGGGAAGAAAAAACTCACATCCGGGTGCTGGGGTGGTGATGAAAGAGAGATAACTTGATAGGGATTCACGAATTCAGACATATTGCGGCTTCCTAGTTGGGTGGGGCTATATGCGGAGCTGATATGGTCATCATAGAGAGCAAGGGGATAGAGCGGCTTAGAGGTCTGTTTAATTAATGACTGTTTCTACCTCGCATTGGAAATTCTTCTATTTTTTTTTCGTCTCTATGTTCTTAGGTCCTGAAAGGAGAGCGGGTGGAATCAGAAAATGGAACATTCTGTCTTAGGGGGCGTCTCTAAAGAGATACCTGTCGGCTGCTCAGTTTATTCAGAGATTTTTCAGAGAGGCTGGTGGAGCATTTTAAAGGCGAATTCATTTTATTATAGACGAACTTTTCGTTCATTCCTACCTACTACTTAATCAGAAATATGAAGAGATAATTATTGTTCATAAGCTTGAGTGGGTGGAAATTATGGTAAGAAATTGAAATGCAAACAGTTGATAATTACTGTAAAGATGACTTTTAACAACAATCTTAACAAAAAAACACACAAAAAGCAAAAAAAAAGACGTGGAATCTTAAGGACAAACTGCTATGTTTTAATATAAGCTCTCGTGAAACATGTTCTCTTTATCAGACATATGAGTTAAAATACAGAGACTAAAATATTCATTAGATGTTTCATAGTATATAATCAGTAAATAGTCATCAAGAGAGCTGGTGTATTTAGCCTGTGATATCGGCGGGAGGATAGGACTACATAGTTAGGGAAAATAGCCAAGTACGCTGCCTTGAAGTCACTGGTAAAGAAGTAGGATAAAAGAGTAATCAGTAGTAAATAAAAGTATTATATAGACTGTTAATACAAACATTTTTACATTGATGATCAGAATATGACCTATGCTGTCACAGAAAATCTTTTTCCTGTTCAATGTACAAGATGTAAAACAACCTTCTGATTAATTTTTGTTCAGCCGTTTTGCATTGTAATCTAATAAATTCAGACATATGTTTGTGTTTGGCAAGTTAAAACAATGGTTATTTTCATGTATTTTAAATTTATTTCTGTTGACTTTTTACATATCTGCTTTCATATAATCATGTCAGGGAAGCTCAAACAAAAATGGATGCAAATGGCATAAGTAGGCAGAAAAATGTACTAAAAGCTGAACAACTGGAGCTTAGATGACAGAAATGTAAAGCAGGGACAGTTTAAAGGGCCTGGCAGTAGAATCTTTGCCGGAATGGCATAAAAATAGGCACAATGCAAGCCACCACTGAAATGGCCATTCCCTAATAACCATCTGTTGCTCTTCACTCAATCCGATCAGCAGGAAAAGGCCTTCAGAATAATATCTTAATATCTAGATAGGTGTACATGGAGAGAAGCTGTTCTTCAAGCATCTTTTCCCCAGATCATGAAAGGGTGTAAAAATAAATAAATACTGAATTTGGTTCAACTATAAACAGATGTTGACCACTTTTGCACATTGAGGTCTTCGTGGGAAATTGAATCAAAACATGCCTCAACCACATTTTGTTTACTTTTCAATGCACATGTAGCTGTCCACTTGTAACACTGTAAGAGAGAGATTATCTGTAAAGAAGAACACTGGTAAGGCCACACCTGGAGTATAGCGTACACTTCTGGTCGCCGCACCTCAAAAAAGACATGGAACTGGAAAAGGTGCAGAAGAGAGTGACTAAAATGATGACTGGGCTGGGGCACCTCCCTTGTGAGGAAAGGCTAGTGTTTGGGGCTCTTTAGTCTAGAGAAAAGGTGCATGAGGGGAGATGTCACGCACCCCCAGTGACCCCTGTGTGTTTTGCCCCTTACCCAGGTTCACCTTTCGGCACGACTTGTTCTTTTCACTTTTATTCGCTGCTACCAGAGGATATTTTCCTCACTATATCAATTATGACCCTCACACTATTGCTGCCAAATATAACAAGGTTTATTTATGGATTATTAAGTAAATCACAGATGGAAAATCATAGATGTTCTATTAATAAACGTGGATTTGATTACTTATAACCTTGCTTTCACCTTTCGGCACGACTTGTTCTTTTCACTTTTATTCGCTGCTACCAGAGGATATTTTCCTCACTATATCAATTATGACCCTCACACTATTGCTGCCAAATATAACAAGGTTTATTTATGGATTATTAAGTAAATCACAGATGGAAAATCATAGATGTTCTATTAATAAACGTGGATTTGATTACTTATAACCTTGCTTTTACGCGACTGGGCGTATAAGACCACCCCCCAACATTCCCACTCAGAATGTAGAGTTTGTTATATACTTGCTGTATAAGACTACCCCCTCTTCCGCATGCGTGATTCTGCTTTGGCTGCATCATGGGGAAGAGTTCCTTTTGCCCCTTTTGGTTCCTTTTCGGAGAGAGCCAGGGTTTACTGGAAGAAGGAACAGCAGGGAGGCGACAGCCATTTTGAGAGGCAATAGCCATGTGGTCGCATCTCAAAATGGCTGCCGCCTCTCTGCTGTTCCCGACAGTCAGCTGTTCGGTGCTAGAGTCAGGCTGTTCCCAGGCTAGGTGCAGGGCTGTACTCGGTCTTACTACCAGGTAACTGACTTTGCTGGGAGAGAGGGAGTGTTTGCTGGTCATGCACCCGCCGTACAAGATGACCCCCCCCCACTTGGAGGCATGTTTTTCAGGCCCAAAAAGTCATATTGTACGCCGGCAAAACTCTTTACTATTTTCTAACAAACCAACTGTCCAATATCTTGTCAACACTTCACAGTCTTCTCCCTGACTGACTCTCTGTCACATAGTTCTCTCGACTCCGCTCCTCCTGTCTTGTCGTAGGCTCCTGCACTAGAGCTCTAAAATGACTGGCAGGAGTGACATGTGGGCTGTCCGCCACAGGGGACATGACTGAGACGTATAAAATTATGCAAGGGATGGAAAAAGTGGATAGATGAAAGCTCTTTTCCCTCTCACAGAATACCAGAATCAGGAGACATCCACTCCAATTGAGTGTTGGGAGAATGAGAACAGAAAATAAGGCTATAGCATTTGGGGCTCTGTAGTCTGGAGAGAAGGCTTTTGAGGGGGGACATGATTGAGTCGTATAAAATTATGCAGGGCATGGAAAAAGTGGATAGATGAAAGCTCTTTTCCCTCTCACAGAATACCAGAATCAGGAGACATCCACTCCAATTGAGTGTTGGGAGAATGAGAACAGGAAAAAAAATTCTTTACCTAGTATGTTGTTAGTCTGTGGAACTCCTTGCCACAGGATGTGGCGATGGGCTCTGGCCTAGATGGCTTTAAAAGGGGACTGGACCAATTCCTGGAGGGAAAGTCCATCACAGTTTACAAGCCATGACTGGGATGTATAATCTCCAAGCTTTAAAGGAAGGTAATTCAAAATGCCAGATGCAAGTGAGTGGTATCAGGAGACAGGTGTGCTCCCGGAGGGATCTGGTAGGGCCATTAAGAGACAGGAAACTGGACTAGATGGGCCCTTGGCCTGATCCAGCAGGACTCTTGTTATGTTCTAATTGCTTGAAATTCTCTATTTAAAACCAGCAGTTTGCCACAGGTCTCCCTGTACAAGATCAGCCTTAGATTTGATACATAAACACTCTTGTATAAGTCGTTATGTCAAACTGATAAAAATTATAGGACGCTTAAAAGATCTAACAGCCTGGGGTGGGGTAGAGTGCAGTGAGGGGAGATTGGGCATCCATTAATGGAGTCACTTCCATCAGTGTAGCTTGGAGGGGGAGGTCTTCTCTCTCTATTGCAACATCCCAAGAACCCTACAAACATGCTGCATAGGGCAGGAGAACTATCTGGAGCCAATTTTTGGGTGGTCCTGGGACTGCAGACCTTCACCATAATGGATTTGAGCAAGTAGATATTATTTTCACCAAGAATGGTTTCAGTGGCAGAGTCTTTTCTCCAAAATGATTGCACAGCAAGATTAATTAAATTTAGATTATAGATTCTTTGCAGGTAGAAAGCTGGTTTTTAAAATATTATTTTATTTTTTAAATACATATGTAGACCTTTTCTTAATTGAGGTTAACAAAGTGATTATTACATGTAAAGAATACAAAAGTATTAAACTCTGCCTTTTACAACACAAGTGAAACAACCATAAGATTAAAGCAATGGCTACCAAACAATCTTTAACTCAGTAAAACATTATGTTCTCGGGGAGTGTCTAATCATCATCCAATCCAAGTGAAACAGCTCTAAATCACATTGATTTAATTGGGATAATTGCTATGTATGTACATTAAATCAGAAGAGAAGACTCCCTGGAAAAGACTCTGATGTTGGGAAAGTGTGAAGGCAGGAGGAGAAGGGGACGACAGAGGATGAGATGGTTGGACAGTGTCATCAAAGCGACCAACATGAATTTGACCCAATTTAATTAATACCAAACTTATTCCATGTTGCTAACATCAGTTGAATTCTTTCATTGTTTAATGTGGAATGAAGGCACATGTCTTGGGCTTACAGAAATTTGTGCATTATGTGACTACAGTACTAGAAGAATAAATTTCAAATATCTGTTTATTCTGATATATATTGCATTCAAGGTCTGGAAGGAGAGTAAGTATTGTTCTTGCCTTGAATGATCAAATTTAACTTATATGGCATATTTTATTTTGTTACATTATTTAAAATAACCAGAAACATACTTCACATGGATGTCTGTGTGGTTTGGAACACTGCTTATACAAGCTGCTACGTGGATGTTAAACATAATTGTAATGTAACCTCAATTAGAATATTCTTTTCCATAGGAAAGGTGGTTTGTGAGAAATGCCACAGATGGCATAAATACGTCTAGAAAAGTGGTTGCCTCCCCTTTGAGAAACATAGTTTTTTCACCATCCTTAAAAGCTAAACAATTGCTGTGGCACAAGTTGCCTTAATAAAGGAATTATGAAACTAATAAAGATACAGTAGTTAAAATTTGCCAGGTCAAAGCCTGAAAATAAAGATCAGGGATGCAGCGTGTTCTGAAATAAGGAGTTTTTATGTAAAGACTATCTGGAATTCTGCACTGAGGCACTTTGTACACATTCCCTTACTATTTAAAGAGGAGGGTGTCAGAGTCCGCAAAAGGCTGCCTTGGATGCTGAAGTTAGTAAAGAGAAGCAGGACAAGGTTGGGAGGAACGGAAACAGAGTGAAATCAATGGAAGCAAAGTGTCTCCCCCGCTAAGCAAAGTGGAATATTCCTACCCCCACCTTTGGCCAAGCTTTATGTGCCTATCATTTGCAGGCCTTGTGCATCTGTTTTTTTTTTTCCCCAGGATAACTAGCAGAGGCTGAAGATCTCAAATTATTAATATAATTTCATGGAACTTTTAACTGTGGATTGAAAAGGTATTTTTTTTTATAGTCCTATACGAGCCTAGGGCTGAATGGGAGCAGGAAGGAGGAAATCGTTAGGGTTTGTTTGGCTGCCTTTTAGAAAGCGGAGCATTGAGGAATGAGGGCTTGCTTGATAAATTGTGGAATAAGCTTCTAATTGGTGACGTCTTCCTTAATTATAATTTTAAAGCCTGGATCCTGCCTCTTTTAAAGAAAAAAGCAAGTCTATTTACCTAACTTTCTCTGTTTGTTAGATTAGTATAGAAGAGGTCACTCAATATGCTGTCGATATGCAGTTAATACTGTCAAGAAGATTTATGCCATGTTATGCATTTTGAATTGCCTGTAAGAAACCTTGTACTGTAAAAACATTTGGCTTCTGTGGTGCTGGGGCGGGGGGGGGTCTGTCTGTTTCAGCAAAAAGAGTCAGGCTGCAATAAAGTGCCAGGGACTATTTGTTGTTTTCATAGGGTAATTTTAGTCCTGTCGATTCTGGGTTTGTTTGCAAGCAAGCTGTTGAGCCTGGCACTCTCGCTTTCTAACCTGAAAATACATGCCCAGTTGTCTTTCAGTGGTTCAGTGTTTCGGACTGCTAGTAAACCCTGAAAACTACAGCTACAGTTGTAATTGCATGGGTCTACTACAGATTCACACAAAAAGTCACAAGATAGATTCTTAACTCTTCTTTTTTTATAGGTGCATACATTTTTACATTCTGAAAATGAATTCAATTCCAAATGTCAATATATTTAACGAACTCGGCTCTTCTTATAGGAAGAAAGGAAACAAACAAACCAGCATGTTAATGTTTGCCTTTGCACTGATGGGCTTTTGAACTTTGTCCAGCCTAGTAAAAAAACTTCTTAGTTGAAGTTCACAGACCGAGATGCTGATCAGGATAACATGGCTTTACAGCACACAAGATGTAAGTCAACAATATATTTTTTTAAAAAAAGTACTACTGAATTTTGAATTCTTGATGTCTGCTGAGATTACTGTTCTGGAATATGTGTACATGTAAGAAGGAGAAAATGAAACACATTTAGTTATTTATAGATTTAGGAACTTCCGTTAGTACTGCTGGTCTACCACACTTGTGACAGAAATGTTCAGTTTTAAAATGATGCTGTCATTCCTTGTAAAAACACTGCAGTCCTTTTTAACACAAAGAATATATAATCATTACTCGGCTTTGGCAAAGGATTCCTGGGTATTTTACTAAACTTAGCATTTCTGAAATTGACAAGCTTAACCTTTCTCGAAGCAATAAACAGCAGTGTTTTGTAGATGGGGGAAACAGAGCAACTAGTGGAGCTGCTTGGAAAAATGCCACAGGCATCTTTGGAATCATATCCATAACATCATTAGCAGCAAGTAGTATGATTAATGATAATTAATACAATTCTCCCTTTCAAGCCTGCATCATTCATTCATTTTATTTATCATCTTACAAGCCTGAGCATTTCCCTTGCTGTTATCCAGTTCTGGAAGAGCTCTTTAAACTCTTTACTGAAAGAAAGTGTTGAATGCCAGCAAAAATATCCCCCCCTCCATCTACAGTAGCAATGTTTCTTCTCCTCTCTGGTCATTTTTCCTTTAAACCTCTGCATTTAAAATTCTTCCTGATTTCTGTTAATTTTATAAGTTTATGCATTGATGGCTTGTCTATGTGACATTCCTGCCTATGGAATTACCCGCCTTCTTCATTTACCACTTTTCCTTCCATCCACCACCTTTCCTTATAGCTGAAGGAAAAATGGCTAAATGGGGAAAGGTCAAGCATTGCTTTGCACATTGCTTCTCTGATTCAGATCCCCTCACTGGTTGTCAGAGATCAGGGGTTGCTTCTCTGTGAAAGCACTGAGTTGAAGGAAAGAACTTCCTCTCTGGTGTAATTTTATGAACTCCACATACTGTTCTATCATCCTGAGCACCCACACACATTATATGAAAATTATAATACCCATCCTATAGTTTAGGTTTGCTGTAAAATTTGCTAAATTAGCATATACAGATTAAGGGTGGGTGACTAATGGCACCTCCAGATGTTGAACTGCAGATCATATCTCTTTCACTAACAGCTGTACTCCTAGGTTACGTTGGAGTTGCAATTTAACAACATCTGGAAGCCCATAAATTGCCGATCCCAGTATAGATTATTACGAACATGCTATATTGCTACAGTCATGTCAAGTACATTATTATGAGCAGTTACTTAGTCAGTTTTTCATGTGAAGATGCATGAGTTTTTTATATCTGATATGGGCCACATTCTACAGAACATAAAGTAACAGAATAGCCTGTAGCCATTGATGTATGTTACATATACAGTACTGCATGAAAATTACCATCCTAGACATACTTATTCCCAAGTAAATCTCATTGAAATTACCGTGTTTCCCTGAAAATAAGACAGGGTCTTATATTAATTTTAGCTCCAAAAATGCATTAGGGCTTATTTTCAGGGGATGTTTTTTTTTCATCTACAGCCATCTACATTTATTCCAATACAGTCATGTCATCTTCTGGTTGCTGCACAATTGTGGAGGGAGGGGTTTCACTTAACTGGGGCTTATTTTGGGGGTATGGCTTATATTATGAGCATCCTGGAAAATCATACTAGGGCTTATTTTCAGGTTAGGTCTTATTTCGGGGAAACAGGTAGTAAAAGCAGTTTGTCCTTTCAAGTAAGATTAGGCTGTACACTTGAATAATTTTATCATTAAATATCACTTTTCCAATTTTGTTTGGAATTGCACGATCAAATATTTCTATAGAATGTTTATATAGTTTATATGTAGGTACTTATTTTTTACTGTGTTAGGTCTTCCTTCTCCATTCATATTTTAATCTGACGTATTAAAGACCTAATTTATAGCTCTTCCAATATTTTGTAAATGTTTTAAAATCTTTTGTAATTTACAGTTTGTAAAATATCAGTGATCAAACTTGAAAATAATTCAGTTTATTTTTAGTTCATGTGTGGTATTATTGGGATGTGGTGGCACTGAGAGTTAAACCACAGAAGCCTCTATGCTGCAAGGTCAGAAGACCTGCAGTCATAAGATCGAATCCACGCAACAGAGTGAGCTCCCGTCGCTTTTCCCAGCTCCCGCCAACCTAGCAGTTTGAAAGCATGCAAAATGCAAAAATGCAAGTAGATAAATAGGTACCACCTCGGCGGGAAGGTAATGGCGTTCCATGTCTAGTCATGCTGGCCACGTGACCACTGAAGATTGTCTTCGGACAAAAAAATGCTAGCTCTATGGGTTGGAGAGGGAGATAAGCACCGCCACCTAGAGTCGGTCACGACTGGACAAATTGTCAAGGGGAACCTCCACCTTTATCAAGGTATTATCTGTTAAGTCTGGCAAAGGGAGGACTTTTATAATTCTCATGCTGCTGAAAACAGTAAAAAAAAAAAAAACTATGCATAAACTAAGAGATAGTTTCATAAAATTTCCCAAACGTAGTGATGCCCTTCAGTAGTGTGGATTAGAATTCCCATAACACCCAGCCAGCATAGGAATTGGCTGCACTGGATGGGAATGCAATGGGGGGAGTAGTCTTGCAGATCTGAAGCAAACTGGATTGTAGAAGGCTGCCCTATGTTATGTCTCGAATTACTGGAGAATTTGATGAACCCTTTTTATAGTTAGCAAAGTATCAGGTATAAACAACAACTGCACAGAGAAAGCATGAGAGAATAGCTTAAGTATCAGCAGCCCAACACTTTTCACATGGACTAGCGCTTCATATGTTAAAATAATTCTGAAAACATTTTAAGTGGAAAAAAATTACCTTTACTTAATGTTACTGCCTATAGTTGCAGTCGGAAGAAAAACAGGAAAAAATGGAGTCTCCTCATGAGAGAGAGAGAGAGAGAAACTAACTAACAAAGGAAGTAAAGCAAACAAACAGGAGGAGGGAATGGCAAGTCAGAAATGGGAAAAATAACTTTAACAATAGGTTAGCATGAAAGGAGAATCCCTTTAGGTTTTACAAGCCACTTCTCACTAATACCGAGTGTTAGAAAGCATGCGAGATTTGTATCCTCTCAACAGAAATCACATTCAGTAGGCAGCAGTGAATCAATCAAGCACAAAAATGTTTTCAGCATTTGCAGTGCTGGACACATACTAATGAAGGGAAGGAGGAGACCTTCAAAAACATTCAAAATGGTAAAGAATGGAATTTGTAGCCTGAATGGAGTGCATGGTTTGGGGTCCATTATACCTGAAACTCAGTGGTTTAGGTATCTGGCTGTGGAGCCAGAAATTGGGAGTTTGATTCCCCATTGTGACTCCTAGGAAAAGATCCAGCCTGTGTGGCCTTAGGTAAGCTGCACAGTCCAAAGATGCCCCCAGAAGAAGGGAATGGTAAACCATTTCTAAGTATTATCTACCTGGAAAACCCTGAAAAGGGTCGCCATAAGTCAGAATTGACTTGATGGCACATGATGATGATGATGATGATGATGTCGTCTGAAGGGCAGTAGGTTGGAGAAGGCTGCTGTCTTGAAAAGTGACTTGTGTGCTCTGTCAACCAATTTACACTTCTACTTCACAGCTTCGCACATATAATTATTGAGAAATAGATGGTGCATTTCAACAGAATGAGCCGACGTGGCAACAACTGGGCCTATACTGAGGTCATTGACCTCCTGGATATCTGGGGAGAAGAGAAGATGCAGAAGCTGCTTCAGAGCAGCTACAGAAATATGGACACATTCCAAGTGATTGCGAGCGAGATGGCCCAGCGGGGACACACCCGGACTGCCCAGGAATGCCGGACCAAGACGAAAACGATGCGAAGGGATTACAAGAAGGCCAAGGACAGCACCTCTACGGGTGGGCGCATAACGTGCCCTTTCTATGAGCAGCTGGATAGAATACTGGCTGGCGATTCTGCCTTCCAGCTCCCTCGGAGACTGCAGACCGTCCCACTGCCAGAGGAATCATCTGGAGACACCAATTCCCCCTGTCCCATGGGGGAGGGAGCCATGCCAGCGGGGACAGAGGACTATCATGACAGCCAGGATCAGGCTTCTCCATGCCCACAGATACCAGCCGAGCTCTCAGATTCTGCCACGCCCAGTCCCCTGTTCTACATGACAAGGACGGCAACCTTGAAGCCTGCAAGTATGATTTGGCCAACCACACGTAAGAATTCAGTTACCTGTCTCTGGATTGAACATAAAGTACTATATAATTGCACCTTGTTGTCATCGTTGTCAGCTATTGTGCATTTGACATTCTGTGCAGATAATTAATTTTTATTGATTACTTATGTATTAATAAAAATGTTTCACCCCCTGCCCCCACTTTATATCCAGGGGCCTCCGGGTGGGACATGCACAATAAAAGAATTTAAAACAAGGTGGGCAAAGTGGAAATTGAGCATCCACTAAGGCTTTTTCTGTGGCTCCTGTTCGCCGCCCCAGCTCCCAACCCCCTTCAATTTTCTTTTCCCTCTTAGCAATAAAAGGTGAGTTGCTACTCCTGGAAGCTTCCACAAGGGGTTATTCATAACCTCAGATTATCAGGCCTTTGGCTGTGGAATGAATTTGTCTTGTGTTATATAACCTCACATAACCTAAGTGGGAAAAACCTAAGTTTTTCAAAAATAGGTTGCCCTCTTAGCAATAAAAGGTGAGTTGCTACTCCTGGAAGCTTCCACAAGGGGTTATTCATAACCTCACATTATCAGGCCTTTGGCTGTAGAATAAATTTGTCTTGTATTATATAACCTCACATAACCTAAGTGGGAAAAACCTAAGTTTTTCAAAAATAGGATGTGACCCTTTTTTTTGTGGGGATCAAGGCTGGTGTGTTTTGGCATTTCTGGTAACCTGTGCAGCTCCTGGAGAGTCTCAGGAGAAAAAAGTTGGATCCCAACCTTCCAAAGTTGCCCATCCCTCATTTGAGACAACATTAAACAAAAATTTAGAACTATTTAGAACAGTGTGCACACTGTGTATTAAAGCAGATCTATAACCAGATAGTCATTAGATCCCTAAACATAGCATTATGCTGCTATTGTAAAAGTGTACATAATGCATTTATACTTTTCTTCCTGTTATTATACCTACTAGGTGTTGATAATCAATTTATCCACCAGTTTATTTAGGCAGTTTATTAACCAAGGGTTCAAGGATGGGTAAATGCTGCATTGAGCTGATTTTTGTGCTGTTTCAGTACTTTGCATCATTTTGCCATGTGTACTTTCTTTTTAACTCGTGGTTTTGGATGTTTTGGATCTATTTTCAGGTTCCACTCTGGCCCCTTCACCAGCTCTTCTTCATGACTACGAAGCTCTTCCTTCCGAAGAGCGCCTGGCCAGGGCCCGAAAACGGCAGAGGACGACCAGGAACGAGTTGGTCATGGAGTTGTCCCGGATAGCTGATCGGAGGGTCCAGACGGCGACCGACCGGATCCTTTCTTCTCTGAACAGGTATGCCGCGGCAGACTTGCAGGACCGAGAACGAGAGAGAGCTGACACAGCGCAAATCATTGCCATCATGCATCGCCAGACAGAACTGCTGGAATCACTGGTGCAGATGCAGTCGGCCGAACAGGCACCAGGCTCCCCAGCACCCTCTTGGCACCCTCGCCCCCGTTCGGCAGTCTCTCCTCCTTCTCGTTCAGGAGTTACACGACGGACGCTAATGCCCCGGGCGAACCACAGAAGGAGGCCACAGAAGTACAGCTCTTAGTGGCGCTTCCTTCCATTGGGTCCCTGTATTCTGGGTCTGATGGTTCAACTTTTTGCTTACATCTCTTCCCATTGTATCCTATTTTATTCTGTCATTCTTAAAATATTACAGACCTAAACTCTCCCCCACTGGTTTAAATTAAGAACAGGTCATTATTATCTGGGCAGAGGTGATAGTGGTTTTAGGCAAGCTGAAGATCAGCAATCTGCTTCTTCCATTTGATGCTTTGTTCTCTTTTTATAGATGGGACCGGATTTGCTCTTCCTCTTTCCCAGCAACCAATATGTCCCATGGGGGACTGTTGCAAATACAATATAAATTGAATATCAAGCATGTCTTCACTGTAAACAATAAGCTGGTTAAAGCACAGGTCATAGCAGTGGCAATGATGCTTTCCCAGAGAAAGATGGTTTGGTGCTGAATGGGAAGTGGGTGGAAAAGATATTACAGTGAATTACAATGGAATAGGTTATTTTTCCTCTTTCCAGCTAAAAGCGCGACTTCTGCCCCAGGAATGGCATGGCTCCTGTGGTGTTCCACCTGTCTGCACCTCTGGTATGGGCAGTTCTGTTTCAGTATCACTGGAGCCCACTAGCTTTTTTGAAAACAACGTGCTGATGTGCCCTTTCCATTGACATTGGTGAGGTGAGATGTCACAGAAGAATTAAGGAATGATGAGACCTTTGAAGAAGGGGTAGATGTGACTTCATGGAGGGGATAGCCGATTGTGTGCACTAGGGCGTGCATCATGTGCAGTGACTGGAATCACAATGAATTCCATCCAGTTTTTCTCCAGTGTATAGTGTCGACTCCAGAAATTTGTAGGTGTGTGATAGACTTCTGGGTAAAAAGAACTGATTTGCATGGTTCTGATTTGCTTAAATTGCTTCTCAGCAACGCCTCATCCCAGCAACCATAGCACTGCATAGGAAAACAAAGGAACAAAGCATGAGAGGTACCAGCAAATGTGTGGGATGGACTGTGTTGTTGTTCTTTCTACCAAGTTTGCTGCTTGGTCTGTGCAAACAAGGCCTTGCTTGTTCGGACTAGTGGGGGTGAGGTGTGTGTGCAGGGATTGATTCCTACCTCAGTTGTTGATACTAGGTGCACCAGCTGGGCCATGCCATTCACTGTACAGGGGCTGCAGGAAACAGAATAAAACGTTACCACTGGAATATATAAATTGTACTGGATGAAAACACTGGGTTTTAAATTCCAGGGATCCTTCAATGAGAAGATCAGCTCATGATGGACACATATTTTCTGGAAGTCCGATTGCATAGTACTGTTGAACTTCCCCAGCAATAGACAGAGACAGGAATGTGGTGAATATGTTCTGAGTGGGGGAGTATCTTTGGCTCATATGGACAATGGAGCAGCCTGACTAGTGTCCCATAGGTGGCCTGATGGTATAACATGCAACAGGAGTGAGGAACCTGCAGCCTTCAAGATGTTTTACTCTCTAGCCTTAACTATTGGCCATGCTGGGGGTGGGCAGGGAGATAAAGAGGGATGTAGGCTAGGACACTGAGTTGGAGGATTGGAAGAGTTCCTCATCTGTTCATCAGTGTACTTGCAGGTCATTGGAAGACACTTAGAAACAGACTAGTCAGCATGAAAAATGTTCCCCAGGGGGATTAAACTTGAAAATGAGGGAGTATACATAAAGGTTAATAATAACTTTGACTCCTTCAGATGTGAGTGGCAACCAAATTTGGAGGCATTGGATTGTACTTTGCTAGCTATGAAAGATAAGAGATGATTTAAGCACCTGTGGAGAAACATAGCACAGAACCTTAGACAGTGGGAAATAAATCATTTTGGTCTTCCGAGGTATGGGTTTGACAGCTGGCTATGTGAGATCACATATTTTAGCAAGCTGTTCAGCAAGGGTATGTTTCTCTTAAGAAATGTATGGTCTTGCTGAGTATGTTGTTTTGAAGTATAATTTAGCTTTTATATATATATCTATAAGAGTGAAAACCTCTGCCTGTCTGTTGTTTTAATTTTTTCATAAAACTTTTGTTTAAATGAACTTTGTCTCATTCTTTTTTTCTGTCCTAACTGAAAGCTGTTAATATTGAAAGGCATTCATCCTTGTCTGTTGGAACTGAGCATTAAAGGAGGGTAAATCCTCCAGTCCAAAGCTTGTGAAAATTAAATGTTGGGACTATAATTCCCTAAACCCCTTGCAGTGTGTAACCAATGGCCACGCTGGCTGTGGGCGGTGGGGGTGGGGTGTCTGAGCATTGCAGTCGAAAACATTACTTGTCTCAGAGTACCTTTTTCCCAGGTTGCCTACCCACTTCACCAGATCCTCCCGGGCAGTGCTCCTCCAGGTGACCCCCTCCAAAGGAGGCCAGGAAATAATCTACAAGAAGCTTGGCCTTCTCCGCTGTGGCACCAACTCTTTGGAATCAGCTTTCTGGTCGAGCTGCACTTGGCCCCCTCCCTCCAACATTTAGAAGGCTACTGAAAATGTTACTGTTCAAAAAAGCCTTTCAAAGCAAATCTACCTGATTCTTACGCTTCGTCCTCTGCCTTCTATTTGGAAATTAGGCCTCTTGTGGTATGTTGCTTTATTTGTCTGATTGGGTTTATTTATCATTTTATTGCCCTTGTTTGTCTACTTTATCATGTTGTAAACTGCTCAGAATAGTGCTTTGCGCTAGTCAGGTCATATAAAAATAAATAAACAAACTTTTCCCACTTCTGGTCCATTCTGTCCTAGACTGCCTTCTACACTGTTATCTAAGGATGTGCCTCTCAGACTTTAAAACAACAACAACAACTTTCATTGCCCTTTAAGCTCTATGGAAGGCACCGCCCAAAGACCTATGTCACACAGGAAGCAGCTTCCCTTTTTTGTACATTAATAACAGGAACTACAACTGAAGGAGACCATGCAACCTCCTCAGAGTTGGATCCTTCTCCAGATGAGCAAAATATAGAAAGGTGTCTGTAGGTGTGGGTCTGTGGGCTGCAAATTGTGGAATTCTCCCTGGAGAATTCTTGGAGAATTCTGGAAGATGGGAGCTCAAAAACACCAATTAGTTCATTCCTAGTGTTATCTCTTATTTGACTCACTTTGCATCTCTTGCCCAAACCTTGCCTGGACAAGAGTGTAAGCTGGAAAGGAAGGCAGCACAGAGCTGCAACTGGTGGATAGAAGAAGACCACAGTCAAGTACTTTGAGTGAAGGTGCAGGCAAACAATTCTGCACTGAGGATGCTATGAGGAAGAAGACTATATGAGTTATAGCTACTTCCCTAGCCCCAGATGATTCCTTTCTTAAAAAAAGGCCTTCCTCCACAATCTCGGAGCTTCAAGTGTACAAAACGTATCAATATATTTTCAAGAGAATGGTAAAAATCAATATTAGAGCCAAGCATAGAGCCCATATTTTCTGCTTTGTTTGTTCCCTGATTTGGCTCTGTTACCATCCTTAAGTTTAGAGAAGAGTGTTTGTGTTTTAGGATTGTAACGAGATTACTTGTTTGGTGGGATGTGGAATTATTCCTCTTCCACTTATGTGCCCACTAATGGGATTCAACTGGCACAGTAGCAGTGTGAGGAAAATACATTTTTGTACATTGTTCATCTGGTCTTGGGATTAAGTTACCTTGTAGGTAGCCATTAATTCATGCCACATTTACTACACCATGGCTTAGTCCAATTTTGCAGGGGCTTTGTGATGTAGAACCACTAGCCACTGTTTGTGTAACCTTTCACTATTGCCTGTCCTGCTTAGGACTAATGGGAGGTGCAAAGCCAAAAATGTCTGCAGGGCCACAGTTCCCCACCTTTGTTCTAAGCTACAGGACAAAAAATAATCACATTAAGAGGAAGTGAGGGACATGAGCTTGTTGGCAAGAGTGGCCTGCAAGGTCATGAAAATAAGATTTGGCATTGTGGGACAAATGGTGAAATGACTGAATGGCCCTGTGCTTGCCTTTGTTTTGTTGTGCACTAGAGATAAGGTGCATCAATTTCTTGATGGAAGGCTGAACTAGAGACCCTGGGAAGGTAGACAGAAACTGGTGTCTTTAGTTGCTGGTTCTTGGGTAGTGTAGGAGGGACCCTAAGCAAGGGATGTGTCAGGTTTGATTTTTTTGCACCTGAACTTGGTGGGATTCTTTGGGGAGATGAAGATCAGAGGCCAATTCACTATGAGGATCTGAGATAATGCTGATAGGTGGTAAATCCTGGTCATAGGTATACAGAGTTGTTCATCTTGTACATAGGTGTACAGACTCTTGTTCCCAGTCATCTTGATCACCCCCCACTAGGCGGGTTGTCTCGGACACACGCCCTCCCAAATTCATGGATGCCACAGCTAATAAAAGTGTGACCTAATTAAACATGAAGGCCAGCACGCTGTTCCATATTTATACGTGCAGAGCTCTAGCTGTGGGAGCTGCTATGGCAATCTGGCGCTGGCCACAGGCAGTTTTGTGACCTGGTCAGAATGCCATGGTAGCTTTCATCCCAATGTGTAAATATTGAACAGGATATAGACATAATGTTACTGATTTTCCCCCAAATACAAAGCACAGGGATTGCGATTTATGAGGGGTATGGGGGGAAACTGGCCCTTCAGATGCTTTAGACTGCAACTCCCATTATCTCTGAGGATGATAATGTTATAGGCCAAACCATCTAGAAGGAAAGAGTCCCACCACCTGCGGTTTACAAGGAGACAGGTGGCTTCAAATACAAACCACTGTTGATGAATCAAAACTATTGAGGCATAAGGGACATGTATGGCTTTAGTTCAGCTTTCTGATGCCTGGTGTCTCTAAATGTGGTGGACTACATCTTCCGTCACCAAATTAATTTGCGATGACAGAACAGTATTCTCAACACATCTGGAGAACAACATGTAAGATTGGCTGACTTATAGTAGAGCTGCGAAAGAGCCTTGCAGAAGCTTCTCCAAAGCTCCTGAAGGAAGAAAGACATACCTGTGATCAATACCTGGATGGTAACTCCAGATTGACTCGAATCTTCTCATTGATATTTGCATATTTAACCCTGTAGCTGACCAGCCAGAATCAGCAAGTTAAAGCCAAACTTCTGCAAATGAAATCTTATAGTAAAGTTCAGAGAAGGGCATCATCATCATCAATTTGATTTCTGTAGCGCCAGCCTGACTATCAAGGCAACTCTGGGTGATTCACAACAGAAAATAATTGAAACCAACAACCCAAAATCAAATAACATCAAATAGTACAGAAAAATAAACGTACACTAAACATTATAAATCACTTATAAACACTATGAACTTAAATTAACCCACAAAAACAAAAATTGATATCAAAAATAATAAAATAATTCTTAACATGGCTATTTTATCATGGCTTGCAGCTTCAGAGGATCTGAAACAACCTGGAAGTAATTCTTGTATTCAGTGGAAGCTGTATGGAGCAAAACAAAACCAGAATAAGATGTGCCTTAGCCATGTAAAAAGCAGAACTGAGCTTGAAGTGTCTCCAGAGATTTTTTTTCCATATTCCAGGAGGGGGCAGCAGAAGGTCATTCCCATTCCTACCAGAAACTGCCAGTTCAGCATTTTGATTTTGTACCTACCTTGAGACAAGAAAGCAATTTCACCTCCGAACACGGAGAGTAGTCTTATGCTGTGGCAGGAAACTGACCCCCTACTTGTAGTCCAACATGGTCTGCAACAGTGGTCAGTGACATTTCTCCATGGTTTGAGCCAGGAATCTTCCTAGTCTTACATGCCAGGAAATTAACTTGCAGGTTTCTGACTGAAAAGCATGCAATGGACCACATAGGGTACAGCCCCTTCCTTACAAAGATGATGGTGAGTTTCAGATGTTGGCAGCCTTGTAGATGTTGTCCGGCTACAACACCCCTTAGCCCTCACAATACAGACAAAACTTGTCTTTTAAAAAGTATTGTCCCAGTACAGAATGTCCAGTTCTTTTTATAGCCAGTGAAGCCGCCTTTGCTTTTCATGTGACTTGGAGAATATCAGATGTAATCATTCGGCTGTGGAATCTTCCATTTTTTACTGCATACACTTTTCTTATACCGGGAGATCGTTTTATATTGCTTAAAGATGGGAGTTTATTTGTCAAGGATACAATCCCTCTAGCAACCAAGTCTCTGTTGACTTGGGGTTTTTTCCAAACCTAGTGCACTGTCTAATGTGATTTCCAGCTTTATTAACACAAAAGTTGTTTAACCTATTTCTGTTTTGTTCTTCCACCAATCTTTGTGTCTTCACATAGCAATGGGAACAAATGTAGATACCACCATGATCGGCTGTATGTAACTTGTTCCTTAACGCCCCAGGAGATCTAGAGAGGCAAACTGGAAATGATCGCCATGAGAACTAGAGCCTCATTTCAATGTTAGCAACTTCCTATGTCCATTTTAACTCTGCAACTAAGTGCAAATGTTATGACTTCCTCACGCTCTGCCTTTTTCCTTCTCTCCAAGGTTGCCATAGGCAGGCACCTACCAAGAGTCCACTCCTCACTAGGGGACCACTAAAAAGAGTCTTTTTCAACCTGCTTCCCACTTTTTGGCACTGTGATCTCTTTGTTCATCCACTCTTGTTCTGACTTAGAGGGGGTGAGCGAGCGAGCAGCTCTGGTGAGGGGGAGGATTGGTAGTTCTCAGAGCTTGTTTGTTCACCAGCTGTCTGCTGTGCAAGCAATTGAAAATTATGAGCAAGAAGCATCTGCAGACAATGGCGATAAGAGAAGCTTTGCCCAAGAATCCCTTAAAAGCTGGATTTGGCACAGCCCCCACCCCCACCCTCACCCTCCAGTTTGCCACCTTCTAGCCAAATCAAGTGTTTTGGATAACTTGAAGGCTTGCATATTTTGTGACCTTTGGATTGGCCTAATCAAGATTTTAAGAAAAATGTAACTTACTTACTTACTTACTTACTTACTTACTTACTTACTTACTTACTTACTTATTTATTTATTTATTTATTTATTT